TTTGCAATGGCGCTTTCAGCTCTGTCTATGTTGAATTTCACCCATTCCCAAGATGGGGGATTCCATAGACGGCGTATATGCGGTGTTTTCGCAAACTTTTACATGTAACTGGAGATAAAATCAAATTTGATCTAGCTATTTCTCTAATTAATGAATGTGTGGATCCTTTGAGTTAGTTCCGCCAGCAAGATGATCGATCTACCAAAAGATCAAAAGAGGGGAATTTCTTTAGACAAAGCTTCAACAGCCTCCAAGGAATCCAAACAAAATGATCTTACTAAACCTGAGACTTATATATATATATATATACACAGGGGAGGCATGGAGCCTGGTTACAAAATAACTCCTTGGGAGGGAGTTGTGCTATCAAAATCTAGCTTATCTAGGATTAATGACAGGGGTGATGCCAAAATATGTAACCCCGGCAGGGCCGAGTAGCCCATTTTAGCGAGTGAATCAGCTACTTTGTTTCCGTCTCTTTTGACATGTAATATAATCATGGTCCAGGGCTGTTTGAGCATGATTAATAATCTATTGAGTACATTGTTGTTATGGGTCGTGGTCTCATTATCTAGCAGGGCTTTTGTTGCAGTAAAATTGTCCATTTGCAACTGGATGTTTCGGAAGCCCATTTCCCAGGCTATATGCAGGCCAAATAAGGCACCCCAAAACTCTTATTCAAGAGCATCACAGTCACCTATATTTGCAGTGAAGCCGGAGATCCACCATCCTTCGTGGTTCCGCAGGACTCCTCTGGCGGCCGCCTTTTTTAATGTTGGGCAAGATGCTCCTTCAACATTCAATCCGATCCAATCTGGTGGTGGGGGTTTCCAGATAATTTCCTGTGCATTTTGAAGTCCCCTTATCCGCTGTTGTGCAAAAAGATTAATCGATCTTTCTATCTCGACGACTGCCGCACTGATCGATGAGGAAATGCTTCTGGAGCTGGTGTAGATGTCGTAGAATGTGTCCTCGTTCCTGAAATTCCAAACTTTCTAGCATGTCGTTGCAAAGCATGTCTGCCAATTGGAGCTTATCTGCGAAGAGAAGGAAGAGATTAAGGTAGTAGAGAGCCATTGTTTCCAACCAGGTTGTAACCAAAAGTCAGCATTGAGGTCTCCCTTTAGATCCGTCCAGATTTGACTTGTTTTGGGGCAATCACGAAATAAATGGAGGATTGTTTCCGGTTTGGCGCAGAATCCGCAGGAGTCGTCGTCCGTTATATGCCTCCTCCTTTGTTCAGAATTGGTGAGTAATGATCCTCTGAGTAGTTGCCACAAAAACAACTTTATTTTTTCTAGACCTTTAAATTTCCAGGCTGCTTCCCAGTATTTGTCCTTTGTTGCCCATGTTTGTTCGTTCAATTTTTGGAGAGCCGATGAAGTTGAGAACTTGTCAGATTTCGTCCACCTCCAGATCAGCTTGTCTTGCCCCACAAGGGGGTCCGAAGGTGGAATTGCCCTGATTTTGCTTATTGCTTCCTCTTTGACCCATTGTCGAATTAGAGGCCAATTCCATCTTCCTGTTGGGTCTGTGAAAAACTTGAATTTCCTGTGTGCCAAATCTTCAGGGATTTCTGCTTTTCTGTAGTACTTGAGTGGTCTGTTTGTATCTGCCCAGATGTCATTCCAGAATGACGTAGTTTCACCATCTCCATTCAACCATTTGATTGATTGTGATGTTGTTTTCCACAGGTGAGCAAGTTGTTTCCATAGGAGTGATCCTATTGTTTTGGCAGTTTGCTCCGATGATCGAGTGCACCGGTTAGCGTATTTGGCTTTGAAAATATCAGTCCACAAGCATTTGCGTCCAGTAATAATTTCCCAAGCCAGTTTTAGCACAAAGGTTTTGTTAACATCACGCATTTTCCTGAGGCCTAAGTCTCCCCTTGATTTTGGTTGGCAAACTTTATGCCAGCTAACTAGATTCATTCTTTTAACACCCAATGCTGATCCCTATAGAAAGTCTCGCCTGATCTTGTCAATTTCATCGCTCGTCCCTTTTGGTATTACTTGAGATTGCATGATGTAGACTGGTAGGGCTGCGAGTATCGATTGGCAAAGAGTTAAGCGCCCAGCTAAGCTGATTCTAGTCGGGTTCCAAGATTCAGCGTGTTGTTTAACCTTGCAAATGAGGGGTTTATAAGAGCTTTTCACCAGTCGGCCGTGAATTATTGGTACTCCAAGGTATTTGCCCAAGTTGTCCACTAATTTTATGCCGATCCTGTTGCTTAACGAGTTTGCTAATGTGGCATCCACATTTGGAGAGAAGTAGAGGACTGACTTAGCCTTGCTTACCGTTTGTCCCGAGACTTGACAAAATTGTTGGAGGGTGTTGTGAATCAGGTTGACTTGTTCCATGGTAACCTCTGCAAAAAAGATGAGATTGTTAGCGAAAAAAAGGTGAGAGATTGATACTTGTCCTGCTCCAAATGGTACTGGCTTCTAGCGTCCGTCCTGTATAAGTTTGTTAATAGCCTGTGACAAGCGTTCCATACACAAGACAAAGACGTAGGGGGAGAGGGGATCCCCCTGTCTTACACCCCTATTTGGTGCGAATTCTTTACCTAGAACGCCATTCCAAATTATTCTTGTCTTTCCGGTTTTCAGGGAGCTATGTATGATATCAATGAGCTTTTTTGGGATACTGGCATCTTCAAGAGTGTCCAGAATGAAACTCCAGCTTATACAATCAAAGGCCTTAGCTAGGTCGATTTTGATGGCTAGCCAACCTTTTATTCCTTTCATCATCCGCATTGTGTGTACTGTCTCTTGGGCCACGATGATATTGTCGATGATGTTACGCCCTTGAATGAAGCTAGTCTGAGTATGCGAGATGAGGTGAGGCATGACCCTTTTGATTCTGTTTGCTAGAACTTTCGAGGTGATTTTGGAAGCTATGTTGATCAGACTAATGGGACGGAGGTTGTGAAATCTTACTGGCGGTAAAACCTTTGGTATTAGCACAATAAGTGCCTTGTTGCTGTTGGCGTTGACTTTTCCTTTTTGGAAGGCTTCAAGAACCGATTTGTAGACAGTCTCTCCAATTGTATTCCAGTTGCTTTGGTAAAATCCCGCATTGAAACCGTCTATGCCTCCTGTCTTGGTTGGGTCCATGTCAAACACAGCATCTCTAACTTCTTTTTCTGTCAGATCAGCAGCCAGTAGACTCTTGAGGTTCTTGGAGATTGAGAGGAAAGCTCTTCGAATGTGATATGGGTGGAGGGGGGGGGTGTTGGTGCATTCCCCCAGTGTATACTTTTTTTAAGAAGGATGCTGCCTCTTTGCGTATTACTTCCTGATCAGTGCACTATTCCCCATTTTCCAACTGCATTTTCACTGAATTTGTACTTACTCCTTTTAGTTTTGTGCACAGCATGGAAGTTTTTGTATTTCTGTCTCCGTGCGCTATCCATACCGATCTTGAGTTCTGCATTCTCAGAAGTTCTTCTTGGGTTGAAACCTGCTCAAATTCCTCCCTTAGTTGTTTTTCCAACGTCCGCAAGTTTGTGGTGCGGTGAAGTGCTATAGCTTGCTACAGCCCGGCTATCCTTGCGATGGTATGCCTCTTTCTTTTATGAATGTCCCCAAAAATGTTGAATTTCCAGTCATCGATTGCTTGTGTGAGATGTGCAAGAGCTGTTTGAAGGTCTGCCTTATGAGGCCAGTTGTCTTTTAGCCATATTGACCACATGTCGTGTAACTCCCAGGCTGTTGAGTACCTAAAGAACTTGGTAGCTTGTGGTTGCATTGTTTTCCTTATAAATTGAACAAGAATCGGGGAGTGGTCGGAAGCTAATCTGGGGATGTGCTATACCGATGTATTGCCAAAGAAATCTTGCCACTCACTATTGCTTAGGGCTCGATCCAGTCTCACATGGCAAAGGGCTCTCTTCCAAGTAAACCTTGTTCCTGAGAAACCCAAGTCCAACATATTATTAATGATGATCTAGTTTATGAAGTGTTTGCAGCCCTTTGATTTGACTCCGCTGATTTTGTCTGCTTCTTCCATAATGGCATTGAAATCTCCTAAGACAAGCCATGTTCCAGTAATGTCGCCTGCAATATGATCGAGATCGTCCCAGTGTATACGCCTTGTTAGCCTTTGAGGGCTACCGTATACTGTGGTTAAATAGAAAAAAGAGTTATCCAGGAGGAAAGTTTTGCAGTGAATAAACTGCCAAGTGTTCGTAATGATATGGATGGTGATGGGGTTTCTCCAAAGTAGCCAGATGCCCCCCGAGAACCCCACCGCCTCGATCCTATGAGAATTATCAAATCCCAAATGTTTGACAATCATATCAGCGTCCCTGCCACTGATCTTTGATTCAATTATGATTAGTATTTGTATCTGGTAGAGCTTAATAAGGTCCTTGAGTACCGATTCAGTTGTGATGTTGGCTAAACCTTGTACCTATTCAGTACTAGGCCAAATTTGTTTTCGACCAATTAGGTCTGTGTACAAATGAGATAGGACCAATAATCTACTAACAAAGAGAAAGAAGCCTATAGCCAGTGCTAAAAGGAAATTTATGCATTATCTCGCTATATTCCATTTCTAATATTTTATACAAATCTTACTAAAAGAAATTGACGTACTCTACTAAACCGTTAACCAAGCTATTATTGAGAGTTTGAGACGAAGATTTTTGAGGAAGTGGTAGGTGTGACTGTCAGCACATAAAACCAAATTTCTGAAATAGCCAAAGGACCAAAGAAGCTAGGTTGATTTTTTATTATTATTTTTTTTATTTTATTTTTTTTTTGGCTCTAAACGCTTTTTGTTTTTTTTTCTTTTTCCAAATATTTTACAATACAATTTGCCCCGAAAATCACAAAACAAACACGCGATCCTAATAAGCCATACACTTTCTTTCTTTTTGTACCAGGCCAAATTTATCATCTATCAATTGGGCCATTGTACAATTAAGATTGGGCTATTCCACTGATACAAAACAAAGAAGCCCATTAAGCAGTGCTAATATCGTCATTTCGCTTGTGCAAAACCCTAGATTTATCGGGCTCTATTCTCTTCCCCTGCCTCCATTTCTTTCCACCCCCGGCAGAAAAACCCTAGAGCAGAGTTCCCCTTCCGCACCAAAAAAACCTAACAATGCCGCCGAAGTTCGATCCCACGCAGGTTGTTGAAGTCTTCGTCCGGGTAACTGGAGGCGAAGTCGGAGCCGCCAGTTCTCTCGCTCCCAAGATCGGTCCACTCGGTCTCTCCCCAAAGAAAATCGGTGAAGACATCGCCAAAGAGACGGCTAAGGACTGGAAGGGTCTCCGTGTGACCGTCAAGCTCACTGTTCAAAATCGTCAAGCCAAGGTTTCCGTCGTCCCATCTGCGGCGGCGCTGGTCATCAAAGCCTTGAAAGAGCCTGAGAGGGACCGTAAGAAGGTCAAGAACATCAAGCATTCTGGGAACATCTCGCTAGACGATGTGATCGAGATTGCCAAAGTCATGAGGCCTAGGTCGATGGCGAAGGATTTGACAGGTACTGTGAAGGAGATTTTGGGAACTTGCGTCTCTGTAGGATGCACTGTGGATGGGAAGGATCCAAAGGATTTGCAACAGGAGATTGCTGATGGTGATGTAGAAATCCCCCAGGATTGAATGATTGATTTTGTCAATTTTCAATTCATTTTTGGAGGTGGTTATTTACATTGAACTTCTGTCTTAAGTGTTTTTATGTAGCCCTTTTAAAACTGTTAAGGTTGTCTTGAATGGGATTTTTTGTTGGGTTAAGCTCCGAGAGTGATAGAATGATCAGTCGTTCAAAAACATGAGAATATTGATATATTGTAGTTTTAAATATCGATATATTTCTTGCAGTTATCTCTTTCGATTATTCCTGCTCTGTGGTTTTAAATTACTTGTTTTGACTTAATGTTCTCTGAATTTGTGCTGAAATCAGGAATTGTGATGCTGTTGGTTGTTTGCCTGTCTTTTTCTGACTTATATTGAGGTTTTTTTATTAGAAGAAACTTATTTACTGAAATTATATTTAGAATAGTGTTCATTTGTCATTTGTTCTGAAGATTGATTGGCTTAATGGCTGTGTACCCCTCCCCACTATGAGATTTTGTTACTCGGTTCTGGATTTTGAGCGCTCTTATGTTCACTGGGTTTTCTGGAAGTGTGATAACTTTGGTTTGTCAATTAATATGATTATGGCTAGTTTCTTGTGCCTTTTGACTATCTATGGAGATGTCATAGCTAAATTGCTCAAGCCAAATTGGTGTTTAAGCGGAGAGATTGTGCCTCGAAGCATCTTGGCTGTTCGAGTCCTATGTTTTGCTTCCTTATGTCTATAAAATGATCTTTTTGTCACAGATGAAGTGTTGTGAAGTTTGCCTATAAATTTAGTAATACAAATGCTCGTTGAAGTTTGTTGACCATGCACCGAGTGATTGCGATTTTACAGTCGGAGAAACTGCTACTCTTTTTACTAGGTGTTAATGACTGTGTTTCCTGTTCTGCATCTCCTGGATGTGTGGTTTTTTGATTTAGTTTCCTACACTTTCTTGACTTTATGCTAGTTTACTTCTGTAGTTTAACATTCTTAATTTTTAGCTGTTGTGTTGTGTGTCTGAATGCCGAGACCCACATTCCTTTGTGTTCTGGAGGGAAACATAGAATTCTTTAAGCATAATTTGGTCTTTCCAATGATGTGGTCTTTAATATTTGTGTTTGTTTCGGTTTGTATCTTCTGCTATATTTATTCTAATCTTTCATTGCAGAAAATCTTTGACAACTATTTTTGGAATATCATCGGTGCTTTATTCGTCTTTAAGATTTCATTCATGTGTGATTAACCTCATTATGCTTTTCATTGTCATATTTTTTAGACGTGGGAACTTACCTTGATATCTCTTTCAACTTCTATTTGCTGTAACAAATCTCTCTTATCTCTGAAATCTGTCTTTTCAGTTTTCTCCCTATCTGATAGCTAGTTAAGTGAAGTTAGATTTTCTCCTCCTTGCATGCTCTTTCTGTTGTGCTGTTCTCAATTTTGCTGGAGTTTTTTAGAGAATTTGGTTTTCAGCCTTGCTCATTTGAGTCATTTTTCTTTTTGACATAGATCCACTCAAAGACATTTTTGTTTGCCTCTGCTTTCTATAGGTAGTAATGGTAGTGTAGTGCTTCACATCTTTTTATTGCTGGAGGTGTGTTCTGGCCTTCCTGCCATACTTGGTTATGGGCACTATCATTTTGTCTCGCATATGCTTTTTGGGGATAAATGTTGTATATGATCAGCTGTATGTTGGTTTCTTGCATGTTTTGATTCCTCGAAGGCCTGTAGCGAAATCCTCGATTAGTTCATTTATCTGCATTGTTGTTCTGATCTTCTCTCCCACGAAAAGTAAAGATTGTATTCATGCAGATGCTTACCAGGGTATCTTTCAATTCCATTGCCTGGAAGTGATGATAGATATATGAACCTACTTGAGTTTACTTTGATATATGTTTTTTTTTTTTTCGAAAATGTTGGTATATGTTTTGTTTTAAGGTGATCTACGGATGATTTGCACTGCACTAATTTATTTTTGAATTTCCCTATGCAATTGCTTGAACCCAATTATGCTGTGGGCTATTTTTGGTCCTTACATATTAATTCGATTGCGAAGGCTAATCACACGCTGTAGACTGTAGGCCTTGTTTGGGTTGTGTCATGATCAGTTCTTTTGTAGAACAGAAATCTTTTTCCACTCCAAGATCGCTCTATCGTTGTGTTCCCAAATCATCGTAAAATAAATAAAGGGTGTAAGCCCGAATTCACACTTCTAGAACTCGGCTCGACCTATTTTTACTTCGAAATGTCAAGATATTGAGCTCGATCTTGGTTCTGCCTTCCAACAAGAAGCTCGGACGTTGCTCGTTGAGCTAAGAAGTCAAAATCAGCCAGCTGTATCACGAAAAAGAAAATGAACCGGACTCAAGTTCAAAACCTCCATATTCCATCTATCTGTAATCTATAACCCCCCTTATAGGAAAAATCATATTTTTCTTAAAATTCCAAATATCACACTTTCCTTAAAAGTCTCCTCATTCAAAACCCAAAAGATGCCCATTTAATTTATTTATCAAAGAAAAAAAATTCTGAAAAAAGAAACCCAAAACATGTCCATTTAATTTATTTAATTTATTTATCAAAGAAAAAAAATAAACTGAAAAACCGAAACCCATATGACGCTCAATTAATTTATTTATCAAAGAAAAAAAAACTGAAAAACTGAAACTGTTCAAATACATCTATAACTTCCAAGTTCCAACGAAACCAGAATTCTTTAAAGAACAGACTTCCAAACAGTTACCATGTTCTCTATCAAATATTTTTTTTCAAAAAAATAGCAGTAAATTTTATATCTAATTGCAATTCTATTGATGAAAGACTCTTCAATTGCCATTCCACGTCTCTCCATGGTGAATATCAAATTATGAATGGCCAATACCTATGTTTTCAAAATCGGACTGGCCCGGACGGTTGAACCGGTTAGCCCAGAAACCAAGAACCTCATCGGTCCGGTTTTCATAAAAAAAATCAAATTCTATATAACCCGATCAAACTCGGGCAAAACTGCGGTTTGACCGGAAACCAGTATCGGTTGAACCGATTTTTGCATATATTTTTTTAAAAAATAATTTTTAAATATTATTTTAACCGATTTTCACTGGTTTCGAGCAACGAGCTAACCCGTTAACTCGATAAACCCACCAACCCGGTCATGCTAACGGTTCACCTTCCGGTCCGATTTTGAAAACATGGGCCAAGACTGATTTCAAGATTAGCCGAGAGTATAGTTCGAGGGTGCCGACTAGACTGCACGGGAGTCGGCATCAATTATCTAACTAATTCAGGTGCTTTTTGTTATTTACGAAATTGATTGATGCAATTTTTTTTTTCCAATGAAATCATTACAAAAAAAAATTGGATGCTTCTTAAAAAATTAGGTAAAAATACCAAGTTTGAAGTTACTTATTGTAAACGAGAAACTAACGGAATGAATGGTATGATTGCATTTTGGTTTACTTTGTTCTTTAGGATGATCGATGATGCTTGAGTATGAACCCAGTAAGTTCCGTTTTTTTTTTTTTTTTGTGTATGGGGGTTTAAGACGGTGCCTCCTTTTTATTTTACATTAAAGATAACAACACAAGAAAGAGTAGAAGTAAAGTAATTTCTACAAGGCTCTTGTTTTGCACTCAATTGTGCTTGAGATTTTGGAAGAAATTATGTTGATCCGGAAGTTTTTAATGGGAACTTGAGAAGAAGAGAAAGCAACAACAAAACATCTGACCGAAAAATATTTTGATCGACTGAGAAGGAGAAAGAGGAGGAACGGAACTGCAAGGATGGAGAAAGTAGGAAAAGTTTTTTCATTAAAATTTGAGAGAGAGAAAGGTGGGAGACTGGGAGTAGTTAATTTACTTGTATTTGTTTTTCTTTCTGGTTTTAAAAAAATTGTTGTTATTTAATTAAGAACTAGATGCTTGGCCCGGACATCTCTACTTTAATTTTGTGTTAATAGATAAATGAATTCTTGATTTCAAAAAAATAAAATAACTACACATTAGATTTTTTTTTTTCCGTTTTTTAGCCAAAAATAAAAATAAAAATAAAAAAATCATCTGCCAAAGGAAAAAAAATATTAAAAAGTATAACGATGCAGAAATCATACAAAAGAATGTAAAGTAATAAGGGGGTAAGTTTATGGACAAATTTAAATGCTATTTTAATTTGATTGATAAATGATAAATGTTAGGAATTAAAATTGTGTAGCTATTTTTGTAAAGTAGCTTTTGTTTCTCCGGATAAGAATTATTTCTTTCTTTTAAAATGGGATGACACGTAGCAGAATGGTTAATGCAATATGGTGCATTTGGAGCCAAAAATTTTTAATAAAAAATTGACACATCAACATCTTGTATTCTGCTTTAATAAGGTAAAAGGAATGTTTAAAGATAATGATAAAATTAAATGGGTAAGTGTAAAAAGTAACTTTAGTAACTTGGTCAAAGTAAAAGTAGTGAATCCATTGCACTACATTTTTATGTTATATTCCCTCCATTTCAATTCAATAGGTCCATTTAGACAAACTCGGATATTAAGAAAAAGAAGGTAATATAGTTTAAATAGTTTATTTTAGAGTAATTCATCTAATATGTTCCTATTAATTACTAGTGGTTGCTAGTTAATATGGTGATGTTAGGAGTTAGATTCAACTAAATGTTCTAAATTTCAGTAATAATTGTGCAGGTATATTAGAGAATCACTAGGATACTTCTGCCCACGCCCGGCCGATTGTGATATCTGTTTTCATCTTTGTTTTCCCCTCAACGGAGTAAGTTTTATAAACCCATGTCTTTTCTAATGAAATACGGCCGATTGTAAATATGACGCAGCTAACGTCGCTGTCAAAAAACCCATGTCTTTCCTAATGAAATACAAACATTCAATTATCCCGAACAAAAGTGGTAAAATTAAGGAAGAGAACTGTGTAAAGAGTCTTACATATTACAAAAACTGTAAATGCCCAGATCAAAATGAATCCATCATGTCAATTCGTACCTAATCAAAAGTTACCAAATAGTAATGTTCATGAAATGGTGATGTTACATCACTATTTCAACGGTGATGTTAGTTATGTCTTTGGGCATTTACACAAAAGCTACAGAGTGAAAAAGAGTTCAGAGATCAGAGTCTTTACTGTTGATCAGAAGGAGGGAATCTTGTTTTTTTGGATGCCCGTTCAATATCATGAGTTAGAGTTCTTTTGACTGCAGTACCTTTCTTTTCTGCATCTTGTACTGAAACATATTCTGAATCTTCTGCCACTGAGGTGGGAGTGTCAACATAAGTTTGTGATTTTGTAGTACTTCCTTGTTGACTTGGTGAGCTTGTGATTGCTGGGTAAGTAGCTGGAGTAGTGACAGCTTTTGTTGGTGTATCTCCAATCATCATATCACAGGTTTTTTGGTCTGGAGTGAATGCTGTAAGTTCAAAACCAAAAGCTGATTCTTTTATTTTAAAAATTCTCAGCCTGGCATACAGAACTTGACTTTGCAATGTTGTATTCACTTGTCGCAAATCCACGGGTTTTCCCTATTTTGACATAACAATAGTATGATCAGTGCACTTACTGTAGGGATAAATATGGTTTAAATGTTTGTACTTACCGCTAGATGGTTATGATAAACTTCATCAGCACTGCATCGTAACAATTTTTCAATATATTCATTTTGGATAACAGCTTGTAGAGTACCAGTGATGTCAGCCAAGTTGATGACAAATTTTAAGCTGATAGAATTATAGGAAAAAGAAAATTTTGAATCTTTAGATGAGGGAAATGTTACTGAAATAGTGAAGAGAATAATACTGAAAAATACAAAATAAAATAATGTTTACCCTGGTTTTGGTGCTTTTCCAGAGGTACCACAATAGTTGCAAGTAGAAATTATGCCCATTGGTGCACCAGATGGATTGTCACAATTCGGACAAATCGCTGTGTATAGACGTTGGTTGTCTTTTATGGTTGCTGTAGCTTTGACCCAACAATTTTTCACCTATAAGAAATTTTTCTTGATTATTAGAGATGTATGAAGGTAAGGTTTACATAAATTTAATAGAATGAAAATATATACAATTACCGTGTGTTGTATGTTAAGGACTTGATTGATTTGACGGATATGTTTTTCTTTTGGTACTCGAACCTCTTGCTTCTGTTTCTCATAAAGTTTCTCCTTGATGACATTTTCAGCACAGTCTTTGTTTTCAACAATCCTGAAAAATACAGAGATTAAGATTAGTGAAATGCAGTTGTAGTATTTAAAATAGAATTTTTGTTTTGAGAGGATTGTAAACCAAGTTTTCAAAGAGTTTGTCTCAGGGATTGGTGGATCAAATACGATTTTGGTGTTGTTTTGAGCACCAACACATGTCCCTGTGAATTAAGAAAAAAAAAAATAAAAACAAAAGAAAGAACAGAGAAGAAGTTAATAATGATAAGAGAAGGGTACTGGTGTTATTATTGTTTCGAGAGTTTTGGTTTTATGTTACCATGGAAAGTTCCAAGTTTGACACCTATGAGTAAGACAACAGGACGAGTATGCATTTGATTGATGAGTTCTTGATATTCTTCAGCTTGATAACTTTCCCATATTGATAGAATTATGGGTCTGCACCTGTAAAATTGGGTTATGTAAATATCTATAACATCCATAATACTAACTTATGAAGCACATAAAGTCAGAAGGCAGCCAAAAACTGTGTAAGGGAAAACTTATTCGACTTACTCATTGTTAATGATCACAAAGTCTTGCACAATTGTTGCTCCATTTTGCGCATTGACTGTTCTGGGAGGAAGCATATGGAGGACACAAAGGAGATCTGGAAAGGAGTATTGAAGGAAATGTTACAGTAAATGAGGAAATACAAAAGTAAGAATAACAGTTAGAAAAAAGGTTGTTCTACGAAGTATACTACTCAGATTTTCATTCTCTTTGTCTGGATCAACATCTATTTCCCAAAAAGGAGTTATTGGTAGGCACTCATCTAGATGGTAGCTCTTGGTTCTTTCAACTTTTTCAATAAAACTTTTCCTTGTCAATGTCATTTGAAAGGGTACAGATCCATATTGGTACTTAGGATCTTCTATTTTGGTTATAAAGGCATTCCCAATATAGTAAGTTTCGTAAAGCTGAAGCTTTTGTTCAAGGAAATTCAGGTCCTTTGTGTAGATGACAGCTTGCATAACAGTTTTCTGCAAGATCATAAAGAAAATTGTTGTTATGTAGTTAAATTAGAAGTTCAGAATGTTAATGAAACTATCCTTTTAGTAAGTTATGTAAGAATACCTCTTTATCAGCAAGAGAAAGCGTTAAGGAGCCTGCTTTTCCTTTGGAATTGACAAGAATCCCTTTAGTCAATAGGATCACCTTTGTATACCATTCGACAGTTTTTTCGTCCAAATATCTTAATGGAACACATCTATCTTCCATATCTACAGCATGGAATATTCAAGTATTACCTGTAGTACTATAACGGAATATATGAAGCTATACAAGTTAGTTTAGCAGAATGTTTGAAAGTTTTTTTTTCATTTTCTTTTACCTGGAAGAATTGTAGATATGATGCAATATGAATTCGATTTGTTCTTGTGTTGGGGATGATTTTCAGGACTGCAAAAAATGATAGGGGTCAGTTAAAAGTCAGGTGGACAGAACTAATACAAATAAAATTCAGGAAATACTGGATTAAGTATTTTCAGCAGCAACAATAAATATTTCAGGGTACACTATGTTTCTTGTGCTATTTGGATACTCTGTTTTGTTCTCTGTTGGTTTAATTAAGACCTTGACATTTTCTGAAGTTCTAGCTCTAGAAAGGGCTACATATAACTGACCATGTGAAAAAACAGGTTCTTTTAAATATAGACCAACAAAATCAAGTGTTTGACCTTGTGCCTTGTTTATTGTGAGTGCAAAGCATGGTCTAACAGGAAATTGTATTCTTTTAAACGGTACGCAACTTTCATCATCTGGACAACGTAATGGTATTCGAGGTATGAACACTTCTTTTCCAGAAAAAGAACCAACAGATATCCTAGCATGTATGACATTATCAGAAAACTGCAAGCATGTTAGACAACGTACCATTACAAAGACCTTCTGCTGGATTTAAATTTTTAAGCAGCATGATAGGATAATTTTCTTTCAAAATTAATTCATGAGATGGCAGGCTAGGTGGATTATAAGTCTGTAACAAATCCTCATAATCTCCTTGTTGCCTTTCATCAATTGTTTTATTCAAACTGATAAATCTTTTTTCAACTCCTGGAAATCTATGAATTTAGATATCATTTATTTGGTTAACAAACTCATTTTTTGTGGTTAAAATTGCCCTGTTAATAACCAAACCAGGATCAGAATGAAAAAGATGAAGATTTGGAAAAACAGAATGAATAAGCATGTCAAGTGAAGTATACTCGTTGGTGAATGGTAAGAGAATGGAGGATGGTAGACAGATTCTATTGTCTTCAAAAGTTGGTTCTTCTCCATTTCCAATTCGAAGTAAGAATTGACTAAAATTAGGGTCTGATTGTGCTCGCATGTTGGTTGATAGTTTAATCTGTTCCAACATAGGCCATAAGTCTGACATGACGAGGGTTGCTGAAATACAATCCTCTTTTTGTCCTTTTCGAATAACTGTTAATGTTTGCCGAAAGTCACCACCAAAAACAACTACTTTCCCACCAAATATTGTGTCGATACCCATTATGTCCCTGAGTATTCTATCAAATGATTCAACTGAGTACTTTTTGGCCATACTTGCTTCATCCCAAATGATCAACTTTGCTTCTTTAATAAGCCAGGCTGTTCCGCTCTGTTTGCTTATATTACAGCTGTTGTTTTCGCCTTGCTTTACAGGGATTTTAAATCTTGAATGAGCTGTTCGGCCTCCAGGAAGAATGGATGCTACTACACCGGATGTTGCTGTAGCTAGAGCTATTTGATTTCTTGATCTTATCGTTGCAAGTAGAGCTCGGTATAGAAAAGTTTTTCCAGTACCGCCAGGGACATCAACAAAAAATGCTCCTGGTTTTCCATTATTAACGTGATCCATTATTTTTTCATATGCAGCTTTTTGATCTTTATTAAGCATGCTCACACTTGAAAGGTCTTCATCTGAAACTATGATGCTTTTTTCTGTAATGATCTCTTGGGTTTGATCTTGAAGATCAAATACTTTAGAAGGAAAATAGCTAAAACCATAATCATCTAAAGTTTTCCCCATGGACTTTAGATGGTTATTAATCTGTTGCAAGACCTTGAAACGTACCTGATCTGTGGACAATGTAGTTTCTTGTGCTATGTCTTCTGAAAGATATGGCTCATACTTGTTCCACAACTTTTTTGGGTCATTTACTGTACAATAAACTAAAATTGTAGCAAACAGTTGTCGTAAAGCTGCTGGCATTTGATATGTGGATGCTTCTTTCAAAGAATCTTCTATTGCATTATCTGAATGTAAAAGACCTCTTTTCTCTGCAGCTTCTCTGAACGTAGGCAACACCTTCCCATCAACAGTCTTTAAATCATCAAATGATTTTGGTCCTCGTACATGCATCAACAACAACCGTAAGTAGTATCTTTCACCTTCTGTAGGATGCACGGAATTGGCACGACCAATAGTTTGACCTGTCTTTCTTTCTGTCCACAATTTATCTTTAGGATGCCACACAAAGTGTTCTGGGAACTCCCTAACAGTTGAGTTTCTGAGCTTTAGGATTGTGAGCATTCATGTAGAAAATTCTGTCAACATTGTTCTTGATAGGTCTTCTCTGCTAACAACTTTTTTCAGAAACTGTTTTTCATCAAATGTGAGAGATTGATAATTCTCGAGATGAACCTGTAAATTGAGGACAGCTGGATGAATTTTATTCAAGTCAAAGCTATAAATTCGCCATAGAGCTTCCGGAGCGCACACCCATCTAGCAGCTTGGAAGTTTTTAATTTCATCGACTGTACCATCCGGTTGTTTCTCTGTTAACCTATAGAGGATTTTATCATGTCCTTTGTAGATGTACTTGTACAAGTATTTCACATCTTGCACACTGGAGCAGATTTCAACATTAATATGACAGTTGAATTTCGCCAGTAGGTATGGGTTATAGGGTACTACCCATCTATTATCCAACCAGTAATGCCGAACTTGTACTTTTCTCCCGTTATTTCTTCTTCGGTAGATTGGGTAAGACTTTGAAGAGTGCCTGGTAAATTCAGAGAATTCTTTGGGATAGTTACTCTTGCACTTCTTGTTTTGCCGCATACAGGAATTGTGGATGTTTAGTTCGCCACAAGGACCATGCATCATGTGGTTGACTACTACTGAGTGAAGGTAAGGGTCAGTTTCCTCATGTGGAAGTTCTGCAGAGACAATCCTATCATACTGTTCTGGCGACGAGAGCTTGTATCTATCTTTTAAAATAATCAAAAAATGAGCATGTGGAAGACCTCTCTTTTGAAACTCAATCACATACGTATAAGCCGCAACTTCACCGAAATGGTTTTTGCTGATAATATCTTCTTTAAGCTGATGCAGTTTAGCATTAAAGACCCTTACTGTTAAATCAGGTCTATTCTGCCCCTCCTCACCTTTTAAAAGGTGTTCTGTTATTTCAGGCCACGAAGGATTGCATGTCATCGTCAGAAAGATATCAGGTTTGCCATACTTCTGAACAAGTGTCATTGCATCCATGTATCTCTTTCTCATGTCTCTTGGTCCTCCAATAAAGGATGGCGGTAAGATGATTCTTTTCCCGACTTGCCATGCTCCAATTAAACCATTTGATATGCCGTCAAGGAGGCCCTGATATATTTCAGCTCGTAATTTCCTTTGCTTATTATTGTGAAAATCCAATCTTTGTGATTCAATCTTTACATATGTATCAACAGCAAATTGTTGGAATAACCTTCCAACATGTAAGATGTGAGATTTGTCATTTTCTCTGATTTGGAACTTGTATGCATAATATTCTCGGCATGAAATGGTTCTTTCTTTTCCTTTGTCTTTGATGCTTTTTGTAATAGCTGCAGAATATAACATAAGAAAACTTTAGTTGGAGTTATCACGAGGATAAATTTTTAGTAAATACAATACGACACTATAAGGTAGCATACCTGCATTCTCAATGTGAATTATGTCATCAGCTGTTAAGGATTGTTCTAGATTGATCAGCTTTTCTCCGGTACATGTAGTGTTTGATCCTCTAGGAGTTTTAGCTGTGTTTATTCTTTGAATACCCTCATGCCAGCCTGTCTCTCCTCTTGCAAATATGAGAGGATATTGAAGAGGATCATAACAGCCAAAATAATGCTTTATCCTTTGTTTCTTTCCAGTTGTTGTGTAAACTTGAATTTCTTTAGATAAGTTCCATGTAAGGCCATCACTTTCTTTCCACATAGCAGCAACTTGTGATGCAGAAGGATAGTTGAAAGTACGTTGGTCTAATCCAGGATCTGACTTCAAGAAGATCCGGTATTCATCCAAGTTATCAAAATCTCTAAGGTTTCTGAAAAAATTTGCATGAGGGTTCATCTCATGTATCTGCTGCAATCTCTTTATGATGGATTCTCTGAACTTGCTTGAGATTCTCATTCTATTGGCAACTTCATGCTCAGTGTCATAAAAAAAAAACTGAACATTAGTACACTTTTGGTTTACTTCTGGCACCAATTTGTCCATAAAATGGTATACTTGGCCTTGTGCTCGAAATGTATAAATACCTTTATTCCTCTTGCATAATTCTTTATCATAGTGCACGCCGATTGATGTGAAAGCAAACATGTTGTAACTCCTTACACATTGTCGGAATTTGATAGCTTCCTCTGTGTTTTCTGTGTAAAGTTGAAGAAGCTCAGGAGGCATCTCAGTTTGTGCCAGTTTTATCTCACCCGAACTACAACAAAATCCCGGTGGTTCCATGTAAAATCTTTTTGCATTGCAATAAGGACAATTCGGTATTGAGGGTAATCGACTGGCTTCTGTAGGGATTTCCTTGAAGACCCTGATGTTTGCATATGCATTTTTTTTACCTGAAAACACACATAAAGAAATTACTTTGCTATTTAAGTTATCTAAGGTAGAACTACAAGGGACATAATGGAAAAGTAACAACAAATACAAATGTTTAGTACCTTTTTGCAGGTTTTGTTCCATGAGAGGAGATGGATGGTAAATGGCACTTGATCTTTCTGACTCATTTGATATTTTCGTTATTTGAGCGCTTGAATAAGGATAAGGATCACTTCCATTTGATCCTAGAGTGATTTCACCAGAAGAAGAACCTTCAACCAGTGTATTCGTACCCTGATTTTTCCCGCACTTCTTTTCCTTAGAAGCAGCATATTTTTCTCTACGTGAGGCATTTAATCTTTCTTTTTTTTCAATAGGCATACCCTTGTACTTTTCTCTTCTGGATGCATTTAGCTTTTCCCTTTCTTCAGGACTCATTGAATTGTATTTTGCATTCCTTGCCTCGTTTTTTTTCCTCTTCCGACATTCTTCGGGATTTGTTTGAACCAGAGATTGTTTCTTTGTTTTCTTATTATGCTCTTGACTTTTAGCAAAAATTATGCATATACTCTTTTCTTTTCCGATTCATGTTAAATTTCTCGAAATAAACAGAACCTATTTTCATGTTAGGAAATTCTTTCGAATATAACTAACTTAAACCATAACATTGACACAAATGAAAAAAGGAAAAAACCAGCAGCTAAAGTTTCACATATTGCATGAACATATTAAGATTACTTTATTGTTTGCATTTTGTTCTACATATTATAAAATTGAATGCATCAATGATTATATCTACTACTATAAAACATTAGTGCAGAAAAGAATAAAGTAAATTTTATAAAATTTAAAAGTAATTGGTATAAGGGAAATTACATTACCTGTATCAAAGTTTCACCGTGCTATATAAAGTTTCCGAAGTGGATGATAGAGTTGCTTATCTGCATGGGTAAAGATGCAATTGACATATATTTCGATAGTTGTAAAATTCCAGATTGGACAAAAGGGAACAATGAGAGAGCTTTTATTTAGTATATCATATATGATAAGTTGTAGTGATGGCTTTAATAAATTTCACTGAGGCATTTTATCAAGCACGTTACCTCCAATACTACTACATAATTACAAAAGTAAACTTCCAGTCTTAGGAAAAGCAACCATTGAGGCATGGGTAAAGACAAGTTCTTTTTGAAGAGTAAAACAAAGAGAAGAGGACTTTGGAGCCAAATTTGGATAAAGGGAAACAACCCTCATCAATGGGAAAGCTATAATGTATTTCATAGTGACAGGAATGGTGCATCTTGCTGGTCTCTGTTGATGGATTATAATTGAACTTTTAGGATTTCTAATATGCGTTTGAAATGTTGATTATCAAAATGCTTCAAGGACATCAAGTGCATAGGGCTAGAAATAACTCAGATGAAGTCTAATTGTGATAACTGAAATCAAGTGCAAGATGATTATTAGATATAAAGCACATAACTCGATTAAGTACAATAGCTACATAGATCGAAACTCTTTCATGTTTAATTTTCAACTTCAAGAATTTTTACAGAGATGCTTACCTTGGGATAAAACTCTTCCAAGCCTCTACTATGTTCCGGAAGAAGTGGAAATGTATATATCAGAGTTGGTGACGCTTAGTTCAGTTAGATTGTTGACATATGTCCAAATGTGTGCTCCATTTGATTTAAAAATCTTTCCAATTCAGATTCAGACAAGCCTTTTTGGGTAAAAGTACATATATGCCCCTGAAACTAATGAGGTTGTTCTAACGACGAAATTAACTGTTCCTTCATGTCCTTTCGCTTTTATTATAGTAGTAGATAGATAGATAAAATTAATTTTAATTTTTGAAACACTAAATTTTGAAACATTCTAAAATAGAAAATGAGCCTATTATATTTAAATGGAGGGAGTATAAAAAATAAAAAAAATATTTGGGTAAACTCGTTTGGCTCGACGAGATACCGAACAAATATTGTTGAACTTAGTTCGCCTCATATCCTTGGCAAGCTGACTCGAGTTCGGTAAACTCGAATTCAAGTCACACTTTCATCAAACCGACCGGCAAGTAACTCGCAAGCAATTCGGTTCATTTACACCCCTTACTTCTAGAACGGGAATGTCTCATGAAATTCATATAGAAACATTAGTAGTACAATTTAAAAGTAAAAAAAAAAGGACACAAAATTCTACAAGTCTGACTGAAAAATCATTAACTATTTATTGAATTAGCGGACTATAACTACAAGATTGTTTGAAAAGTTGCCACACATATGATTATCAAAGCTTGGGAAAAATCAGCCGACTCCTTTGAAAAGTCGAGATCTAGGATACTAACTAGATATCGAAAGAAAAAAATAATAATAATAATAACTAGAGTTTGGGACCGCAGAAGTTGCGGTCAGACACGGGCGACTTGAAGTCCGTAGGAAAACGAAAATAGAAGAATTAGTTGATTATTTCTTTCCAAAGAGAGTAAAATGACACAAAATATAATAATTTCTTATTTACAATCATAGTTGAACCGAAATGTATAGCATAATTAATACTATCTTTTTTTTAACCAAAAAAAAATTAATACTATCTTTTTGTTCCTACTGTGTCATCCAGGTGTTTTTTTTTTTAAAAAAAAAAAAGAATATCATGCTAAATATATTAATTGAGATTTCTTAGAAATTTGAAGAGAGGCAAATGTGGAGAACATGTAGAATGTGTAAATCATTGAAGGTTTAGCAAAATAGAGACAATGTGTGGTGTGGTGTGTACTTTAAAGTTAACAACAAATTTAGTAATTTAAAGGTATACCTTATTGATGGTAAACTAAAGGAGCTTAACAATTACAACATGCCAAATTACCAACACAATGTCCCAAGTAATTAGAGTTAACGAACTAAATACAGAACAATAAAAAGAATAAAAACTTTGAATGACCAACAGATCTTTTTCTCACCTCACCTCGTAGTACGACCCACCAAAGAAAAACATAACTCCCCCTCCCCCGCGGATTCAAATTCAAACAACAGTTCTTCCTTTGGATTTTTGTTGACTAAAGTACTCTCGTGTGCATTACTAGAACGACGATTGGAGATCAATGTCAGAACAATTGTACCCTGTAATTTTATCAGATAAGAAGAGGGAAAAGAAAGGGGGAAAAAGGAGACAACAATAAGAAGAATGTGAATTAGCGGAAAGAAAACAATGCCGGTTAAAGTAATTATGAAGCTAACATGATTGCGACTTTGACTTGTTTACTCAGAAGAAACGGAACCGCAAAAGATGGATCCACAGTTAGTATGCAATAGATTAGGTTAATATTCCATTTGTCCGAAATTATTGTCCCGTTTGATATTTCACTTTCAGTACATATTATACTAAAAATGAGAACTAAACAATATTTTGGGATTAATTTTCTAGATTTTTCCAAATCGTGGGACTAAAACATAGGTTTTCCCATTGTATGCGTATATATAAACCCAAAAACTTTCCTCTCAAAACAACAAACTTTCTCACAACCCAAACCAGTTCTCTCTCAGCTGGAGTACTTGAAAGTTCTCCAGAAGAAAAAAAAAGGAGTTTAACATTTCAAGAACTTGGTTTTGGCTCTTGTGCAACATTAACCTCATACAACAAACCAGAAAGAAAAGATTTTTTTGATACCATTTGAAGAACGGGGTCCATTTCATTGTTTCATCCTCTTTGTTCTCTGTGTTTCCACATGAAAATATAGATATTTACATACAAAGAACAAGCTAAGTGGAAGGGGGAAAAAAAGTATGGAAATAGAGAAAGGACCGGGGGCAGCCTTTAGAGCTTCAAGGAGCAGGAGAAGTAGTTGGGGAGTTGAAGATGTTTTCGCGAGTCAAAGAAGGAGCAGCCATGCGGAAGACGATGAAGAAGCTTTGAGATGGGCTGCTTTGGAGAAGTTGCCGACTTATGATCGGCTGAGAAAGACGGTGTTGAAAACATTCATCGAGGAGAATGAGAATGAAGGCAACAACAAAGTGGTGCATAAAGAGATTGATGTCCGGAAACTTGGGATGAATGAGCGTCAAGAGTTTATTGATCGGTTGTTTAAGGTCGCTGAGGAAGATAATGAGCGATTCTTGAGGAAGCTCAGAAACCGAATTGACAAGTAAGTTTCTTAATTTTAGTGCGATTCAATTCTGTTACACCACACTAATTACTTATGATCATCGTCAAGTACAAGTGTACAACAAAGTCAACACATTAATTTGGTTAAAGTTTGCACCAATTTGAAGATTCTGACTAATGAACTATTCCTCATTTCTTTTTAATGAGTCACTTTAGACTTTACACGTAAATTAAGTCGTTCAAGAATTAATTTATATGTCAAATATCTATTTTATCTCTTATTAATTGGGAATTGATTAACAACCTAGTGGTTAGATTGCTGTCTTTCTTGGTGATAGACCAGGGTTCGATTCCCACCATGAGTTATAAGTGGGATTTTACCCACATTTAAGTGGGGTCCACTAGGGTGGATTTTGAAAAAAAAAATCTCTTATTAATTATTTTGAAACTATAAACAGACTAATTATTATTGAGGACAAAGTTAGAAAATTAGTCATTAATTTGCCCTAAAATCCTAAAACGATTTATAATTTTAAATATTTTTTCTTCAAACTTAAAACGAGTTATAAAAAGAAATGGAGAGAGTAGTATACTCTAATTATAAATGAAGGATTAATTAGTAATTAATTATCGTTAATTACTACTACTATAAAAAAGCTTTTCTTTTTTCTTTTTTTTTTTGGGTAGTGTAGCAGATTTTGATGAATGTTTTAAATTTAGACGAATTAATTGATGTAATTTTTTTTAAATTGATGAATGCAGAGTTGGGATTACACTTCCAACAGTGGAAGTAAGGTACCAAAATTTGACAATTGGTGCAGAATGTTTCATTGGTGATAGAGCTCTTCCAACGCTTTTAAACACAGCTAGAAATATTGCGGAGTCTCTTTTAGGTCTTTTGGGTATTCGATTGGCTGAAAGAGCAAAAATTACTATATTAAAAGATGCTTGTGGGATCATTAAACCATCAAGGTGAGCCTAAAATCTTGGTCATATTTAATGTTTTAACACTTGAAAAAAATGTAACCCCATTTTTAATTCGAGATTTTCAATCTTTTGGACTACACAATACTGTTCAAGCATATGCAAATATCGCTAGCTTTCTGTATTATTTCCTGCCCCAGAAATATCGTCCACTTTGAGTTTTCATATTCGTAATAAATTTCATATTTATACTATTTTTAATACAAATTTCAAAACTCAACGTGGATCGATTTTTCGCGGGGTGAAAAGAGTATTAAATTAATCGACTAAATTAAATGATATTTAAGTGGAGATTATGATTTGCTGATTGGAATTTGCTAACATATTGGATAATAATTTTAATTATTATTAACAGGATGACACTTCTACTAGGGCCTCCATCTTCCGGGAAAACAACCCTTTTATTGGCTCTTGCCGGGAAGCTTGATCCTTCCTTGACGGTAATTAATTAATTAATTAACGTCAACATGCATAGTTATCAAATCGTGATACGTATCGCGTATCGGAAACCTAAATTTATGATATGCGTATCATATCGTGTATTGTATCGTAAGATACGTTTTAATATAATAATATGTATAAAATAAATAATAAATATCATAAATCCATATGTCATTAATATATTTATATTTTTTATTTTTCAGCTATAAACAAATAAATTGATTAAGTTGAATTCAAGATTATTTGAAAGTTACACAAATTACTCATTCATTACATGAATAATGGTCGTACAACCTATGTAATAAATATCGTTTTTCATGATAATTGTTATTATAGCCATAAATTTAATAGTGAGAGAAATTAATATAAACATGTATTGCATTTATTCAACATGCTATTAGTTATACTTCATTTGGAAAATGATATTATGAATAAAATAATATTTTTAAATCTATTATTTTTTAGACTATGATAATTTATTAAGCGGTTTTATCTTCAATTGAGAAAGATTATGTTCGTGAAAGAAATAAATCAATAATATATATTTAAAATAAATTGTAAATAAAATTCGCTCTTAATTTTAAATTTAAACGGTTATTATAAAACAAAAGTTTACATTTTTTTAATAATATATATTTTTTTGCCTATGTTTTTGTATCATACGATACGCAATCGTATCGTATATCGTATGTATCGTACGATACGTATCGATAATTGACCGATACACAAGCGATGGCGATACATAACATGATACGTATCGAAATCCTTGATTTTTGATACGTATCGTGCGATACGTATCGCGTATCGTACGATACTTCCTACTATGTCAACATGCATTAAGGAAAAAATTCGAAACAAAAACATAATTTTAACTATTACAGTTATTAATCTAGTGTGTGATTTTCACCATGGAAAAGTTTACAGGTGAAGGGAGAAATTACCTACAATGGTCACAAATTAAACGAATTTGTCCCAAAAAAGACATCAGCCTACATTAGCCAAAATGATGTTCATGTCGGAGAAATGACTGTCAAAGAAACTTTGGATTTCTCTGCAAGGTGTCTTGGAGTTGGATCACGATATGGTAAAATTACACTTTTTTTACTTTCTTTAAAAATTTAACAGCGTTTGATTTTTACCCGATATTAGTAGTAAACTTTTTTTTTTTTTTTTTTGTATCAATCTGACAGAACTTCTAGCGGAATTGGCAAGGAGAGAAAGGGATGCCGGAATTTTACCGGAGGGTGAAGTTGATTTTTTCATGAAGGTGAGTAAAGGAAAAAACTGGTCTTAGAGTGTGACACTTTTAGTCAAATAATAATAGTGTTTTATTGACTTTAGTGTTCATGAATTGCATTGTGTTTAGGCAACTGCAGTGGAAGGAGCTGAAAGCAGCCTAATTACCGACTACATACTTAGGGTAATTTTTTCCAAACTACAAAAATATGATCACGATGTGACCGCAACTTTCCAAATCATGTTGAATTTCCTCATTTTAGTTCTTCCACATTGGCAACATTCCATTTTTTTTTTTTTTTTTTTTTTTTGGAGGGACAAAACTCAGTTTTGGTAAAAGAAGAAAAATCATAGTTGAAGTTTGACTGTTTGACCCAAAAAAATTGCAGATACTAGGACTGGATGTTTGCCGGGATACAATTGTTGGTGATGAAATGCACCGAGGAATCTCAGGGGGTCAAAAGAAACGTGTCACAACAGGTTATTTTCCGTCGAAATATATCACTAATTAATACTCTCTCCGTCCTGAAATTATTGTCCAGTTTGAAGTTTCATTTCTAATACAAATTGAACTAAAAATGAAAATTCAAACTGAACAATAAGTTTGGAAGAGAGAGAGAGTATATGTTAGTCATAATTGAAATGGTAGTAACCTTACTGATTTGGGTTGTTTCAAAATTTGGCAAGAAAGGGAAGAACTTATCTAACTGAACTAGACTACTTATAAGTGCCTAATGTAATTGTAACAATGCAAGTTAAATTGATACATTCCTTAGACACACCACAAGAATGGTACTGAATCTGGTTTTGGCGTCTATGTTAAAACAGGAGAGATGATTGTTGGTCCAACCAAGACATTGTTTATGGATGAGATATCAACAGGGTTGGACAGTTCTACAACATACCAGATTGTCAAGTGTTTACAACAGGTTTCACATTTGACAGAGGCAACCATATTGATGTCCCTTCTTCAGCCTGCTCCCGAGACTTTCGACTTGTTTGATGATATCATTCTCTTGTCAGAAGGCCAAATTGTGTATCAGGGGCCAAGAGACCATGTTCTTGAATTCTTTGAAAGTTGCGGATTCAGCTGTCCTGAGAGAAAAGGAACAGCAGATTTCTTGCAAGAGGTAAAATTTTTTTTTTTTTAACCATAACTAATGATTTGCTTACACATTTCAAACCAATATGTATCATCAAATATGATACAACAAAAGGTGGAACTTGTTCATTACAGGTTACATCCAAGAAGGATCAAGAGCAATACTGGTCTGATCGAACTCGGCCTTACAGATATGTGTCAGTTTCAGAATTTGCAATGAGGTATAAGAACTTCCATGTAGGACAGCAAATTGAGAATGAGCTTTCAGTGCCCTATGATAAGGCTCGCAGTCACAAAGCAGCATTGGTGTTTAAGAAATACACAGTTCCCATGAGAGAACTAGCCAAAGCGAATTTCGATAAGGAGTGGCTTCTCATCGAGAGGAATGCATTCATCTATGTTTTCAAGACTATCCAGATCATCCTTGTCGCACTTATTGTAGCAACAGTGTTCCTGAGGGTTAAAATGCACACCAGAAATGAAGATGATGGGAGCCTCTACGTTGGTGCATTACTGTTTGGCTTGATTGTCAACGTGTTCAATGGTTTTGCTGAGCTTTCGCTCACAATTCAGAGACTTCCTGTGTTTTATAAACAAAGGGATCTTCTGTTCCATCCTCCTTGGACCTTCACCCTACCGACTCTCCTACTCCGGATACCAATTTCCATTGTGGAGTCTCTTGCATGGGTTCTTGTGACATACTACACTATAGGCTTCGCCCCTGAAGCTAGCCGGTACATTATGATGAACGCTACCACACAAAATAACAAGATTACATACGTGCGTATCGTGGACTGCCTAACGGCTTCTTTTAATTTCTATACAGGTTTTTCAAGCACCTATTACTATGTTTTCTCATCCAACAAATGGCTGCCGGGTTATTTAGGGTCATTGCATCAACATGCAGAACTATGATTATTGCAAACACCGGAGGAAGTCTGGTTCTTCTCCTGGTTTTCCTCTTGGGTGGTTTCATCCTTCCAAAACGTTAGTTGACATACAACTTTGTTTACATTCATTCACAGAAAAGAATGTCTACAGCTTTAACAGAGAGTAAACATAGAAAGTTTCTCATGCATTAAGCTTTTGACAGGTGATATTCCGGACTGGTGGGGATGGGGATACTGGATTTCACCTCTATCTTATTCCTTCAATGCCATAACTGTTAATGAGTTCTTTGCTCCACGGTGGATGAACAAAAATGTAAGTATACTTCCCAACTTCAGGCAAACCAAAATATCAAAATGAGCATTTGACATTTTGACAGGCTTTTCATATGATGTATGTATGAGTAATGTCATCTGTTACAGGCTACCGACCTTACGAAAAGGTTAGGAACACAAATAATGGAGAATTTCGATATCCCCCGGGAATCAAATTGGTACTGGATTGGAGCAGGTGCTCTGGTTGGATATATAGTACTTACCAACATAGTTTTCACCATTGGCCTTATGTACCTTGACCGTAAGTTATCTACGATGTCAAAATAGTTTGCTGTTGTTTTAAGGAGAAAAGGTAACTGATTGTATGTTCATAATTTGTTTTAACAGCTCTTGGAAAGCCACAGGCTACAATTTCCAAAGAACAGGCAAAAGAAATGAAAGAAGGTCAAAGACAAGTTAGGGAAGAGTCAGGTCTGAGAACAAACAAGTCAAAGAGAGATTTTCTCACTCTTTCATTTTCCTATTCTTTGTAAGGATTAATACAAGCTCATTAAGTGTGAAATATACCTTTACTTTATGATCTCATCAGGAGAAATAGCAATTCAGCCATACAACAGAAATGCTAATGGAAATAGGGTCAGTAGAAATGAGTCAAATCTTGACACCGCAACTGGAGTTGCTCCAAAGAGAGGAATGGTTCTGCCATTCACTCCACTTGCCATGGCTTTTGATGATGTGAAATACTGCGTCGACATGCCCGCTGTAAGGATTAACATTCAATCCTTAGATTACTGATATTTGCAAGTTATTATATATATGTTTTTGCAAATATTTAATTCATGTAACTTTTATCAGGAAATGAGAGACCAAGGAGTCACTGAAGACAGACTTCAACTACTGAGAGGAATAACTGGTGCTTTTAGGCCAGGAGTTTTAACTGCTTTAATGGGAGTTACTGGAGCAGGAAAGACCACTTTGATGGATGTTCTAGCTGGCCGCAAAACAGGCGGTTATATTGAAGGTTCTATAACAATATCTGGATTTCCGAAGGTACAAGAAACTTTTGCTAGGGTCTCTGGCTACTGTGAACAGACTGATATCCATTCCCCTCAAGTAACCATTCATGAATCATTGATTTTCTCGGCATTCCTCCGGCTTCCAGCCGAGGTCAGCAAGGAGGAAAAGATGGTGAGATATAGCAATTTTCCAAATCCCAATTCATTCACACAGCTTCCTAACATTGCTTTTAATTACATTTACTTATACTTAACCAAGCTTTGTACTTGTTTTAGATTTTTGTCAAGGAAGTTATGGAACTGGTTGAGCTTGATGACTTGAAGAATGCCCTTGTGGGACTTCCCGGAGTAACTGGTTTGTCAACCGAGCAAAGAAAGAGATTGACCATTGCCGTTGAACTAGTCGCGAATCCCTCCATCATATTTATGGATGAACCAACTTCCGGCCTTGATGCAAGAGCAGCGGCCATTGTCATGAGGACTGTGAGAAATACAGTGGACACAGGCAGGACAGTTGTGTGCACAATTCATCAACCTAGCATTGACATTTTTGAAGCTTTTGATGAGGTAAAAGCTTCTTGCAAAAACACGGACATTTGATCCTCCTCTTTTCCAATCTATATATATATTCTCAAATCCTCCATATTCTCATGTTACAGCTACTTCTATTGAAACGAGGAGGCAGAGTAATTTATGCAGGACCACTAGGACGGCATTCTCATAAGATCGTCGAATACTTTGAGGTACTTTCTCCGTCCCATAATGATCTTGTTGCTTAACTTTACAGAAAGGGAAAATGATGAACACTGAAAGTAACATATATGTGGTAGTCAATACCTGGAGTGCAAAGGATCAAAGAGAAGCAAAATCCAGCAGCATGGATGTTAGAAGCTAGCTCAATTGCAACTGAAGTTAGGCTTGGAATTGATTTTGCAGAACAATACAAAAACTCAGCATTGTTTCAGTAAGTAAACTGAGTGAGTAGATGATGAAAAAATTCAAAAGTTCTAACACTTAGTCGAGCTCTTCTAATTAATAATGTTACATATGAATGAACAGGCGGAACAAGGCTCTTGTGGATGAGTTAAGCACCCCACCTCCAGGAGCAAAGGACCTCTATTTCCCTTCACAATTTTCACAACCATCAATGGGCCAATTCAAATACTGCTTCTGGAAGGTGTGGATGACCTACTGGAGAAGTCCCGATTATAATCTTGTTCGTTTTTTCTTCAGTCTCCTGGCAGCACTTATGGTTGGAACAATTTTCTGGAATGTTGGGACGAAAAGGTCAACTACTCTCTACTTCATTAGTTAAGAACCCAATACTTTTGAAGCAGATTAGATTCACTAAAAAGGATCAAGTTTATTGATATCTGAATCCTCGTGCAACATTTCATGCCACAGGGAAAGCAACATTGATATCCAAAAAGTTATTGGAGCTATGTCTTCTGCAGTATTTTTTGTTGGGATGAACAATTGTTCAACGGTACAGCCAGTTGTTGCAATCGAAAGAACAGTGTTTTATCGTGAAAAGGCTGCAGGAATGTATTCAGCATTGCCATATGCCATGGCACAAGTGAGCTTCAATTCCAACCAAATTTCATATACATTGAATCCAATTTTTTCTACTTCCAGACTTATTAACTGTCACGTCTCAACATAATTTTTTTTTACATTTTTAAAACATCTTTTTACATTTCCAACTCAAACAAGTACCGAAAAAATACACATAGAAAAAACGGTCTAAACATAACTTGCTAGGAACTACACAAATGAGGTTTACAACATCACAAAATCAATGCAGGTTGTTGCAGAAATACCATATATACTTACCCAGGCCACATACTACTCGCTCATCGTGTACGCCATGGTTCAGTTCGAGTGGACAGCAGCCAAATTCTTCTGGTTCTACTTTGTGAACTTCTTCTCTTTCCTCTACTTCACATACTATGGAATGATGACAGTATCCATTACACCAAACCATCAAGTGGCAGCCATTTTCGCGTCCGCTTTCTATGGAATTTTCAATCTTTTCTCTGGATTCTTTATCAGCAGACCAGTAAGTAGTTCAACGTTTTTCATTCATTGAGCTGTTAAATTTACACAACCGTATGATATAATTCGACAAAATCGTTAAAACATTTTTTTTCTTTTTTGTTCATCAAATTCAGAGGATTCCCAAGTGGTGGATTTGGTATTACTGGATTTGCCCCGTGGCTTGGACTGTCTACGGATTGATTGCATCACAATACGGCGACGTGGAGGAAACGTTTCATGTCACAGGAGTAAAGGATCCAATAAGAATCAAAGATTACATCAGGTCAGAGTATGGATTCAGGTCAGATTTCATGGGACCAGTGGCTGGAGTTTTAATCGCTTTCACCGTCTTCTTCGCATTCATGTACGCCTTGTGTATCAAAGTCTTGAACTTCCAAATAAGATAGAACCAGATTCTGCATTCTAGAAAAAGTTGTAAATATTACAACCATGAGATAACCGGTCTCAGTAAGTAAGCTAATACTCCCTCCGGTACTTATTATAAGCCATTTTGATTTTGTTCTAGTTTTAACCTATGATATTTTTTTAATTGAAAAAAAACCTTAAAAATATATTGTCACATTCGTTATGTTCTTTTAATTATTAAGAAATATTTTTAAGGTTTTTATTTCAATTAAAAAGACATTTTAAGTGAAACTTAAGACGAAATCAAAATGCCTAATAATAAGGACCGGAGGGAATATTGTTTTATGTTAGTTCTTTCACTCTTTTCTCCAACACATTTGTCTTCCTTGTGTCACTCTCTCTATCTTTTTGTCTCTCCCTTACTCAAATAATTAAATTGTATTGAAATAAGTATTGTGATACAATATGGCATGCAGTATATATATGATACAAGAGAAGTAGAGAACCTTATTCTATATGGATAGGGACAAATAATTTGAGTGGAATCTCTTTCTTTGGCTAGCTTCCAGTGGTTTCTAACTATCTTTGGGGATGTCATAGCAAAATTGTTCAAACCAAATTGGTGTTTAAGCTACCTTGATGCTGTCTTGGCTGTTTTGAGTTGCTTGTTTTGCTTCCTTTGTGATTGGAAAATGATCTTTGTGAGATTAAATGTTGTGAACTTTGCAAGTAATCTCATCTACTGTATTTAGTTGAAGTCTGTATACCATGAGTGATCTCGATTTTACCGTTTGGATAAACTACTACTCTTTTTTGCTTGGTATTCATGACTGCATTTTCTGTGTGAACCCCTCTTCTACGTGTGGATTTTTGTGTTAGTATTCTACATTGTCCTGACTCTATGCTGTTTTACTTCCATACTAACATCCTTTATTATTTGGTGTGTTTTTTTCAATTTTTGTGTTTATTTGGATTTGTAACTCCTGCTTAATTATATTTATACTGTAAGTCATAGCTGAAAATATTTTGAAACTAATTCTGGAATATCATCTATAACATCTGCAATTTTTGGCCAAAACTAATTCATCGTGATTGCAAGACGCCTGTAGAAAAACTTATTCGTCGTGGTGGAGAATTGAAGGACCAAACCCAAAATTTAGAAGAACTGTCTCTCCGGATTGATTATCATTCAGTGCTGTCTGATTCTAACTTATTCTATAAAAAGTATCTTTTCTCTCCTTAAAAAAAGAAAAAAAAGTCTCTCAACTTTACAAAATTTGGTTAAACCACGATATATAATTGAGGTTGCACGTCTCGTAGTGTACTCTCTTTGGTCAATTGCCAAACATGTGACTGGAAGTGAGGATCTACAAATCAAATTCTTTAAGGAAGTTCCTGCTTTCGGGCAATGAAATTCCATGGATTAAGACATAAGAGGATAGAAATGACAAAATTATTGACAACAACAGGAACGAAGGAAATCTAGTCAAACTTATACATGAGCGGCTGGAGTGCCAGGTTGTGGATCTAATCCCCAGAAAATGTACATGTGCATGGATCCATAGCCAGACCTAAATACTGTATCTGATACTACAATTTAGAAAGATGTTAATTTTCCGGATCTCCAAATCGCGGCGCCACCGGGTTTGCTTTGGCTGTAGTATTCATTGTACGATCTTCACAATCTGATGCCTCTTTGGAAATGAAATCTTTCATACAACTTGGAGTACGTACAAGCTGTGGCTATATATGCAGTAATCAATTCTAATAACATTATAACATACTTCCTCGTCATAATTATTGTCCAGTTTGGATTTTTATTTCCAATTCAAATTGTACTAAAAGTGATATCTTAAACTGGACAATGATTTTGGGACAGAGGGCCAGTTTTTTGACGTCTAAGTATCTAAGCTGGTTGGCTACTGCATGTTGAAGGGAGGAAAAACTTCTTTCTTAATCAAAATAAATAAATAAAACTTCAATTTGTCTCTTAAACATCAATGCTAATTGTTACTGGAATCAAATTGCTTTAAATTCCAAACTTGTTAGTATATGAGAAAATGTGGACCTTCCAAGTGGCGGTTAATGAGTGACTTTTCTTTTTCCTTAATTAACACGTTGTTCATAGATATTTAGTTGAGGTGATCAAAGCATTGTTCTATCACATCAAATGATTTTTGGTCACTGCTCAAATCGACATCTAACATTTCATTTTTAGTTAAAGGAACTATTTTTATTTTAGTCTCTTCAGTGGCAAGAAACATTGATTGCGTCCGTTCACATATTAATAATATCTTTAAAAATCTCATTATATTACATACTTTTGAAAAAAATCCGTTTATAATCAAATTGACATTAGTTTGAGCGTAATATAGATCATGGTAAGATGTCAACTTCGATCGGAAGACCAAGTCTTTGCTATTCCCTACCGTGTATTTCCGAGAAATGTTGTTCTAGAATTCTCCAAGGCCATGCATTGCAATTTGCAACCCATCTCGTCTTCATTCATTTGAACCTTGATGGTTTGTTTTTGTTGTTTTTTCCCCATAATTAGCGGAAAAATGTGATAAAAAAATGACTCGACTAGACTGTCGGTTTCTTCCACACCGTTGGTTTAATGTTTCATGTAAGCTTCCAAACACCTTCCATTCCTCCCAATCATTCACTTCATCATAAAAAAATGCCAAACCTCAGCTTTTCATTAATTTTTGTTTTTAAATGGTGCAACTTCATTTATGGTATTAACCCCCACGTGGATTGTCTTAATATCACTCGTCCCGTACGTTCGAACCAACTTGTTTGTTAACAATTTTTAGATATTTTCCTCGAAGTTTACATCTCCTTCTCCCTATATAAATCCCTCACATTTCATTAGATCTTTCATCACAACAAACAACAACAAAAAGGAAAGTTGGCTTTCAAAACCTTTCTAAAAGTATCTCAACCCTCGTTGATTGATTGGCTTTCACCCCCTTTTTCCTTCCTCTTGCTCTCTTTCTCATCTTGCTGGCTCGAGGAGAAAGAGAGAAATCAAAATATCTGATTTTGATTTTCTAACTTCAAAACACTAATTATAATCTCATAACTTGCCCCGTTTTTTTTCGTGTTTTTCTTCCATACAAAACAAAAATGGCTAAAGGAATGATGCAGATGAAGGCGTGGATGGAAGTTGCACCATCACTTCTTGTTGTTCCTGTGAAACCTTCTCATTGTCCTAAGCTTGAAACCATCAGAGAAGATGGAGCTGAAGAAGGCCACGATGATAACGATGATGGTTCTTAGTAGTTTCGTCTTTTTTTTTTTTGGCTAAAAAATGTGGTTTGCATTAATTTTCTTTATTTTTAATTAGTAGGTAGAAAGAAATTATCTTTGGCAAATTAAGATAGTCTGGTGCCATTGATCGAATGTAGTACAGAAAAATAGGGTATAATTAAGAAATATGAAATCTTGTGTGGACTTCCGTGTTGTAACTCAAATAAGTTTCAATCAAGATTTTTGTTAGAGATTATTACATTTGTGTCCAATCTATTCATTTTCCTAAACTTGTGTTGCTTCCGACATCCCACCATGGAAGTGTAAACTCCTCAAGATGTGTACCATGAGCTAGCGTGTGATCATATTTTAATTGGCCGCACATGAGGCAATTCAAAATATTTGGTTTTGAGGATGGGAGTCAGTCAATAAATGTACGTAGACAAAGAGATCAACAAAGCTGTTATTTATTTTTTAACTTTTTTTTGATAACGAATCTTGTTAAATTACTGAAAAATGTCCAATATTAGATCTAAGGGCCAAGCGAACTAGCAACATGCTCTGCATCATTGGAATTATTAATGATGGGAGGATTACAAGAGTGATTAAAGTGAGGATTGCAATCATCAACATTGTTAAGTTCGAATTTGGAGATATGAAATTATCCTATTTAACTACTGTACATTGCTAACTTTCGTTTGCGCAGGAATACCATTTCGTTTGCGCAAGTAATAAGAGGTAACGAGTTAATAGTGGCGTCCTGAGCTAAGCTTTGGCTGATCTAGTACAATACTAAGAGATCAAATTACTACCGTTATATACTAGTCGACAACAAATGAATCAAAATTCCTGAAAACTAACAAACATCTTATGAATGACCTATCTCATGTCACTAAAATGCCCCATAATCACAGGTTTTGAGAAAAGTAAATGGTTGCTGCGCATGAATTCAACCACATCAATGTCAGCGTAGATCTTCGAACACGAACCAGGTCTAACATGATACACACTAACGAGATCATCACCATCAGCAGAATTAGATGCGACGTCGCAAATCACCCTTTTCGCCCAAAATGCAGCTACCTCGACCGACCAAACAGACCAATCTTTATATCTAATGTCAGGGGCAAAAGGCATTGCCAAAGGAAACGGCAAAGGAATCCCCGGGATCTCAATCTCCTCTCCAGTCAAATCCGCAACGTCTTTCAGAACAACATACCCAAGTCCAACATTAGATCCCGAAACCAATTTGTTTCCTTTAATCAGAATCCTGTATTGTCAACCCGATACAAGGACGGACCACTTTTACAGTCACTATCCCACCCTGCGATTAGTACTATTTCACTGCCAGAACCCAGAATGTCGGCCATCAATTCTGCTGCTTTTCCAACAGGAATTACTTTCCCCCGTTCCTGTTCCCATCGGAGGCACTTATGTTTCAAATTACACAGTAACAATCCGCAGCGGTATCTATCCCTTCCGGTCACTGTGGCAATAAGTCGATCACTTAGGTGACAAAAATTCGGGACAACTCCCGGATGTTTATGATTAACAGCTACCACAACCTCTCCTCTAGAGCTAAATTCGGGGGACCCTTCTCAACTGGTGGGGCAGAATCAAACCGTCGGTTCCACTCAGGCCGCCGATTCGGGTCGACGGACAATTTAACCTTCGGAATGTTCTGAGGATTCACGATTACCGCCCCGGCGTTGATGTGGGCGACATGAGCAGGGTAAAACTTATCAAGGTATGGTTTATCACGGGTTCGGTCAGGTTTTGCATCAAAATTGCTCCTCCGGTGACGGGGACGGGAATAGGGAGATCGGGGATTCCGATCGCCGGGATAACGATAACTGTCGTCGTAGTCAATGGATGAGCGACGGCGTAATGGGTATCGTACGGGAGAGCGACTTTGTCCAGAATACATGATTGCCGGCGTCGAAAGCTAAAGAATATACGAATATTATGGTTTCCTTCCTCCTATTTATATAACCCAATTTCCAAATTCCTTCCGGATGGAGAGATTCAAAATCCCTTCCTCGACGTTTTGAAGGTGAAAGCTGCGACGACGTTGCGCAGACAAAACAGGCGCCAATTAGGAAAGGAGATCGTTCTTAAAAGCCCAAGGTATAAATGGGCCTATTAAAATTTTCGGCCGAATATCTGTTCGTTACTCGTCTCTTTCTTAAGCAAACAATTGGGCCATTCACACTTTTTTGAGGTTTTGATTACACGGTAGGCTAAGAAATTAAACCTAGAGCCGAAATTCTGCTCCATTACTACTCCTCGTTTAGATGATCCTTTATAGAGAGATGTTGGTGCCCATTTTTTAGTAACACTAGCTAAGAAATCAGTATAACGGGTACAAAATTTAGAAGAAAAAATAGACTACTAATGAACCAGGAAATCAATGTACGGGGTGCGAAAAATTGTACAATACATAATCTTTTATTTAAAATTTAGATATATTTACTAATTATAAAAAAAATTGAACAGGTACGATTGCAATCCTCTATCCCCTAACTCTGCCACTAAGTCCTATCCATGTCACGCTATCGGTACTGTTTCAAATTATTTTATTTAGTTTTTGTTCGAAAAATATGTTATCTTTAGTTAGAATATTCATCCGTAACACCTAATAACTTATGAGAAAATGCTAAAAGTAATTTTTTTTAGAAAACTAAAACCTTTTAAACGCGATGCCTCGCAAGCCGATATAATTGAAAGTTGAGTGGCTTGATTCTGTTGTTACGAACCAATTTTGGTTTGTCTAATCATCTTCACTGTCACATTTTTCTAATATAAATGAATTTCACCGTCTTTATCGCTATTCAGTTTTAAAAAAATAACATAAACCCTAGATTGCACAATTTTAAACTAACGAGTACAAGTGCAATTTCCGTAAGCCTAAGCATTCGATTGCAGACTTGCAGTACAAACCATTGGCAAGTGAATTATTTTTGGGAAGGTAGACGTAATAAATGAATACGGAATTTATTGAATGGTTTTAAATGTTTAATGCACTAGTCCAGTACTCAACCACTTCTCGTGCGTTGCTAGCTTACTCTCTCATTAAATAACCATGACAAATTTATGAACTCTCTCATTATTTCGGACCACTTCTTTATTTTCTTCCCGTTACTGTCGAATTGGATTTGATCAAAACATTTATTCTAATAATCTCTCTAAATTGATTGACATCACCCCGAATTCTTTTTGCAATTGTGCGACATTTTCATGATGTTAACGTAAATAAAACTAAGAGATAAAATACGGAGTAATCAGAGTAATGATTTCGGATATCAGGTACTTAATAGTGATAAAATAATCTATTTGTTGGTATTATATTAATTAGTGCCATTAGTGTCATCATCGCTCTCGAGTATTCGGACTGAAGAATCGAATTAACAAAATTAGCCCCCGGCAAGTTTCCGTTCATTTAAATCATTTCCCATATGGAGAAAACAGGCAAAGAAAATCCAATTTTGGTTTTTCCATCATCGATAGTCAATGACCAGATTTGTACCGACACGTGGTGCACTAATAGCCATGAACTGAACATTCATGAACAATGGACATTAACAATGTGGAAAACAATGTAAAGAAATTAGGGGGAAAAAGGAAAAAACTGCGGCTGATGTATACAAATTTTTGGACTAAACTAAAGAGTTAAATTGTTCAATTATTGGTTTGACAACAAAATATTCGATTCTATAGTTATCCGTGGATGGAGCATGGAGGATCGGGGTTGTGATCCCTAATAGTTTAGGACTTTAGGACGATAAATTATTACTCCCTCCATCTCAAAATGTAGGTCGTTTTAGGTTTGGAGAGATTTTTCAAAATGTAAGTCGTTTTACAAATTTTAGGCAAATTAATGACAATTTTTCTAACTTTACCCTCAATAAATGATGCTAATTTATTTTTATTTAGTATTGTTTATAGTTCTAATGTAATTAATGAGGGGTAAAAAAGATATCTAACACATAAATTAATTGTTGGATGATTGTATCCTTAGTTTACGTATCAAGTATAAAAAGACCTATATTTTGAAATAAAGGGAGTATTATCATAAGGTAGTGATATAGTCATTTAACTAGATTTTTCTTTCCGATAACATTGGGAACTTCATCAGAGAATATTATTTTTTTGTTATAAAATTATTATTCATTTTAAATTTTTATTTTTAATGTAATTTGAACTAAAAATAACAATTTAAACTATATAATAATTTTGGAATGGCGATCGGATTATGATTTTTCATTTCCTTTTCTTTTTTGATATTACCAGAATAAAGAAAAATGAAAATATTCAGTTCTCTCACAAACTGAAGCTACAGATTCCTATGTAGACTTTATAGGAAGAGGCTAACACGTGTCCAGAGTTGAATGGATAAGGACTTATGAGTCATGACAGGTGGACACGCAACATTGGGTGGTCGGTTAAGGTGGATGTGGACCCCAAAGGTCGGCTTGATTACGTTTACGACTCAGGAATTCCGTCAGTGATGAAAGCTCTGTTTCCGGTCTCATGAGCTAAATTGATGATGATTTGACCTGGCAAAGAGGACGAACAAACTAAAGAGCCCTTATTAATTTCATTTTTTTTTTGTTTATTCTCTTTGTCATATCATTTATAGCTAATATCATTTATAGCTAATTAAAGACCACATTATATACTTGATAAAATGAAAGAAAGAATAGAAAGGCAAATAAGATACAAATTAGTACTACCTGCGTCCCATAAAAATAGTCTACATTAAGTTTTTCAAATTTATAATAAAAACAGTCTAAAACTCAAAACTCAATGTGCACTATTTTTGTGAGACGAAGGGAGTAATAAAAATTGTGCAAACCCTAGTCAGGTTCCCATTAACAAGATTACGCAATTAAAAGTTAAAAACCTTGCTATTCTCAATTACGTGAGATGGAGTGCGCATTTGAAGATAAGAATACTGTCTTTTTTTCTTTTCTTCCTTTAAATCAAAACATTACAAATGCATACATAAGTTCGTAATTAATTCTTTTTCAGATAACTATTGTATAATCAATGTACAGTATAATTACGCTCACTAGCTAGATGTGAAGGTAAGAATCGTGCTCGAATTTATTATAATGAGTTTATAAAGTACTCATATTATAACTGGTTTGTATAATGACTTTATACGTAAAAGTTCATTAGGGGTCAAATCTAAATACTCCATCCCACTGGGCGGAGCTACATACGAGGGAAGTGTGGCAATTGTTCCAGCTGGAATTTTTTTTTTCTATTAATTCCTTGAAATTTTAAAATTTTTTTAAGAAAATCAATTTTTTCCTCAACTGAATTGAAATATTAAGAACAAGTATATTAGATTAAAAATTTAAAAAATTTTGTCCCATCATATGTAGGGGGCTTGGCTCCCGCCCTGCGATCCCAGAAAGAAAACCACGTACTACTACTACATTTTATTGAACTAAATAATTATTACAAATATACTCTTTCGTTGTACAAAAAAATATAAGTACTAACATTCTTATATTTTCGTAGAAAGAGAATGTATTAATGTATTCTTCTACTATGAAGTCTACGTATTGAGTTGCCTACTTTTTTTTCTTGGTAACGCAAATAATAATCGTCCAAGTATAAGAAACACCAACGCCTCAAATCCTGTGATCACTGTGTTTTATCGATATCTGGTCATAAAAGAAGCTTTTTTTTTTTTTTTTTGTAAAAGATAAAAAGAAGCTATTAGAAATTCCGTCTTATCTTCTTACCCTCATTGTTATTTACTGTGTTTTCCTTAACTTTAGGAGGATCACCCAACATTAGTGGGTAATAGTAGAAAACACTAGAAGGGAGTAGCTGAAAATCTTCTCCTAATTTCCATGTGCCAAATTTCATAGCTCAACTCTATCATACTTCCTCCGTCACTGGACAATAATTTTGGGATAGATGGAATATATTGTAATTAGTCTTTTTAATTTAAATAATTATTGTTTCTAAAAGAAAGGACAAAGGGATTGAGACTTGGAAAAAAAAAAAAAAAACCTATAACCCAAAACTCAAATCACATGTATACCAACAGAGAGAAATCCTTTCAAAATATAATTGCAAAAATAAAACTATTTTTAAAAAAAACTCCAAATGACAGAAGAATATTTCTCAAAAGGGCAAAGAACCAGACAAATAACAGGACATAATTCCCAGCAAAGAGCAGCTAAGCTGACCTAATTTGCATAAACGATCAACTTTTTTTGCCCAAAAGGCAGCCGTATTGTTTTTTGATGAACTATAACTAACATCACATGTTTTGTGGATACGGAAAGAACCCCTTCCTGATCTGTACATGTTACAAAACTCACTGTAAATGTCTGGTTCAAAACTTCAAATGATTATATTACAAAAACCATATAATAAAAAAAGCAAGGAAAAAAGACTATGGTTCAGAATAACTAATCATCATTTTTAAATTAATGGGCCATTATTCAAACAACAAATATGAAATAAGGTAATCCCATTACATGTCACTATGGATTGAATCACACTTATCAGGTTCTCTACATTTACATATAGTTATTTTAGTCCTTACATTTCAAATGAACAAAATTTATCCTTTACTTCTATAAAGTGAGTGGATTTAGTTCCTTCATCATTTTGTCAGTAAAGATTGAGCAACTGGTATTGATCGAGAGTGTCAGATTGACATGTTACATTAAATGATGAAGTATTTTTGGAGGTCCAGATGTTCATCAATGACAATTATAAGGTTAGTATCAATTTCTTCAATTAATTTTAACGCAAAGTCATCATTAATAAAGACAATTATTATATAACATCTTTTCATAAAAAAGTCCACATTGAATTTCGTATAAATATCAAAATTTAAGTAATTAATTTATTTATTATTACTATTTTTTTGCAACCGAAGGAGCAGAATTTGAAAGAGTGCCAATAATCTTTGATGTTAGGGTTGGGACTGACATTTTTTTTTTTAATTAGGTCAAAACATTTCATTCACAACTACCAGAGACACTTTATCTTCATTCAAAATGTGAGGAACTAGATATGATGTTTTCTATGAAATACAGGGAATAGAAGAGGAGATTTTGATCCATTATGTCCCAAATCATAAATCTACAGAATTTGAGGGGGGCAATGGTTTCGCTTTTAGGTGTAAAATCCAGATAAATTCATCTGGCAAGCTTCCATTGTAATCCAGATAAATTCCTCTGGCATGCTGACATCTTCCCTAAGTAATGAGACAAAAGCAATCCAATTATACGAGATTTTTTTAATAATTGATTAATTAATGAATTAATTAAAGGGGTTTGTACTTAATTATTTCTGGCGCACACATATTCTCAAAGGATAAGCTAAGGGTGTTATAAAATTCTTAATACGTACCACACTCTAACGATAACATTAATTATTATTCTGTAAAATTTCCACTAAATTAAGGGGTTTGTCTGGAAACATCTTTGACACTTTGACTAGTTTTTATCGATTTCCTGCCCGATATGGTGGATTCGCGTATCTCCCGAATATGCAAACTCATCATTTAATGATACCAAAGCGTTGTAAAAACACATGCAAGTATCAAACTTATGTTGGCATCAAATACCAAAGAGTTTATCAATATTTAGTAGTCGTCTATATAATTGTTAAAAGACATTCAAATTTCGAGTCGATTCAGAATTAGTCTTGCCTTAATGATTTTAAAAATTTACCAGTATTTATATGACTGTGTTACGTTAACTCGAGAATTGATTTTGATACAATTCACAATGAAAATGAACGCAAAAAAAAAAAAAAAATGATAATGAAGTTTTAAATTTTGTCAAAATCCTCCACCTAATTTTGATGCTTAATTTTGTTAGTGTTTCCTAATAATAACATTAGGGATTATTAATATATTTCAGAGGCGTACCTAGCTAAATGGACCACATGATTGTGATTTGATTGTACCTAAACGATTCCATGCCGTGCTACTGATTTCGCCCAACTTCGGCGAACAGTTTGGTCTCATTAATCGGTTTTCAAAAGCATGTGAAATTTTATTAGTACGCCATTTCAAATCATATTAATTCAAAATAAACCGAAGAAAAAAAATGTACTAGTACTACGTAGGATGGGTATGTAGAGAGACTATAGAGCCGTTGGTATAAGAACTGTGCTGATGTTGGCTAGTGGGACCAACCGACCAAATGCAAGCGAAGAATTTCCAAATAATTGATTTTTTTTTTTTTTGGGGTTGTCTTGGGCGGCGAAATTGTTTTAATTTTCTTTTTCCAAATTAAAAAAATAATTCCAAAAGCACTTATAATCATTTTAACGTCTCTCTCTATTCCCCTACCTTTATCTTCCACCCATAAATACCTAAACACATTGCTCTGTTCTGTACTCTCCACTCATCTCTCAAAACACACACTCACACAGTACTACTCTTTCTTTCTCTCTCGATTCTTCTGAGCTCTTTTCTTCTGCAATGGCTAAGGACGTTGAAGCGGTAGGAACCGAGCAAGGCGAATTCTCGGCCAAAGACTACCATGACCCTCCACCGGCTCCCTTTTTCGACCTGGACGAGCTCACCAAATGGTCTTTTTACAGAGCTCTCATCGCCGAGTTCGTCGCCACCCTTCTCTTCCTCTACATCTGTGTCTTGACCGTCATCGGCTACAGCCACCAAGTCGACACCACCGCCGGCGGCGACCAGTGCGGCGGAGTCGGTATCCTCGGTATCGCCTGGGCTTTTGGTGGAATGATCTTCATCCTTGTTTACTGCACCGCCGGAATCTCCGGTAAGGCTGGCTGAGGAGCCTTTTTTTTTTTTCAATTTTCCGAATTAAACTTCTGGGTTGTTTAATTTAGTGGGTTTTAATATCTGGGTTGTTGTTGAATTTTGAAAATTTTGTGGGTTTATTACAGGAGGACACATCAACCCGGCTGTGACATTCGGGTTGTTCTTGGCCCGGAAGGTGTCTCTGCTCAGAGCTTTCTTCTACATGGTGGCTCAGTGTTTGGGAGCAATCTGTGGTGTGGGTTTGGTGAAGGCTTTCCAGAAATCTTACTACGTCAGGTACCACGGCGGAGCTAACGTGGTGGCTCCCGGCTACACCATTGGTGTCGGATTGGCCGCTGAGATCATCGGAACCTTTGTTTTGGTCTACACCGTCTTCTCCGCCACTGACCCCAAGAGAAACGCCAGAGACTCTCACGTTCCCGTAAGTTTTCATCTCCACTTTAATTGATTTGCACGATAATGTTATTTTTTTTAACACTGTACTAATTCTGAGTGAATTAGAAGTCATTTCTTACTTTTCTGGCATAACCTTTGCATGTTAATGTTTGTTTTAAATGTATTATCTATCTCCATGAATTTAGGCGAAGTGAATCTGCAATTCATGTATAAAGTTGATCTGAGATCATAAGAATCCAAAAAATGAGACGCGAATTAATGGGCTAGTTTTGTTTTCACTTCAATAGGATAGGATTTTGAGCATATGGACCAGTAGATAATATATACTACAGTTCAGTGATAGTGCCAAGTGGTTGGTCATTTTGTGGTCTAAAAATATTGCACTGTTTTTCTGAGTTGAGTTTTGGTCAAAATGAATTAGGTAACCTATTCTGCTACATGACCAAACTCTGTACAAGTAAAAAGGAAGAAGAAAAGTAAAAAACTTTACCATGTGAATTCAGAAATAGTAATTCTCAATTAGCTTGAAGAAATCAATTTTTTTTTCAGTTTGCTTATGAATTTTTCTATATGGTATAAAGGTGTTGGCTCCACTTCCAATTGGATTTGCTGTGTTCATGGTCCACCTCTGCACCATCCCCATTACCGGAACCGGAATCAACCCGGCTAGGAGCTTCGGTGCCGCCGTGATCTACGGTTCAGACAAGGCTTGGGATGACCACTGGATCTTCTGGGTCGGACCATTCATCGGAGCTGCCATTGCTGCAATCTACCACCAGTACATCCTCCGAGCTGCTGCCCTTAAGGCATTGGGTTCCTTCAGGAGCAATGCTTAAACAACCACAAAACACATGGTGGGCTTCTTAATTCAATCATTCCAGAGTCTTCTTTGAAAAGGGATCAAAAAATTTGCAGAGGACCACATCTGGATGATGATGAAGCGTGTTTTTTTCAATTGTATATAATTTTCGTTGGAAAAAAGGGTGTCTTCTGCCTTGCCTTTTTTCTTACATTCCCCCACTTGTTTGTGTTATCTTTTCGAGTGTCTTCTTCCACTTTCCCTTCGGATGTATTTAAGTGAAAAAAAAAAAGCTCTCTCTGTGTTGTGTTGTTGTTTTCAACTTTTATCCTTCGTTCCGTTTGTTTTGTAATTTCCTTTTCCCTTTCATTTCCGTGTAATTTATTATCTTCCAATTGAATCGAAATGTTTTTCCTTTCATCATTTTGTTATTGTTGTAATGTAGTTTGCTTCTTCTTCGTTTAATCATGTCCATTTGGAAAAACGATTGTCTTTTATTGCCCTAACTTTAATTCAATCTCTGCTTATAATATACTCCCTCTGTCCCAAAATTATTGTCCAGTTTGAGATTTCACTTTTAGAATAATTTAAACTATAAATAAAAATTCAAACTGGATAATTATTATGAGACAGATGGAGTAATATTTCTACTATAACTCAAATTAGTATCTGCAACTCACAAATGTAGGTATAATGATAGATGTTGTGGCTTTCAAAAGTGTTGCATTTTTTAACATTGTTTCCTATCATTACTTGAAGTGAATTGTAGTAAGAAGTGAAAGTGAAATTTGTTGCATATGTATAATTCACTAGATCGGATTCATCTTGAGCTAGGTAACATAACATTACCTTATTTCTAATACCATGAATTGGATTGGCATCTTAATTTGAAGCTCTGGCAAAGATTCCATTGAAGAAGAACAACTGTAAATTTCAGTCCTTATATCGGACAAGAACAAACAATATATACAAAGAAAAAGCTAGTGGATAATGGAGTATTTTATTTTTGCAACCCGTCTAAGGGGGCTGAGTGGGTAACTCTTTATTTCTTTTTCATTGACAACGAATAAAGGTGTTATTTAGAAATCAGCCTCTTCTACAATTACAACAAAGCATCTCATCCACAAACATATTTTAAGTATAGTATTCCACTATCGCTAACTACAAGTGCAAGAAAATGTTGTAACCCTAATAAGATATTCATGATGGTGATCTATGAGTTGGCTTTTGTAGCCATCCATTTTGGATGTGTCTAATGATGCTTTTGATTCCTAGCTACCAATTTATAATAATTGATGAGTAGGGAAAAATAATAAAACATGTTAGGTGATCTCAATTGAGCATTATCCCTTTTTTTTTTTTTAATTCTCCTTAATTAATTTTTTATAATTTAAGGATTTCAACTCGATTAAAAATATGTATTTGTGTCACGGAATGGTGAGGACATATCTCCGTTCGTACATAGATCAGACTTACATAATCACCGGATTGATTGGTTGTTAGTCGACGTTGATGTCATTGTGTTATAGTTGTTGTTAAGCTAACTTATCAACGTTATCTTCTTCCATAGTTTATGATAATCAATAATCATCATGTAAAGAGCAATTTGAGAAGGGAAAAAAAAAGAGTTAGTGAGGATTAGCTGTTTGATCATTGCTGATGCGCTTTTGACATTAAAAGAAAAAGGGGTGGAGCTTTCACAATCCAAACAAAAAAATTACATCAAAAGCATCTCGAGGTTATTATGGCAGCCATCCATTTCATTTCACTTTCTAGCATATATGTGGTTTCGGAGTGGAAGGGGAAAAAAAATGATGACAAATTGGTCGGTTTGGTTTATTATCAATCTTACTAATCATAAAGAACTGACCGTTGATTTAATTGACTAAATGTCTTTGTTTAATTTGTGAACTTAATTTTTTCGGGCTGGTATTCAACTGATTATGTCATAGTCGGTAAAACAAATATTGTAAATTTTTGTTTTTTATATATAAAAATAAAATTCTCCATTCTAAAATGAGACTGTTTTGTTTGTTGTATAACCACAATCCTTAATCCTAATTTCCCACCGTTAAGTTGCATAACGATTAAATAATTATCCAACTACTTACAACGAAAATAACGAGTTCTTTATTCTCCACCCTATTTTATTTCGATTAGACACATGAACTGCATTTGGTCATTGGAATGTGTCAAAACACATTATAAATCATGTAAGTTTCAGTAAATTGTATCTTTTACGACTCATCTATTACTTGTTTATTAAAACATTGTTACTCTCTTGATTTACAAGGGATGTTATGAAAAAGCTTGCTAGAAAATCAGTGAGTGTGTTTTCCTACAATAAAATATTACTACAACAATCTATATAAAAGGAACTAAAAATTTTGATTATGTGCAAGATTTACTCCATAGGTTCCAAAAAGGCAAAGAATCCCCCTTTATATTAAACTAAAGTATTTCTTTGTATTGGTGTCTTATCATTGAAACCAGAGAGATTAGTATTTTTGAACGGGGAAAAAGTTTTGGATGGAAGGAATGCAAAATTATCTGTTTGTTTCGTTTTTTTATGGTTTTTTCCAAAATAATATAACAATAACTGTCCCATCCCAGCATATTTTTTTATATTTTTTAAGACCCTTTTTTATATTCTCAAAACAAAAAACACTTAAAAACACACACTAAAAAAAAGGAATAAACAAGTTTAATTCACTATAATTCTTCGGTCAACCAAGAAAAAGATTACTCGAGCTATTACTTCGATTTGAGCCCATTGCTTTGAGTGGGTGGTGGTCTCTGTATATGGTTTTATAAAATTGGGCTGAGATGCTACGGGGTGGAAAAAGAAAAGTTAAAAGCCCAATTAGAAGAACTGCCTTAGTCATCCCAAATTCAGAATCTGCAGAATGAATATTTATTTCGAGTTCTGGAAAAAGTGTAAATAAGAGGTGCATGTAGAATCTCTCCCATTTATCATTTTTTTTTCTTTATAAATTTCATCCATTGTAAGTATTTAAGTATTACAATAAAAGTGCAGGATGTCACATGAATTAAGAATAATGAACGAATTTTCATTTATACACAAACAATGAACGATTTTTTTACATTGGTATTTCATTTTGATTTTAAATATATTGTAAATTTTTATTGTAACAAGGTTCATTTGAAGAAGAATGTAAAAGGGATTAAAAAAGATATTTCCTCCGTCCCGAAATGATGATCCAGTTCGGATTATCATTCTTAGTTCAAACTGTATTAAACGATAAATTTAAATTGGATAAAAAGTTTGGAACAGAGAGAATAATAATTTTCTATGACTGTGGTAATTAGACTCTTCAATGAATATCATGGCATCAATGGTTCTTGTGAGTTGTGACTGTATGATGGGATACACAAACACAAGGACGACCCTCGTGACTCTGTCTGAAACCTTATTTAAAAAACGGTTTGAAGCCTGAAAAAGACCATCGGGAGGGGAAAACAATGCAATGGGGAAAATGTAAAAGGAAAGAGGAAAGTTTTTATTTATCACCATCTCTTCTTAGAGATAAATGATGAAGAAAAATGTGTGCTTTGTGTTGATGTTGTGTGCAGCCTTGTGCCCGTGACAGTAATTAAACATAGAAAGCCTTTTTTTTTTTTTCTTATATGTCTTCCTTGATTCTTTTTCTACTGTGAATTTTGAATGACACTGAAGATTATAAAACATATGAGAGTTGTTGAATTGTGTGATTACACATAGTAATATAACTTAATAAACGGGACTTTCTTGCCGCTTCCAATTGGTAATAAAAAGAGAGAATTATGGTAAAGTATACCTTCTTTTTAACAAAACGTTAAAAAGAAATAGATGTAATGGAGATGGGAGGGACTATACTGATTGCTACAAGAGGATGAAGGACATGGTGAGAGGCGTGACCTAAATAAAGGCAAGTCGAAATGTAACATTGATTTCTCAGTGTGTGTGTGTGTGTGTGTGTGTGTGTGAGGCATGCGCTTTGTGGCATCGTAATTATGTTTTGTTAAAGTCTTTCACTCTCCTCAGTCCTCTCAACTCAAGTCAGAAAGAGCTGAAAAAGACAACCCAATGAATGCCATATTGCAACAAAAGCTTCGACTACTATATAGTATAAGCATTAATTATCTTCATCTACTAAAAGTAATGCATGTAAAAGATTGCAAATTGCAATTTTATCGTTCAATGCTTTGCTGCCCGGTTAAGCTAAGCAAAACCCACTCTCTTTTAGATTGATCATGTTTTTCCTTCTTTAATCCTTGAAACAAAGAGGTAAAAAAAGGGAAAAGCAACAACAATTAATTCACCATGATGCCTCATCAGTGTTTGGTTTCTGATGGATTAAGTTTCACTTACCCCATTCAGAAATGATTTGTGATAGATGTGATTGCTCCCTGGCATTGACATTTTGCCCATAATATAGTCTGCTAGTAACCTTATACGAACGAAAAACCGCAAATACACACACACTTATGTAAACTATTCAGAAAGAATAACTAACTAACAAGATTTTTCGAGGCAATCAAACTGTTGAAGGAATCCATGTTCATGGCATTCTACGTGGCAATGTACTCCCTCCGTCCCATAATTATTGTCCAGTTTCAGTTTTCATTTCTAGTTTAAATTGTACTAAAAGTGAAATCTCAAACTGGATAATATTTTTGAGACAGAGGGAGTATATAAAGACCCCAAAGTAATCAATTCCTCTTTGAGGTTGCACTTTAGTATGAACATAACTCTCAGAGCCACACCGGGAAACCTACATCATAATAAGCTGTAAACAAAAAGAACCAATCATCATTCCTCTTCATCACTGCTCCAATTTTGATTCAAGTCAGGGAATGCTCTCAAGTTCTTCTGCTCCAGCGCAAAAGCAGATGATACCACAACGAGAACTAAAAGATTAAAAGAAAGTTTAAACTTAAAAAGTAGATCAAACTTCTAAATTTTAATTTACTCAAAGGGAAGACAAATGGATTGAACAGTAGAAGCAATATTTTATTGAGTAAAGAGCTATCATTCCGTTCCCTCCTTTTTCTCATTTCTGCAATAAATTCATCTTCAAGCAACTACATTTCTCCAGTACAGAGCACATTATCCTATAAAAAGCCTTCCAAACCATCCCTCCAGTTTGAAGTATCACACACTTGAGTGAATATTCACATTATACTTGTAGCAGCTGTGGTCTTTTGGCATTGAAGAGAAGACGCGTCATGGCTGCCTTGACTTCTTCGCTTCTGTTTGTCATTCTTGCTTTGTCTACCATTGCCAGAGCTCAAGATAGAGCACCACATGGACTAGAATACGAGAGCCCTATGGCTCTCTCGCCAGAAGCATATGACTTTTTCAATCCTGATGCACAGCCAGAAAGCAGCACAGAACCTTGTTCTACATCAGATTGCACGACATTACCAGAAGCAGCCACGGTGCAGTCAACTCCAGCACACGAAAGCACATCACCACCTGAAGAACCTAAAAAACCACTGAGAACCCGTAGCATTGCTACCGTTCCAATTGGATTGGTGTTTGCTCTCATCCTAGGAATGTTTATCTACTACGTGGTGTATACTCGCCAAACCAATGCAGCTCGAACTAAAGCTGCCCAGCAGTTCCAGACCACCGTCTGACATGTTTTCTTCAATCACTATGATCAGCATGATACTGCTATTAGCTGATTAGATTGTCTTCCCACCATCCATGTTACATCCTTACTTTCTCTTAAATGTCGTATTATGGATTGCGTGTTGTAGCTATTATCTCTAGAATGTTAGAAGACAGACGGTTACTATTATGAATACATGATTTACACTTTAAAAAAAAACGCCTATAGCTCTCTTTATTATTCCATATAGCAACACAAAAGTAACAGCTACTCTCCAAATGCAACACCCAATACTCACCCAACACGCAAAACAAACCTCTCCTGTTAGGCACACATTACTACTTCAAAGGCTATTACTGACAAATGCATTGCAAATTCTGGAACTCAAGAGTCGGCCATTATGGCAAATGCACACGAGCGCATTCATGCGCACACTTACACACACAGGAAAAAAGAAGAAGAAAATAATGCTACAAAACTGTCTGAATAAAACTTTAGCAAACCCCATTTCTAAGTACACAATGGCTAATCATTTTAAAGTGACCATGTTCCCGGCAGAGGGACATAAACAGTAGGCTCACTAGGAACACTGAATAATAAAAGTTCAGAAATAAAATCTAAAGAAACTAAGTGGAAATATATTTTAAAAAGAAAGCGGAACTGAAAATAGCACCTGAAGAAGTAAAGGTTCTTCTAAATGACCATGGCTCTACTCAGGTTCGAACAAATTGCTAAAAGAGAGTGTAAAGAATAAGGATGTATGAACTATGTTTACAAGATTCAATCTAGCATCATGAAACGGCACAAGTAAAGATGTTTTCAATATCTCACATGACAAACGCCATGTACAAAATACATGTTCACATAACTGGGGGAAACAGATACACTCCCAGAATCTTAAAAAAAAAAGAGAGTACCACTTACAAACTAGTAAAACCTATGGTTATTGTCCCTCATCTTACGGGAGTGCAAAAAATCAGACTCATAGCATAGTGCTCATTACAAACTCTCCGGCTAGATTTTAACACCTGCTTCTAGCATCCAGGTGAACGCTCATTACTGACTGAAAAGGGAAAGATGGTAACCAATGTACTTCTACCATCCACGTGAGCTAAGAGATTGAATCACAGGTCCAAATGTCTGATCCACTGCCTTGTTCCACATATGACCGAAATCAGGACCCGGCTCTTTCTCAGCAATGGGCACTTTTAACTGGAACAAGTTCGAATGAAAGTTTTTGCTATGAGTACTCACAAATGAACTGAAAGTAGAGGCCTTCCAAGGACAAAAACAAAAGCACACATACAACGAATTTGTAACAAAGGATTCCTCACATTACTGCCTTATGATCTTGAGGGTTGCACTTTTTAAATTGACAGAAAGCGTCCGATAACTCAATTAACAGATTAAGAGGTGATAACTACTCTGTTTCCCCCTCTTGAGGTGATAGTGTATATAGCAACAAGCCACTTTGCTAATCATAGAGTTGGCACATTTACATTTATCTACATCTAATCAATATGAAGAAAACCATTTCACTTCCGCAATCAATATTCCAGTTAAACTGATTAAAAGATCATACTTTCAGCAATAAATTTTGTTCCCAAATGCCCAAGAAAGTAACTATCTTCAAAAATAGAAGCACAAACACCAGAAAAAAACCCCAAACGACACACAGAAGATTCCCAATTGATCCAGCTCATAATAAAAATTAGGGTTTCAGAACACAAACGCTCGGCTAAAATTTTAATACCCGATACTGAGGATACAATTTCGAATAAGTATCAGCGATTGAAGCATGGATTCTTTTACGCTGGTCAAAGACCACAACTCCTGCCACTGCCGTCCCCAGTGCGAACCCAATTAGCCGCTCCTGCACAGAATCAAAATCCCCAATTTAAATTATCGGGAAAACAATTCATATACCCAAAAGCAGAAAGAAGAAGAAGCCGAAGAGAAGCTGACCCGAGCAAGAACGCTGATCATTGTTCGTCTCTGAAACTGTCCGGATTGAATTACTGTTCGACGCGAGAAAAAAAAAATGAAGACTGGAATCTGAGAGGGGGGAAATTGTTGAAATGTTTAATTCACTGGATCGCAGCTCAACTGACCCGACCCGTAACTGGGATTTTAGTGTTACTGTAAAAACAAAATAAAAATGTTTTTCTTTTCCAACTAAGCCAATTCATGTAATTCTTGATTTGAGCCAAATTGTACATGTTGATAGTATTTAATAACAAAAGACATGTGAATCCGAACAGACGGTGTTAATTGTTGTACGAAACCACACAATTTTACAAGTTTTTTAAAATTATAAATCAATACAGCCATTTTCAATACAAGTTCCCCTTTCGATAATAAGAGTAAACCATTTTTTGTTTTTTTTTTGGTGGAAGAAATTTTGACTTCATTGTTCATTTATTACAAAACATGGCAATCAACTGAGGGGGGAAAAAGAACAAAAATAGTTAAGAGTACCATCAATTTATTGACTTATTGTAGTATTAAATAGTTCGACGAAAAGAAGGTTACCAGTTATTGGAAAACAACAATTTATCTATAGTATTATCTTAATAGAGAGACCGGAGAGATTCATAATAAATACTCTCTTGCTGTGCCCCAAGATTATTGTTGAGTTTAGATTTTCACTTTTAATACTATTAAAATTAAGATTATGAAACTCAAACTGAACAATCATTTCGAGATGGAGAGAATAGCATTGTACAACCACTCAAATTGGGGTTTGGTCCGCCAATGCGATGGTAGCGTTACAAATGAAGCAGCGAGGATTTGAATCTCTTGCGCTTTAAGCCCTTAAAATGAGAAAGCAATATGGAATTATGACAACTAAGAAGACAAATTTTCTGAAGCAGAGCTGTTTTCTATTTTATTATAATAAAACTGTTGTTGAAGAGAAGCGATACAAAAGAGTTAAGGACTACCATATATAATACAACTTCAGAAAGAAACACAGTGTCACATTTTCAGCAATATTACTGTATACATATGCTTCTTCCGTTCCAAAATGTTTGTCCAGTTTGGATTTTTATTTTTAGTATGAATTGTACTAAATTGGGACGGAGGGAGTATGTAGGCAAATGAAACAGTTGACTTTGCCACTTTGGAAAAAAAAAAAAAATCTTGATCATCAAGAAGAAGAGTTTTTGATGATCATCATCATCCCAGAAGAACGAGCATGGCAGTCATAAATGTCGCAGAACGATTGCAAGGTGAGAAGCAAGACCATCAATATGGTGAGGATGCACTGGACAGTAGATTTAGATGGAATAAGATGATCTTTTATAAACGTGCAGGTCTTAATACTGAAAGTGTTGTCACTTATCCTCTGCAACTTCTCAACAGTCTCTTCGACATCTGACCTCATTCGCGCAGATTTGCGAATTCCATTGAAAGTTTCAGCGATTTCTGCGCTTTCCAACTCCGATATGATGATCCCTTTTCCCTTGAGCAGTTCCACATCTGCAGCTGTATTAATTATGCCACACATGAAATCCACATAACTGACCATTACCAGGGTGCTTGATCTTGAGGTTATTTCATATGCCATTAGGTTCCGCAAGATGGCTTCTGAGTCAGTGTTCAATCTGATCATTGGCAGGTAAAGTATCTTCTTCTGGTCATCGTACCTGATTCCAATCCCCGAATAGGGCCAAACCCGGAACTTTATTTTGCAAACATTATGGATGTCGGAAACTGATGGAATTCGGATCTCTTCTACCCCAACAGTCTTTGATCTGTGATTGCCATTTTCAAACAGGCTGGCGATTTGATTCAGCGGCAAATTTGCAACCAACCTGAAAGACTTTCGCTGCGCCAAACCAGCCGCAGTCCTTATGCACTGTATGAACTGATTCACAGTTACTTCATCATTCACCACTTCTTCTTCAATCGCATCTCCAACAGTGGAACAAATCCGCATAAAAAAAATTACAGATATCACGCGCGAAAGGATGTTTGGTGGAGCTCTTTTCGCATCTAACCAATGGTGTACTTGTATAATCAGCAGCAGCATTCACATCTGATTGCATCATTTGCATTGCTTCTCCAATGGACCAATTTTTGACTATCAAATTATACATGTAGTGCAGAAGATGAGGACTAATTGCGTCTCCCTCAAAATGAGCTTCATTTGGGAGGTCAACTGGTGAATGTGCTTTACAGAAATACAGCATTTCTGATAGCAACACATTGACACAGTTTTCGCCTTCTTTCTTTTCCTCGATCTCATGATCATCTCCACATGAAAGCAGCAAAGCGTTCCAAATTTCCTTTAGTACAATGCAAGGGATTTGGTTCTCAAGCATCATAATGTCCTGTGCCAAGTTCCTGTCTCCGATTCCAATGCTTCCTTTTCCACCTGAATATGACCTGAGCAGATGAAGCATATAAACACCATCAATGGCCATGCTCCAAGCCAAAGTCTCACGATCAAGATCCAAGTACTTGCTGTAGCAGGAGCGAATAGCTGGCTCAAGATCTTCCACCCTGTCAACTATTAGGCTCTTGAAGTTGATATATTGTTCCGGCTTCAAAATTTCCTTCAACGCCTCAAGTTTTCGATTGTCGATGTGAAAATGATGATATGCGCCGATCCCAACATGCTGCGGGATATAGGATTCTGGATTCGAGTCTCTCAGGCTCTTAGGGACACGGAAGATGGAAGGCGGATTTTCAAGGTAAACGATGAAATGCTCCTTCAGTTGATGAACCCATCGTCGCTCGCTTTTGTTAGTGCTAAATTCTTTTGCAGACATTTTGCTGTAGGCAAAATGAAGGATTTATGGTCTGTGACTCTGTGTTATGACTCAGAAATGTTGTAAGTGGAAGATGCAAACTGAAGCCACTTATGAGATCAAAATTGTTAGTAATGTACTTAGTACACTAAGATACTACTCAAGAGCAAGTTGACTTGAGGGAAGGATTAAACAAATCAGATAAGAAATACCATTTTTGGTTGTTAGAAATGGTTCCCTGTGATTAATCTCTACAAAGGAAAAAAAAAGTACAAGAAGAAGAAAACAATGAATCAAGAACCTATATAAATAAACCAGGAGCTGCTCTATAGCTGCAGAACTGAGAGCAGAAAATTCGTGCACCAGATTTGATATGATTAAAAAAAAATGTAGTTCAGTACACATTGAACTAAAAGAATGTGCACTTAGAAATCCAACCACACTTCAGAGAAATTAATGGAAAACTGGACTAGAGAACTGTAAACAAATGCTAATTATGACAACCCAATGATCCCAACATTAAGCTATTTCGAAATATGTGATGAAACTTCAAAAAAAATAAAAATAAAAAATGATTGATCGGAATTTAAAAATGATTTATTTGGCTGGCTAACCTGAACACAGTGAGTGGTTCATCAGTCTTCCTAGTAAACTGTGTTCATATTCAGATCCTTCAGACAAGAGAGTGGACTTTTTTTTTTTTTTTTGATACCATGTTATTGATGAAAGATGAGTTTTAAAAATGATTGATTGGATCAAGCAGTCTTTAATCTCTCAACGGGGCAGCTTCTAATTTAAACCTAACAACAAAAACTGTATTACCTCATTTCATCCGGGAAGCTGCAATGATAGTATATTAATTCTTGGTGGTGAAAGAGAAACAAACAAGATGGATTACGTACCGTTCAAATGAAAAGATTTATCTTGATATGATGAAGAGTAAAACTAATCTTTAAGGACGCAAATTAATTAATTTATATTAACAAAATATTGTGGATCAATCTACCCAAACGCTGGACAACAGGGTTTACACATCCATCCATCCGCATAGAAGCGCTTTCTCCTCTTCCTCTTCTTCTTCTTTCTTTTTAATATTCTTTCCTCCTCTTCCTGTTTCGGAAAAATTCAAGAAAATTATTCAACCAAAAAACAAAATTTCAAGAAAACAAGGTTAGAACCAAGAGGGGAAAAAAAACAAAACTAAACAACAACAACACGGGTTTCCACAAAGCAGAGTCGACTATATAGATCAAATGTCACCATCGTGCTCAGTCATCCATACATAACTCATCATTCAAATTTAAATATTTCAAATCATCTGTGACAGTTCTTTTTAAGTTATTTTTAGGTCTACCCGGTCACTCTTAATTTGGATTCTTGATTCAAAGAGGAAAAACTAGAACAAAAACAAATTGGAGGTCTCATCTACCAACTTGACATATAAGTTATTACCTCTTCTTCTCGGACATTTGCCGTTCGGGCATTGTATTTTTGGTCATCTTCGGTGAATCCATAGTTGACAACAGTGAAGATTGATGGTCTTGCTAAACTGTCCAGGTCATACTGTCTTCGGCGGTCCTCATCTATAAGCAACTCATAAGCCGCTTGAATATTTATGAAGCGAGCTTCAGCGGTTTCTCCTTTATCTAGGGTTGCATTGCCTTTATAAACTATAGAAAGAGATTAGGAGAAAGAGATTAATTAGCAAACAGATCACCTTACTAACCCTACCAAGATTAAAACATTAACCAAATTTTGTGTAACAGCCAAAAGAAAAAAAACAATTCCAAGATCTATTTCACACACTCTTGTCTCTTTGATCCGTACAATCAAACATCAAGCTGAGGACAAAAACAGAACAATGACCGATGAGTATCCAAGTGTATCCCGTTTATATGTCGTATGATGCTAAGAGAACCTGCCAACAAGATAGATTAGGATTTTGTTTTCCCCCGGAAATTAAACTTTCATTGAGAAGACACTAGAATCAAACGCACAAGTAGATTAATCTCCTTATCGTATATAGCTAGCTAACATTAATTATTAGCTCTAGACAATCTTCCAAAATGTTTAATACATGTAAGGAATCAACTAGCTACAATGTCAACAAAACCTAGCTACTTATATGAGTCCAAACCTTGTATTTTTTACGTTATAATATCATATCATACACACAGCTGATTAAGATCCCTCCACGATAGTTCCTGAAACCTAAGTTAAACATCGGATGCAACGACAGATTAAAAGGCATAGGGATTTAGTTAAGGTACAAACCATCAGGATGATAGGTTTTCGCCAAACGCCTATGCGCAACCTTTATTTGCTCCTCATCTGCATCTTTTTCCAACTCTGTGGTTTTTTCAAAAGAATCCAGTGGTCATTTTTCAAACACTACAAAAAAAAAAAAGAAGAAGAAACAAGTCTGAAAACAAGGGGAAAAAAAGAGAACTACTTAATTTTGCTCCAAGTAAACAAAACTGACATTTAAGAAGAAATCTACCTATCTAATATGACCGAGAAAAAGGGTCTAGAATGAAGAAACAAAAGGTATTACATATAGGGTACATACATATAAACCATTACAAGGGGAAAAAATGCCTAATGGAATGGGCAATATATATTAATGGAAAAAATTATACTCCCTCCTGTCCCATAATTATTGTCCAATTTGGGTTTTTATTTTTAATTCAAATTGTACTAAAAGTGAAATCTCAAACTCGACAATAATTTTGGGACGGAGGGAGTACTTACCAAGGAATGCATAAGGGGATTTAGGATGATTCCACTTTGAAGAAGCCTTCAGTCTCCATCTTTCATTCCAAATCTTCATTTTGAGAGATGAATCCATCTCTAAAAACGGGTTTGGACTTAAAAACACAAGAGAGCGCTTTGATAAATATGCAGGAAACCCCATGAAATTAGGGTTCTTTATTGAAGCGTTCACTTTCTTCATCACCATCAATGGGCAACATGGAAAAAGTATATGGGGCATAAAATAACTGGCCCCAAAACTGCCCATCTTTTTTTTTTTTTTCCTCCAACTCTTCAATCAGCCCTAGGGTTTTCAGCTTCTATATTTTTAACTTTGAAATTTTCGTTGGATGAGCACTAGTTGAAGAGTTGAAGGCGCGAAGGAAGTGATCAGAGATGATGAGGAGCTTTAGGTGGAATAGTTTGGCTCTAACTTGGCATTTCTACATATTAGAAATGGTTTTGGAACAACGTACGTCATTTTATTTAGTTGAATGACTAATTTGTTCCTTTTTTTTTAAAAAAAAAAAAAAAAATTTCTCCAAGACATCTGGAATCTAATGTACTTACTTAAAGAAACAAACATTTTTGACATATGTCAACACCACAAAGAAAATTTTCCCTCCAAAACCATTTACAGTACAAAAACGAAGCAAGTAAAATGAGACACGTGCCACTCTAAAATTTCAGGAAAAATTTGGCTTCACTAAACAAAAAAAAGGCTAACTATGGTCCGTAAAAATCCAAAAAAGATAATAAGGAAAATTTTAGCAGTTTAAATGTAGAGATTTAAATGTAGATAGGATAATAAGGAAAAACCATAATAATACTTCTCAATTTTAGCTCCATCATCGGAGTCAGTTTGTTTCAGCAGATAGCAATGATCAAATTCCCTATAATAACTAATCTTCAAAATTCAAACCCCTCATCCCCTTTCTTATCAAATGTGACTATATTTATTTGCTGAAAAAATAGTCAAAATGATGTTTATCGGTAATAAGAAAACCACTAATAATACAGAACAAATCAAGGAGTTCAAATTGGAAACAAATCAAGATAATGCCTCAGCCTCCGCATTTTTGTCCGCAAAACACAGTTCAAACCAAATTAATCTCCAAAATTTCTCCCGATGAATGGCTTCCTCAACACAAATTCTTCTCCATTAAATTCCTACTATCTTATCATTGAATTTGTAAAATCATAATTTAACAATCACTCCCTTTACGAATTCTTTCGCATATAAATTTTGAAACCAACAAAGCCGATGAAACTAGATCTTTAATCTCAATTTTTAGCTTTGTCATGGCCATGGATGTCATACGCGTTAAAGGGTTTGGTTTTCAAGGCATGGGGTAGGGTTTTGAATTTTGATTTTCGATGAATTTCTCTACGCTCAAACCTTCTACACTCGACTCGATCCCCGAGAGCCCGACCGTGTCGGACAGAAAAAGAAGGCTCCATTGAAGACATGAACTGGAACTCCAATCTGATGATAAAGCGGCTCAATCCACCGGCTAAATGCTCTTGAGAGGAAGAACATGAACAAGGGGCTGAGAATTGAATAAATAACGAAGAAGCAAACAAGCGATTCCTGGAGTATTGTAATAATTTTGGGAAGGTTAGATTTCTTTTGTCCGATATTTTCTTTTCCCACTTCTGGATGATGTAATAAAAGATGTTGTTTTCTGTTATTTTGTTGGAATTCTGTTTGATTAAAAATGCCATTGTTCTGTTGAGGTGTGCAAGCCAATGTAAGTGCAAGCTAAGAGTTTGAATAATTGCATCAGTGGACATTAGCTCTGTAAGTTTTCTTTTGCCTATTTTTGTTCAGATTATTTTCTATTCTCTGCAAATAAATTCGTTTTCGTTTGATAGTTTTACAATTTATTTTATGTGTCTTTTTGTTGGTGTTGTAGTCTAGAAAGGAATTATAGGTGTTTATTTTGGGGTCAGATTAGTTTGATAAATATATGTCATTGTGTTGCATGTGAGTGATTAAAAAAATTAATTTTCGCCATTGGATATCTCTGTGACAATCACTCAAGCTGCCATGGTAAATAATTATCCCGATGTAGAAGCCGTAACTGGCCTGATGGTAATTCAATCTACTTTAATGGCAAACACTTCATATTAGTTGTGTTTTTGATGTTGAACTTGCATTGTTTCTTATAAATAGCATTTCTAATCTTTTAATTTGAACTTGCAGAACAAGAACAATTCAGTGAGTGTTGACGCATTGAAGAGAAGGATTAGCATTTCTTGAGATGTTAGTTGATTCCTAACCCAATGATCTGGAAGGAAGATTTTGTGGGGTTTTTATATTTGTAGTTGATATTTATTAGGCTTGACTTTTTACTTTTGTTTGATGGACTCAACAATCCATCGTCCTTTGTAGTAATCATGAAATTTAAAGCTCTTAAAATGTGATAAGGTAGCATTGGTTAGTATTCCTGTGCAAAAGAGTCATTCTCCCCCTTGAATGTATAAATCAAACTTTTAAATGTGTTATTATTATTATTTTGCCAAAAGAAAATGTATTTTGATCAATTAAGGCCATATGATGCTAAGAGAAAATGCAGGCTGCTGCCCATGTGATTGGGAATATATTCTTTTTTTAATTTTATCATTATTTAATTTTGATGAAATATTGTGAGTTATTATTTATTAACCTTTTTTTAAAAAAAAAATTTATTAACCTTTTGTATTACTTATTATATTTTTTAGTTATATATCAAATTGTAACGTGGGGCCCTAGACATTAACCCGAAGCAAGCATCTATCAAATTGTCTGAGAGATATTTGGCCAATCTATTAACTTTCAGTATTTATTTATACTTTTTTATACTAAATAAATGTTTTTCTATTTGACAAAAATTATCCAGTTTTCACATGACCATTTTTTCATTTAATATTATCATTTATGTGACTTTTTGATTTCTTATACATTATAAATCGACCTTAAATTTTAAACTTTTATCAGATCTTAAAAATTATAATATTAATAATGTTATAATTTTATACTTCTTAAAAAATATGTTTGTAACGTTAGAAGTGTCTGGGCTCCTGCCCGGGCCAGGCATCTAGTATTAATTAATGTAAATACATAGAATGCCCTTGTTTTTTGTTCTTTTGGCTTTCAGGGAGGCTTACAAAGAAGTGAAAAGTGAAAACAAACAACCACCTAGGTGTAGCATCTTCTGTTTCAGGTCTTTACTGCTAGAGAGAGATTCAGATTGATGTATGTAATCAGAGAGCAAATTAGAAAGATGGAGAAATTAATGCCGGGCGATTTGGGAGATGGATGAACATTTACTTCACGTAGGGGTAAATTTGGATGCTAGTAGAAACTGCTCTGCCAGAATCACCACCCTTAATTGTATGGTTCCAAAAAGATTTCTTGATTGGTGACATTCAAAGTGTTCCCATTATCAGCACACCAATTTTTTTTTATTTTTTATTTTTTTTGTTGTTGCGAGAAATGAGTAATATGTTGTTGTAATACATTCCATATCGCATTTAGGATACTTGACTGTTCACCTGATTTAATTGTTATTTAAAATTGTAAATTCACAAATAACAAAATAATTAAAAATGTTAAAAAAAATAGATTGTTCTACAATCTAATAATAAAATCAAGTGTGAATCACGCACGTTCAAATAATTGATACGTACTAGAAAAGACTAGTAATTTACAATCATTTCCTAAAAATAAATACATAGTAAGTATTACACATCAATGTACTAAAAGGGTTAAACTAGTCCAGTTTGTGTTTTGAGATTTGTACTAGTTTTAATACAAATTGAAAACTCAATGTAGACTATTTTTTGGACACGGATGGAGTATTAAAAACTCATAAGCCGCTTGAACTTTCATGAAGCCATCTGCAACTGTTTCCCCAAGGTACCTTTGCCATCATAAACTACAGTAGAGATGAGGAGAAACGGATTAACAAACAAGCTCTTTTGACAGTAGAAAAACATTGGAAATTATATAAGCCTATCCTTTCAAAAGATTTAAATGTTAACAAACAAAGGACAATAACATTGACTCTTTCGTTTAGAGACTCTAGATGACGAGGGTACAAACAACAATAATTAGTTGAAACAGTATATACCATTCATTAATTTCACTTTCGAATAAGAATACACTGAAGTTCGAGAAAACATGCATCAAATAAGAAGTGGATAGCGCATTTCATCGCTAGTAAATATAGCAATTAGCTCCAAGCAAGCTTTTCAAATGGCGTTTAAATACACATACTTAACTGTACGGAATCTCAACGAGCTAGCTAATTTGTTAGTGCTTGATCTATCCCTAACCATGTAAAATGGCAAACCATTGCTGGCAACCTATCTAAACCTTCTACTGTAACATTAATTCTTGTCAAATCATATACACAAATGGCCAATAACATTCGATATTAGTTTAATTAGATGTAGTGGCAGCTGGTCTACCTCCTAAGAACTTCTGAATCTATAAATTGAAACGTACAGTACATAAACAAAGTAATATATATGTATATATATATATACACATATATATATATATATATATATATATAAAAGATGGAATGACAAAACGATCATACAGATAAGAGAACAAACCATCAGGATGATAGGACTTGGCCAAACGTCTATGTGCAACCTTTATTTGCTCTTCATTTGCATCCCTTTCCAACTCTGCGATATTTTCCAAAAGAATATTCCACTGGTCACTTTTCGAACAATACTACACAGGAATAGAAATAAGTTTGAAACCAAGAAAAAAAAAGAAGATGAAAGCATATGCTCCCTCCGTCCCACAATTATTGTACACTTTGGATTTTCACTTTTAGTTCAATTTTTGTACTAAAAATGAAAGTATAAATTGGACAATAAGTTCGAGAGAGAGGGAGTATAAAAAATAAATGTGGGCTAGAATGAAAAACCTTCATGATTATAGATAAAACCATGAAAAAGAATGGACATTAATTACATGGGGAAAAAGAAATTACCAAGGGTTCCATAAGGGGATTTAGAATGATTCCAATTTGAAGAAGCGTTAACAACCATCCTCCTTTGTTGATAATTCAATCTCCATTTTCCATCCCAAAACTCCATTTTTCCGATTGAATCCATCCCCATCCGATAAGGAGGATGTAAAAACACTATAAGGGAACGCTTTGATGAATATCCAGGAAAACCCATGTTAGGGTTCTTCATCGCAACGTTCATCTTCACTATGGGTCGGCAACATGGAAAAACAGCGGGGGATTTACAAATCGCCTCAGGACTGGCCATCATTTTTTTCTTGAAATCTTTACGCAACCTATGAATTCAGTACTAGGGTTTCCATTTCTCTCTTCTTCTTCTTCTTCTTCTTCTTCTTCTTCTTTTCTTCCCCCCTATGACGGAGAACGAACCTGGGGAAATAGTTTTGATTCGATCTGCCAGCATTCACCTTTATGGAGGGTTTTGGCTCTTTCGCCAGGAAGAGCTTGGCTCTAAATTTAGGGCAACTTTCACTGTACAGTGTGTGTGTGTGTGTGGTTTTTTTCTTTTCTTTTTTTTTTCTTTCTCTTAGTACAAGGTGGGAGGCGAAACCATTTGAAAAAAGATGTAATGTAGGGATTAAGTAATTCTTCAATGGATTTTAAATTGCCAAATTGCTTGCCTGAACACAACAATCATTTTTGTTCTTAATGGACTGTGTTATATTCAGATCCTTTAAACAAGAAATTCCACTTACTTTATTATTTTTTGGCCAATGGAAGGGCATTAAAGACTCAAAAGCTTTAGGGTATATTTGTTTCGTTTTTTTAGTGTGTGTTTTTAAGTGTTTTTGGTATTGAAAATGTAAAAAAGTGTATTGAAAATATAAAAAGATATATTGGGATGAAACAGTTATTATTTTATTAATCTAAAAAAACCATAAAAAAAAAACTAAAGAAACAAAGCCTTAGCTTTAGTAACCATGTTATTGACCTATAATGATTTTTAAAATTGATTGGTTGGATCAAGTAGCCCTCGTGTCATTTGCGAAGTGTCCAATGTTGTTGAATCTCGATTGTCTGGTTTACCAAAAATTTTAAGAAATTTTTTTTTTTAAAAAAAATCCATTGTCTGTAGTTTTTGCTGGGCGTAAATTCTTAAACTTGGGTCATTCCTGCATTTGTCTTTGCATAATTCAACTTATTCTATCAAGTTGAGGAATGAGAAATGGACATTTTGATCTCTCAATTCACTATTTGCTTCCGTCCGAGAGCCAATTTAGAGGCTTCTTTCTTGGATTTTCTGGGTTGACAGATTTGCTTCAGTGTTAGAAGCTGGCTTTTACAAAACAGCACTTTAAACAAATGAAGGGTTGAAATTTGTATTAACATTTAGAATAAGAAAATCTTACTCTGATCAGACAAAATATTGGAATCCAAGTCAGATATTTCTGGAATGTAAGTAAAAATCCAACCCCCTGATTTTGTTTTGCTCGTCCTCTGTTGTAGGCCTGCTGGCTTGACGACGGCGTCCCTTACTCAGCAGAGATGATACTTCTCTTGGCTGCATTGGAGCATTTGGAAAAAATTCAAATGTTTGAATAAATTAGAGACCAGAATTTTATGCAATGCTACCAATTTTATAGAGTCACCAGGCTTCTCCTCTGTATATGTATTAGGCTTTTCCTTCTCTGGTTTTGTTGGAGTTTATAAGCTATTGTTTTATACATTTGATACATTAGTCCAGTTTTTACTTGTATATTAGGCTTTTCCTTCTCTGGTTTTGGGTCTGCTTCCTTTCTTCTTAAGCTCTTGTAAAAGAAGTGTGTCTTTTGTGGAGAATTAGAGAAAGTTGGAATTCTGGTGATATTGCGGTGAAACCTGTTGAAATCCCATGTCAAAAAAACAAACCAAACAGAAGTTGATTGCCATCTTTGGTGGTGCTGGCATTTCTTTGTTTCTGGTTATCATCATTGCGGGTTTATGCTTCTGCTGGAGGCGGTTTAAGAGAAAAATGAACAGGACATTTGATGCAGAATCCTCTTTTCAGTCTACTTCTGGTAATTCAAAATACTGTAGATCACTTGATGAAGTTACTTCTGTGAATCTATTTGTGTTCTAAGTAAATCTTCTGCCCTCATCAGCTAGTGTTCTGAAGCAGTTTCCTGTGTCATGGTTTTGTGGCAGCTGATTGGCACAGAGTTGTACCCAAAAATGCTGTTAGTCTCTCCACTTTGGATTCTAACAATTTGTTGCACTTTAGACTGTCGGATTTAGAGCATGCCACAGCGAATTTCAGCGAGAGCAGCGTCATTGGAGAAGGGGAATTTGGTAAAGTTTACAAAGGACTACTAACCGATGGAACCATTGTTTCCATCAAACGACGCTTTCGCCTTCCGATTCAATCCCTAAGCCACATGGTAAAAAAGCTGTTAAGAACTTGTCTTAAGAACCTATGAATGTTAAGCCCGTTGCTTTCCATTGTCAATAATTCTTTGTTTTAGCTCTATGTTTTCATCTACATATTCAGAATATTATGCTGACTTTGTCAATCTCAGGTGAAAAGCAATGCCTGCATCAGACACAAGCATCTGCTCAAGCTTGTCGGATTAGGTCAAGAGAGTCATCAGCAGTTTCTTGTTTACGATTATCTGCTGAACCAAGATGTGGGAAAACATTTATATGGTGTGTCCCCATCGCTCTCAATGCGTATGCATGTCTATATAATTTATGTTTTTGCCTAGAAACTATGCTATGATGCTGTCTAATTGCAGCTATCACTTTCAGATGATGAAGGCGTGCCAATTGGAAAGCTTGATATGAATCAAAGGCTATTAATTGCTATAGGGGCAGCAAAAGGTAAACAAACTCATTTTCCTCTAATTAACCTCTTTGAATATGAACCATGTTGTTGATCCGTTTCACTTGTATCTTAAAACAGGCCTTGAGCATCTTCACAGCTTCCGGCCGCCTATATTACATATGCACTTCAGAACAAGCAATGTGTTAATTGATGAAAACTTTACAGCCAAGGTATCTGATTTTGGCACATTTGGATTGTTGGTGGAGGAAGGTTATGCATTTCCATCAAGATCGACGGATTGCTTTCTCGATCCAGAGTGAGTTTACCTAGATTAATCTGCATCAACAAGCGTCGTTGAACTGGAACCAAATCCTTGATTTTCAGTAGTTCATTTAGCATGAATTAGGCATACAAACCTGCAATGCATAACATTCTGCTATTAACTTCTTTCAAGTTAATAACTTCATTCTTTCACTTTCCGATCTCTATGGTCTCTACTCTCTATATGAAGGTTAAAATCTTACAAGGTATTTTCAAGTGAAAGTGATGTATATAGCTTTGGAGTGTTTTTGCTAGAGATGATTAGCGGCCGTAAAGCCATTCCTGAAAATCAGTCCAAAGCTGAACAAAGCCTGGTTTCTCAGGTACACCAACCATTCATTTTCCGCATAAAAACCACTCTGTGCTTGAACTGAACCACTTTTTTTGGTCATCATCTAAATATTGATCGCCTGATTCAATCTGTTTTTGTTGAAGGCCAAAAATGTCAGGCATATTGCAGATTTTGTGGATAAGAAATTGAGACACAACAGATCATCAAGTCAAGCCGTGAAGTTGCTCTTTGATTTGGCAATGTTGTGCATAGATACTAACATTACTAGAAGACCATCAATGAAGACTGTTGTCCATGAGTTAGAAATGATTCATAGGGCAATCAAAAGTTGTTGTGCATCAAACCAGGAGATGGCAAATGTTACTCTTGGAAGTGTACTTTTTGAAAGTTGATTGAATCTGAAACCTCAATCAAAGTGATCATCACTTTAAATATCCTCACTTCAATGCCTAAAAACTTTACGACTAAGATCGTACCAAGATTATTTAAAAAAAAAAAAAATCATTGCAGTTATACTCATTTCTCTACAAATTTGACATTTGGAACTCTTATTTTATTGTTGAAAACTTGAATCTTGATCATGATTATAAAAATAAAAATGAAATTCCATATATACACAAATGACTTCAACACTTGTTTGGTTAGTAGTATCCTCGTAGATGTAGTGAAATTGACAAAATTTTAAAAAATAATGAGTTGTATTAAAGACTGCCAAGAAAAAGATAAAGATCGTTGTAAAAAAGACAATTATGCCCTTTTCATTTTTCATTCTAAAATAAGTTATTTAGACACTATAATTATTAAGTAACTTAACTTTTAATCATATATTAACTAACTTAACTACTATTTTATATAAAAAAATATTTTTTTCAATATATTTTAATTACTATTTCACTAATTTTACTAAACAATTATAAAACATACTACCTTAATTAATTAAAAAAATAATTTGATAATAACTAACTTAATTTCACCAAAATTTATTTACTAATTTAACAAATAATAATAATAATAATTAAGTAAATATTAACAATATTAAACAATTAAAAGAATATTATAAGGAAAAAAATTTGGCCTAAAGGGACGGTGACTATGGCGGCTTGAGTGTTCAGGGCCGGTGACGGAAAAAACTAATAATTGACTAAAGAACTATAAATTAATTAAAATAAAAATTATTCAAAAAAAAGAAAGAAAAAGGCATGGCTGGCGGCACTGCCGGCCATGAAATAACAAGACGGCGATCGTGCCGTCTTGTTTGAAGGTCGACGGCGGCCATGCCATCTACTTTTTCAGTCGACGGCATCTGGACCGTCGACTCTGCTCTTGGACGGCACTTGAGCCGTCCATTTTCCCTGGGGACGTGACCACCGGCGTCCATTTCTTCTTGGATGCCGCCGCCGGCCACAAAACTAGATGGCTTGGTTGATGGTCCAGGTGTCGTCGTTTTTTTTCTGGGACGTCAGGCCGGTCGGCCGGCCACTTTTCGGACGTCACTTCTGCCTGCCGATCAGTTTTCAGATTAAAAAAAAATTCAGATTCAAATAAATAGCTATTTTACCACAAAACATGTTGAAAATATGAGGGAAATTGTATATCACCAAATATGTATAAACATAAAAATTACTCCATTCATTTTGAAAAATAATTTTCTTTGTTAAATTAATATAGTAAAACAATGTCGATTATTAAAGTGGAATGTTGAGATTTTTATTTATCAAAAGATATAGTAAACTCTTTAATTTGATTTCCCGCGACGACGATTTCCTCCGACTATCGATTTGAAGTCTAGGAAGATTGAAAATTGGAGATTAGTGTTTAAGGTTGAAAATTGGAGGGTAGGGTTGAAGTTTGGAGTTTTAAAATTTGAATTTGAAATTTAGAATATAAGAGTAAAATTGAAAGTTAACTCTTAGTCAATGGCGGCTTTTATCTTTTTTTGGGCGACTTTTAAACTTCGGGAAAATGAGGTAAGAGGAGAAAAGAAAATGTCACGGTCGGTACGGTGTCGTTACGGTCAACGAGCTTAGTGTGACTGCCTAAGCGTCAGTCACGCCGATTTACCGTAAAACCCCAAGTGCGCCTTTTACTAGACCCTCACCGACTGAGAGAGTATCTACTCTTTGACGGAATTCCCCCTCTTCCGATCCGAGTCAACTAAGCCTCGCCGGAAAATCTAACAATGCCGAGTCGACTTATTTTGCTACTCTCATTATCCTCTCTTCTCCTGCTTTCAATAATCGTCACTCCGGCCGTATGTAAAACCTCCGCCGCCGCCGTCGACGACGACGACGAGGACCTCAGCTTCCTCGAAGACGGAGACGACGAAGCAGCAGACCACTCCTCCCCTCACCATTACGGCGGTGAAGACGACTTCTCTGATCAGGAAGAAAGTTACGACGACGACGACTTCGAGGTCCCATCTAATTTCGATCACGGCGACGGTGGAAATGAAGATGAGGTCGGATTCAATTCCGGCGTGGACGAGAAAGATGTTGTGGTGTTGAAGGAAGGCAACTTTAGTGACTTCATTGAGAGTAATAAGTATGTGATGGTGGAATTCTACGCGCCGTGGTGCGGACATTGTCAGTCTCTTGCGCCGGAGTACGCCGCCGCCGCGACGGAGCTGAAGGCCGGAGCTGGGAATGAAAAAGTTGCGCTGGCTAAAGTGGATGCTACTGAGGAGAATGAGCTTGCTGAGCAGTATGAAGTGCAAGGATTTCCTACCGTGCTTTTCTTCATTGATGGGGAGCATAAGCCTTACAATGGTCAAAGATCCAAGTAATCCATTCGTCATCCTCTTTCTTTTTAATGATCTTACTTAAGATGAATAATGTACGAATTCCTATCTGAAAATGTGCAGATCTTGACAATGTTTTGTTTGATTGTACTTGTGTGAACTCCGATTGTTTGTGATCAATTTTGGTTAACTTTACTGGTGGAATACAATGCAGTTCTAGTTCAATTCACTTTTGTTTCTGTTGCGGGTATATTGATGGAAAATTATATTGCAGAGATGCGATTGTAACTTGGATAAAAAAGAAGATTGGACCTGGTGTTGCAAATATTACCACACTAGATGATGCAGAGCGCATTTTAACATCTGAGGATAAAGTTGTTCTAGGCTTTCTCAACTCACTAGTGGTATTCACAAAATCCTTTCTTTTCTTCTCTTCCTTTTGTTTGTATTGGATTGTTAATAGGAGCTGCTATACATTTTGTCTTCTATCTATCAAACTCTTCTTTGGTGTTGATTTTGTTAGTCACGGTCCAACTTATCTCCTTAGTGAAATATTTATAGTCGAGGAAATGGCTTTCAATTTTGAGCAGTTGGGAACTTCGATTCTATTTTAACATACTTTATACAACTTAGTTTGGATGGAAACATGAGATCAATCAACGAGACCTCTATGATAAGGGCGGTTATCCAAATTGCTATCCTTCTTAATGGCCTTGTGACATTGACAATTGTACTGAAATTACTGAGCGAGGTGAAGTTCATTTGAACCATCAAGGGAAGAATTACAGTTTGATTTGACATGCCTTTCCTAATGATTTTATTAGTTCCCCTGATTGGGTTGTTACATTGCATGATGAGTTTGATGGTGTCTACCCTACCCATTTTGACCTTGAGTTGATTTTCTAAGTTCATCTCATTGCTAGCAAATTTCTTATCATCATTTGTTACTATCAATACAAATACAGGGTCCTGAAAGTGATGAGCTAGCTGCTGCTTCAAAACTTGATGATGCTGTTAACTTTTATCAGACAGTGAGTCCTGATGTAGCCAAGTTGTTCCATTTGGAACCCAATGCTAAACGACCTGCTGTGGTATTGCTGAAGAAAGTTGCTGAGAAAGTTACTACATTTGGTTAGTTGCTTCTGTCCCTTTGTTGTCGATGGTAATGTTCTCATCACTCCAAAAATCTAAATCCTCCTGGTAAAATGCCCTATATTGCAGATGGTGAGTTCACAAAGTCCGCTATAGTAGAGTTTGTCTCAGCCAACAAGCTTCCTTTGGTGACCACTTTTACTAGAGAAAGTGCTCCTCAAATTTTTGAAAGTCCTATTAACAAACAGGTACTGTATCATGTAGGTGATTTGATTAGTATTTATTTATTTTGTTTTTCTTAATTCCTTTTCTGAACTGCCCTGGTGTTTGATCCTCAGCTGTTGCTTTTTGCTAAATCAAGTGATTCAGAAAAGTTTCTCCCAACTTATCAAGAAGTGGCAAAGCTTTTCAAGGGAAAGGTACTGAGTTACCCGTATACCACCTCTCTTTTTCTCTCTCTCTATTCCATAAAAGAAATGGATCAACTAACTTGTAAAGTTGTATTTTGAATGGCTTTTCTCTTAATTCTAAATTTGTAACAACCTGAAAGCATATAATAGACAGGCCGATCTTAATAGGCCAATTGTTTCGTGCTTTTGCTTTCCAATTTAGTGAATATCAAAGAAGATGAGATTAATGAAGAATAAAATTTACATCATGAAACTCTGTAGCAAAATTGTAGTCTGCTTTAATTCATTTCTAATACAGCACAGTCCCATTATCTTTTTTTCTAAGAAAGATCCTTCTAAAACTGTACAAACGTAAGTACAATTATCCAGTTGTTTTCAGGATGTTTTTCTTCCAAAGTTTGATGAGTTCATTTGCTAATACTAATGATTTTGATGATTGGATTCAGCTTATCTTTGTGTACGTGGAGATGGACAATGAAGACACTGGAAAGCCTGTCGCAGAATATTTTGGCGTGGATGGGGATGGTCCAAAGGTGGCATCTCATGCGAACAGTCATTTTGCTTTCTGTGCATGGCTTTCTTCTGTGTTGAATAATAAGTTACTTAAAAGTAGTAAAGAGTGGTTTATTTTGGGTCGTTGCAGGTTATCGCATTTGCTGCAAATGATGAAGGCAAGAAGTACATTCTTGATAAAGAATTTACTCTTGACAATATCAAGGTTAATATCTCTCTAATAATTGTACATCTTTTCTCTCTCTGACTTGTATGTCGAGAAAAAGTGTAAGAAAAAGTTATTTCTGCCCCCTTTGTGAGGGTGAAGGTGTCATCTTTCTTTCCTGTGTGATGTGTTTTTTTCATACGTCACAGTAGTTGCATGTTGATGTTGTGCTAAGTATATTGATTTTCTGTTCTTTCATTCCATAGGTGTTTGCGTCAGACTTCTTAGAAGACAAACTGAAACCTTTCTATAAGTCTGATCCAATTCCTGAGATGGTAAGTGCCCCTAGCTTGTCCTTCCATACGATTGATTGCCTGATAGTTTCCTAATTTAGTGATCCTTGGTTTTATGTCGTGAACTGTAGAATGATGGGGATGTAAAAATAGTTGTTGGCAATAACTTTGATGAGATTGTTCTGGATGATTCAAAAGATGTTCTTCTGGAGGTAAACAGTCCAACTATTCATGATTTGATTTTTTTTTTTTTTGGAAATTGATGTATTTCCTTCTCCTTGTTCTGGGAGTACACTACAGATATATGCACCGTGGTGTGGTCATTGTCAGTCTCTAGAACCAACATATAACAAACTTGCCAAGCACCTTCGTGATGTTGAATCTATCGTTATTGCAAAAATGGATGGAACTACAAATGAACATCCTCGTGCCAGGGTAAGCCCACAATTCTTGTGTGGTTAATGTTCCTTTAAACATTGTGGACTAAACATGTACACTCTAGTGGCATTTTAGTTTGAATAGTTGACTTCTGAAGTAGTAGAGTATGTACCAATGCAGGCTGAGGGGTTCCCAACGCTACTATTCTTTCCAGCAGGAAATAAGAGCTCTGATCCTGTAAGTTTTGAATCCTTGAAAATCGACATATTGCTTTCTTTAGATTGTGGCTGTTTCCATGATCAACGTAATGAAGTGTTGGTTAAAAAATCAAAAGAACAAGTAACCACTCCTAATGATGTGGCAGATTCCGGTTGAAGCCGAACGAACAGTGAAGGCATTGTACAAGTTCTTGAAGAAACATGCATCTATTCCCATCAAGCTTCAGAAACCAACTTCTGATGCTAAAGAAGGGACCGCGAGCTCCACCGCTGATGTAAAGGACGAACTATGAGATATTACAACTAATGCGGATGACTTCTGCTCAAGCTGCCGACCCAATTATGACGAAAACTAAATTTAGTCAGCTCTCAAGGCACGAGAAAGTGCCTCTTACTGAATAAAAAACCAACATTTTATGTAGTTACTAGTAGTCTTGAGTTTGGAAATCGGAACAAACGAACGAGTTTCAAAGTTCCTTTCACAGGACTAGAGATAGAGTAGTAGAAGCAGTACTTATCACTTAGGTCCTTGTCCATCCATTCTCTCCCAAAACTAGCCTTCTTGTAAGGTTTCGTTTAGTAACATTCTTTTTTTTGTTTGATTTTTTGCGTGTTATTTTGTTTTCCTTATTACGTATTTAAACATTTGTAAATTCATGATGTTTTGTCATTTTTGTTCCTCTTTTTTTTTTTTTTTTGTTCCTATTATTCTTCCTTTTTCTTTTATTTTCATTTTTCTTTGGTTATATATTCAAGGAAGAAAATGAAATATATTACTCATTTACTCGTCCCAGAAAAAATATGCAACACAAATGTTGCATCCACGTTTTAAGCAAAAGATCTGTTATGCCATTTTGGTGTCCTGCTCGCTATTAGAGTACATTTTTGTGGACAGTAACCTATTAAAATTCTTCTGAAACATGAATGTTCAAGGCGGATACTGAAATGCATAGGAAAAGAAAGGGAATGAAATTTAGTGAAGTAATGAAAGGCACAACGAAATTTTTGGACAATAAGTCTACTAAAATTATTCTGAAACATTTCATTTATAATGCAAGAGTAATATTAAAAACAATAGGATAAAAGTTGTCTTGATTTTATAAAACGACATATATGTTAAATTTTTTTGTAAAATTCTGAAACAATATATATGTAAAAATGGAGGAAATGCAACGCAGAACTTTGATTAATAATTTATAAATGGGGGTTATAATAATATCTTTGTATGCTTAATACATACTCCAACACAATCGACCTTGAAGGATAATTATCATAAATTGGGATGGGAATTAGTTATTGCAATAAGATCTTCACTCTCGATGTATCTTTTGAAAACAAAACACCAATTACTTCACATTTATATTCTAAAAAAAATCATAAATTGGGATGGGAAGTAGTTATTGCAATAAGATCTTCACTCTCAATGTATATTTTGAAAACAAAACAGCAATTACTTCACATTTATATTCAAAAAAAAAAAAAAGGTGAATAAAGCTTATCTCAAAATCAAGAATATATAAATGTAAAAATCAACAATATTTTTAATCGTAAAAGAAAAATCAAGAATATATAAATGTAAATTTGATACATACACGTGTAAATGCGAAATATGTAGTTAAATTTAGTAAAGTTGGGAAACTGAAATATTTTACGTGCAAAATTTACTTTTGGAAAAAACTTTTCCTTACCATGGAAGATACCACATCGTGAGTAAAGATAGTAAAATAAAAGATGACTACGTATTCCTTCTTTCTAATGTGTAAAGAGAATTTTTTAAAAGATAACAATCACCCAAAAACTAAAGCAATCTGCATTAGCTTCTTACCTTAAATCAATCACTTATTATTACCTAAAGTTTGACGATATTTTTCATACACATTCTCACCCATCTCCAAATTTTGCCGAAATGTATATCTATTTATGCTCTTGTTTACCCTTTTTTTTTTACCAATTCATTATTTCCGTGAAATAAGTTAAAATTATTTTTTAACCGACACCATTAGATTCCTTAGTGTGGTAAGTTAAAATTATTTTTTTAACAGTTCAAATTAGAATAAGCGTTTACTTTGCCCAGACTCTTTCTGCCGATTGATTCTTAAACTTCACATTTTCGCTTCTTTCTTCTTCAAATCCAGATACTCCGTCTTCTGTACACGTTCTTCCTCTTCTTCTTCCTCAGTTCTCACCCATCCCTATACACGCCTTCCTCTTTCTCTCTCACACACTCGCATTTGTCAACTCCCATTTCAAAGTCCCATACATTTTATTAAACCAAATCTCCCACATTCGGCTTTTTGTTTTCCACTCTGAATTCCTTTAGATCTCGTTCTGAAAAACCCTTTTGAAACTCCGATTTGTGTTTTTCTTTTTTTTTGAACTTCTGAACTTTATTTGGATACGAGATTAGCCAAAACAAGGGATAAAGATTGTTCCTTTTTTGCAAGGACGACAATGTCAGGGCTTCAGGTATTCACCGTCGGTTTGTTTTTGGTGTTATTGAATGCGCCGGTAATTCTCTGCGCAGATCCGAAATCCCCAAGTCCGGCTCCCGAAAACCCGGCCGCCGACGCCGGCGTCCCTTCGCCGTCGCATCAGAACAATGCTTCGTCTCCGGAACATTCTCCTTCTCCGTCTCCAGCGGCGGATATTCACTCTCCTCCTGCTCCTCCTCCTGATTTGACTCCATCCCCTGCACCCGCTCCGGCAGCCAACGGCACTTCTCCGGTGAATTCCCCTACGCCGACACCTTCCCCTGCCCCCGCCCCTGACGCTCCGAGCGATGTGAGTCACGAGGATGCCACCGCCGACGATAGCCACGACGACAACGGAGGGATGAGCGGCGGACAGAAGGCCGGAGTTGCCATCGGAGTAATTGCCGGGGTATTCATTGTCGGAGCCGGAGCGGTGGTTTACAAGAAGAGGCAGTCCAATATCCAGAGAGCCCAATTCGGGTACGATGCCCGGAGGGAGATTCTCTAGATTCTTTGCTAGAAGAATGGGAGAAAAGATATACACTATATTTAGAAAAAAAATACTGAGATTTGATTCTTCTACATTGTTACAGATTTATGGTGGGTACTCTATTATTGGTATAAATCATACGTAGATTTTATTTTATTGCATCATTGCTGATTGATGATTTAGATCGGACAGAGGAGATGATGACGATGATGAGCAGGAGATGATCCATGATTTGTTTCATTCTTTCTGTTTTTTTTTTTTTTTCTCTCTTTGCTAATAATAGTAATGAGTTCATTTTGTGTTTTGGATGATTGATTTTTTGTTCATTTCGAATAATCTTCGCCTACATTGTTATTTGGCTATGAATTTTGTTGAGAGATTATGCCTATTTTGGTCATGTTTAGTAGTGTACACGGAATGAGTGTCGGAGTGAATTCAAGATTGTGATTTTGTGATAGTTCTGGTTTATGAGTGATGTGAATGAATTGACTGAGGTTCAAAATGAAGTATACTTCATAGTTCATACCATTCATAAAACACAAATTAAAACTAACTTTAATTTAGATTTGTATCTTGTAAATAGACTGGTTGGATTGATTGTATGGTACCAAATCTTTGCTTGGGGTTGACACTTGATTAAGTGTTAAAAGGAGTCAAAATCAAGTTTGAGTGCTCTACATGTTTGTACATGTATTCTTCCTAGGCCTATTGAGGCTATGGAAGTTTTAACGGGTGTTTGGTAGTTTTGTCTTTGCTTGCTCCAACTGGTGAATAGGAAGGATGGGGGCGGGGTTGGAATCCAAAGATCGTCGCAACTCGCAACAGTATTCCGTCGCAAGTTCTGTTATTACTCTTTCTGTTCAATTTTCAGTTGCGTCTTTCTAAAATTATTGTTCAATTTGAGTTTTTAGTTTAGTACAAATTGAACTAAAAGTGAAAATTCAAACTGGACAAAAAATTTTGGATAGTGCAAATGTTAACCAGTGCCAAACTGACGATGGGGAGCAGAGGGATGCGTCAACGTCGATGTGGCTGGCATTTGGTATGAATCCTGGAAAAATGTCAGTAAATTGATGGATGTTTGGCTACAACTTGAAAGTTGAAATGGACGATGGACCCATCACGAGCAACAAATTTAACCATCTCCATCTGGCATTGTATCCATTTCCGAGGCAAGAGTTTAAATCTTGGCAAAAGCAAATGAATGTGGTTGTAAAATGACCTTTAAGAAACCTCAGTGTTTGAAGTTTTGCTATTAACAACATCATAAGAACTGTTAAAAGAGTAAAATTCGCGTAATGATGCACCTTCTATGGAAGGAATCCCACTCACAAAGTAACAAATATGGTTTTAGTTTCTCGCTGCATTTTAGCTACTTATGCAGGAATCATGATCTTACACTAACGTTTCTTCTTACTGTTATACACCAAAATCATAGTGTATTTGGGGGGTATGTAAACTAATGATACAAGTCCCCGCTAATGATGTATGGTCCTGTGAACTTTGACCAGTTCATCATGTTCTACAACAATAGAGTTTCGTTTCTTTTTATTTTGTGTGGCGCTACTAACGTATCTTACTCTTCTGAAGGAGGCTCAATCCAGCGCCCGTGATCTTTAATTAGCTGGATCAAAGCATCGGTCGCCTGATCCATTGCAATTCCTCGTTTTACCACCGTCTGAAAAAAACCCAAGTTACCATTAAAATCAAGTAGACATAGTAATGGTTTAAATGAACTTTCTACCTAAGTGATAAACAGACATCAATGATTTCAGACATGAGTTTAACCATCTTCAATTTAAGTGTATCCTATTTGATGGTTGGAAGTACCATGATTCCATGTGTTGAAAAGTCCATAAAATATCAGAAAGTAATTCTACAGAGTTTCACCATTAACTCTAGTTTGAGATGGAAAATTCGAGAGACTCGTGATCTTGATGGAATATTTCCAAAATGGATAAGAAGATACCTTTCCAACATAAAGGTCAATCTTCCCTGGAGCGCCACCAACGTAACCAAAATCTGCATCAGCCATCTCCCCCGGTCCATTCACGATACAACCCATGATAGCAATCTGTAGGATAAAAATTAGTAAGGACGATGCTAACTAGCTTGGTTGAAGGAGAAGGGTAAGTAATGTAAATGTGTAACCATCAAATGCCGAGAGATTTAAGTGTTTACCGAAACACCAGGCAAGTGGGATGTTTTCTCTCTTATTTCTGCACTTATCACTTGAAGGTCGAATAGAGTTCGTCCACATGAGGGACATGACACATATTCCTGGATAGTAAATTGCAAATATACATAGAATTAGATAAATTGTCTTCTTACTCTTTGAAATTTCAAAGCTTAGATCCTTACCGTCTTTGTGTTACGCATTCTACAGCCTTGCAGCAAATTGAACGATGTGTTTCTAAGAAATTCAAAGTCCTGGTCCGGAGCTTCTAATAAGACCCCATCTCCAAGCCCATCTACCAAAAGGGCTCCTGCATTGCTTCCAGCCCCAATGACTAAATCGTCTCTGCCAATAAGGTAGACAAAAACTACATTCAAACATCTGTGTACATGATGATGGTATTCATGCTATCTAGGTTCCAGAATACCTGTGAATTCCTTTAGGGAATTGAATATGATGAATCACCGGGAAGTCAAGAGAGTTCTCAGAAAGATACTCGAACAGCCTGCAACAGTTCAGAAACACTGAAATGAGCGGAGGTTTGTCATTGGAAAATTATGTTGTATCTGAAAAGATTACAGTTATTGGTACAAAAAAATTTCTACTACAAGATGGCATATAAAATATGGATGGGTAAAGAACAATCCAAACTTCTGCCAAGGTTAATATTTTCGACAGCCAGGCAATACAATAGTGGACAAAGACTTATAGAATTCTCAATTGTCAGACAGAACTTTACCTCCTCGCTGCCTGAACTCTGCCAACCTTTTCTTCAGTGTGGGGTACGTCATGGAGAATCATTGTAACCTCAACACTCTTTAGAATTTCCAATTCTTCTTTCGACTCATCACCACGTACAGACACAACCAAGCGGGTACCTGGAAAAACTAGTGTTAAGATCATCCCGATACCGGTACGGACTATCTCACACCCACAAGCAAAGAAATAAAGACCGAACCTTCCGGAAGGAGCTTGTGTGCTCCACTTGATAATTCTTTGAGAGTCACCAAAACCATTGCATAGGGTAAAGGCTTTGTTAGCTGCTCTGATAAAGGTGTTATAACACCCATGCTTATGTCTATCAACCTTTTAAGAGCAAGCCTCTGGTGAAGATAAAGGAAACACGATCAGTTCATCCTCACAAATGGAAGAAAAAGAGAGCAAATGAAAGAGATTACAAAGAGACAGAAATATATTACAAAATACTAACAATAGAATACGATGAAATGCTTCAACAATCAAAATAAAAGGCAAAACAATAGTACTCACTGCATCTTTATCATCAGCAGGAGGGAGCTCCCTCAATAATATTGAATCCACGGTTGCCAGATCCTATGTTAGTGAAAAAACTTCGTTTAGAAACTCAATCTATGTAAAATCAATTCAATTTCTCATGTAGTACACAGAAGTAGAAATCAACCTTAAATGGCATGCCGACGACAAGTTTTGCTGCCAAAGATCTGTATAAAAGCTCTGGGGTCTGGCAGAGTGAGAAAGGTCAAAATAAGAGAAGTAAATGAATTAAAATAAAGTGAACAAATTAGATAATGTAAAAAGAGAAACTGCAGGGAATTTGGTAGAACTGAAATATCGAGTTCACCTTCAACTGATCCAAGGAAACAGACATGAGAACTGAACCATCACGGTGCAGGGCGCCCCTATAATCTACCTCTTCACCCTATCAATTCAAGGTTAATGGTTATCAGTTCACAAACACAGAAAGACAAAGAAAAGCCTAACAACTAACATTTCCGAAATGTTACAGTGCTGACCTCTTTTTGTACTGGCAATTGCCCTGTTCTGCGTTGAAAATCAAAATAACGTCTATGCTTCTCTTCAAATGGTTCCTGATAAATGCCAAACAGAAGTTGTCAGATTTTTTTAGTCATTGGTATAAGCTAACTTCATTAGTTACTGTTTATTCTGTCATATAAAGCTTACCACTCCTAGCTGGAGTTGAGCTGCTCTTGTACCGAGGTTTGCCAACCTTCTACAGGGGTCAATCTCCTCCTCTGGAGGTTCAGTAAGTGAAACTCGAATTGTGTCACCCAGACCATCCTAGACGGAAAAAAAAAAAAAAACACCTTCATGCTGATTGTATCCCATTGTACATAATGATAGACAGTATACAGCATTTCATAACCCAAAGAAAAACTTCGGAGTCATTTGATTGTGTTAAACTGGATTTACCATCATTCACTTGCACATGATTGTTTGATGCATGACAATTGAGATGATTGTTTCCATAAGGAAAGAACGGAAAACTGAATACCTGTAGAAGTGTTCCAATTCCAATTGCAGATTTCATGCGTCCATCCTCACCCTCACCAGCTTCGGTGACTCCCAAGTGCAAGGGATAATCCCATCCTTGGACATACATTTCCGCTACAAGAAGTCGGTATGCCTCGACCATGATAACGGGGTTGCTTGCCTTCATCGAAAAGACGAAGTTGTGATAGTCCAATTTCCGACAAATCCTAGCGAACTCAAATGCAGATTCAACCTGTGCCAATGAAAATAAGCAACTCATTAGGTCAGAAGAAACTCAGCACAAATCAGCATGGACTATAAATGATTAAATAAATGCTCACCATTCCTCTAGGTGAATCCCCGTAATAGCTCATTATACGATCTGAAAGGCTCCCGTGGTTTGTCCCAATGCGCATCGCCCTTCCATATTTCTTACACTTCTCGACTAATGGAGTGAAGACCTGAGACAAAGTTGTTCAAGAGGAACATTGTTAAAGAGAATTGAAGCCCAGTAGTACCTCAGGCTACTTGAAAGTTAATGATTTACTATTAAAAGTATGAAGAATAAGAAAAACAAAATCTCAAGTAAAGCAGTTGTAAATATCCAATATACAGCATGCTTTCATCCCAACTAAACAAGAATCATAGTAATCATAAATGAAATGTAGAACTAGCTGCATTAAGCACAAAATAATTTGTTATCCATAGGACTCAGAGACTCAGACCAATAGACAATAAGCTATCTCAAACACTAGGGTACTACAATAAAAGGAGAACATCAGTCAAGGACAATATTTAACAAAGGATTAATGCGAACTTGTTTGAAGAAATTTCTGCACTTCTAGAATTTTTCTAGTATTGCAAAGTGGGACTCCCCCATTCTCAATATGTGGAACTAGGGGGAAAAAAACATAAAGTGCAGAAAACCTATCTAATTATTAAAAATCTTTAGTGTCTAACCTCCTCAATATGCTGAAGCTCTTTCTGATATTCTTCTTCAGTGTACTCTAACTGCTCAAATTGAGCTCGCCTGTCAGCTGAAAATAAGAAAACTCCATCAATTTAGATCAAAGTAAAAATCCATATTTTTCCTTAGAGAAAGTAAACTGTTGGAATAGGAGTCCGAAGAAGTACCGAAATTTCCGGGATTGACACGAATTTTGTCAAAGCACTCAGCAACTCGCAGTGCAACAGCAGGAGCAAAATGGATATCAGCCACAAGAGGGATATTGTAGCTGCAAAATGCAGCGATCAGCATTAGTGTAATTCAATAAAGAATTGAAGAAACAGAATCATACATGTCAAGATATAAGTGAGATATACTTTTTCTGCACAAGTGTGTTTTTAATTTCATAACAGGCATCTGCCTCTTTCTTCCCTTGCACTGTAATTCGGACTATGTCCGCTCCTTTATCAGCAATTCTCATTACCTATCAGAGTAGCAGTACATCAAAGATTATTAATACAAAAAAAAAAAAAAAACCACCATATAACACTGCAAAGCATGGATGATTTGACAGTGCAACTCTTTTGATTTTTCGAATTTTTTTTTTCCTTTTTAAGTTATGGCCTCAACTTATTTGCATAAAAGATTCCAGTGCTTTCAATAGAGTTACTCCACTATGTGTTCAAGTAAGCTAAGAGCATCAATGATCACAAGCAGTTATTGTGATCTTCATAATGAGCAATGAAACATCAGAACAAATTGAACCTCTTCGACTGTCCCAGCAACATCTTTAGTGTCCGAAGTAGTCATTGTTTGGATTCGAATAGGGTGGTCGCTACCAAGGGCCACATTTCCAACCATTACAGTGCGGGTTTTTCTCCTGACAGTTTTGTGGATGGATTCACAATATTTTTGTCTCGGAACTGCATTAAGAAAGTGACCAACAGATTACTCCTTGAAAAAAACAATAAATGCAATATGAAAAGAAGATCATCAAAAGAGACCAAGATCTAATCTTGATAGCTAACTAAAAATTGGTACCTCTTATCAACCAGAAAAACATCAATTTCATTAACTACAAGTCTATATAAATGATGAAGATTCTTTTGCAGACCATTGCTTAATTAAAGAATTTACCAGTGATAAAGAATGATTACCTAATAGAGGACTCCCTTCTGATGCAGGCTCTAGCTCAACAGTTTCCTGGCCAGGATTAGAACTTCTGATCACAGAATACTTGGTTCTACGAAATTTGACCCTCTGTGCATTAGAAACTCTAACAAAATCCATGCTTTTAGCGAAGCCCAATCCATTTTCCTTGCTCTTTAGGCTAGTAAAAGAAGCTGGAACCGTTCCGGTCGCCATTTTTCACTCTCAAATCCTCAACCTTCTAAATTCCTGCACAAATAAAACAAAGAATAGAGTCACCAACCATTTTCCTTCCACATGATGGGGTACGGATTAACCATTTCATATGTAAAAATAAACAAAAGGGATCCTTAGGAAGCATTGAAATTCTTAAAAAATTGGATCAATTTCCATCTACAACATCAAGCCTAAAAACTCACAATTAAAAGTCAACTAAAGCAGACAACTTGTAAACTAATTCACCAATAGTTCAATCAAAGAAAGAAACTTTGAATGCTGTTTGTTACTGACCTTTAGGAGTTTAATATTATTGCCTTCAATAACAAAAGGGTCGAGGCAATTTGAATGATTCCGTTTTGGGGAGGAAGATTCCAGGGGAATGAAAAAAGACAGAAAATTTTTTGGTGGTTGGAGGAGTTTGATGAGGAAAACCAGAGTAATGGAATTCAGAAAAAAAACATTGCTGGAGAATGGATTATATACTTCCTATAATAGTAGCTTATCAGTTGAAAGCAATTGGCTGCCTTAAGCAATAGTCAGGTGGGCATGAAGACAAATCTCATTTTCACAGCATCTATTGTTTTTCTCAATTTTGGTGGCCATGCAAATACCAAAAATTTTCTGGCAATTAGAAGTTTTATTAAACACCTGTTCTCTGGGTCCTTCTATTATGGCTTCATTTGGATTTTGACCCCTAAGACAATTACCAATGACTACCTAATAAAGGGCCAACCATTGTTGATTTTGCACTACAATGCGATTAACTAATTAACTGTTTCTTATCTAAATCATAAAAGACTCTATTTTTCGTCAACAGATTATTAGTGGTTTCCGCTACATATTTAATAAAAATTATTTGGAGTTGATGTTGTTTAATTAGTAAATTATTTACTATTATTCGCGATGATATTTTATCAAACGGGTGCATTTATGTTATTTCTCTTAAATTAATTTGATTACTTTTTGCAATTTCATTGTTTACTATTAACATGAGAAATTGTATTTTCAATTGTTTTATTTTTTGGGGTCTTTGTTTGTAAACTTTCAGTTTTGATGTGGATAAGGTAAGAACAGCAAAGTAGGAATGAATGCTTACTAACTTAAGAAAACAATAACGCCTTTGAATGTAGTAACTCTTTGGGAATGGTCAAAGAAACGGCAGTCAAATTGGAAACTATAACAAAATCAATAATTCAGTAATAAATTAGAAATGAAAAGGGTTCAAAATGTATAGCTCTATTTCAAAGTCTTCAAACAAAATGGTATCTTTTTAAGCCACGGTAAGATGTTCCGTCGCCGGAACTCTCCCGGCGCCACCGAACAAAATTAACTACTATACAGAAAAAAAAAAAAGAAAAAGAAAAAAAAAACGAAACTTAAAACAGCATGATGCACGAGGGAACTTGCAATTAAGAAATGTTTCCTAGTTGGTGGGAAAATTAAATTGCGGAAATGAGATCTTTGTAAGTTTTTCTTTGAGGGCAAATTGTAATAATAATAATAATAATAATAATAATAATAATAATAATAATAATAATAATAATAATGAATATAGTACTAGTTTTTCAAGCATGGCACGAGAAGCACGCAAATTTTGTCCAATTATTTGGGCTTATATAATAGATGTACACGTGCTAGGTGAAGTTCATAAGTTGGCAAATTTGACTCTTTTTAGCAGAAATTAATAAAAAGAAAGAAGAACAGAAAACTAGGAAGATATTTTGCATAAAAAAGACGGATTAGTTTACATTAGTATAATCATTTAGTCATAGTGGATGGCTGCATAAATTTTCATTGCTAATGACTATTTAATTTGCTTGTTAAACCATTATACAAATTTTAATAAGATTTTTCTTCATCCAAAATGATTGTATTGAAGATTGTAAAAAAAAACTGGACAAATACTTTAAAATTAAGAGAGTATATTTACTGAATTAATTGTATAAGAGTTACTTCTGTTAAAATATTTCACCACAATAAACTTGACTTTTATTTGGGTAGGAATGAATTAAAAAAAAGATTTGGTTGAATAAAGATTGCATGATCAATCCTCATTCTTTAGTAAAATGGTAGCTGAAGAATGAACTGAAAACAATTGAATTTAATTAGACAGAATTTGATCTGATGAGTTTTTCCCTCAAACATACATTTATTAATGAACTGGAAAGTTAGAGCCTTTGAAACAATTATTGTTGTGGTTGATACATGCAATTATTTCTTATTGTTTAATCACATTATACCAACCAGAGACAAGATTAGTTCCTTCCACCTTATTCAACTGTTAAGTTGTTTTCAATATATATATATAAACTGTGAAGTGATTCTATATTCTGTCACCAAATATCCAAAAAGTGCCTGTTGAATCTTGAATTTTCCTTTTTTTCAGATCACTCAATTGTGTTAATTGAGAATCCTCCATCTGTCCGAGGGCACAATATAAAACTAAATTTAATTCCTAGTTATGTCTTACAAATACTTCCTCGGTCTGTATTATATGATCTTTTGATTGTGATATGTTTCACCTATTATGTTGTTTCAATTAAAAAAAATTAAAAAAAATATTTTCAAATAATTAGGAAAACACATTGAATGTGAAAATATAATTTTAAAATTTTTCTTTCAATCGGAAAAAAAAATAACAAACTAAGTGAAGTTTAGGATCAACCAAAATGCATTATAATACGGATCGAGAGTGCAACCATAAGTGTATGAAACCGTAAATTCAGCAAATGAAAAGTCCAATTTAAGATTAAACATTAACCTAAGATGCCTGCCAACTGCATTGCCCTCTTTTGACTTCATACCGACACCGAAGCAATGTAATGCGAAGCAAATTACTCAAACAGCAGGCGTGTGTTACACACACTACGCTGCTATCATATTCAATGTCACCTGCTTGTGCTTTCCCTGGAATGAAAAAGATTCTCTCAGGTCCTATTTAAGTTGTACCTTAAGATATTGACGCCGGAGAGTATTTAGTATGAAAATCTGAATCTAACTCAAATCTGTCTAGTTCTGAGGAACACAGTACAAAAGAAATTTTTACACAGATAAACCGGTTCCGGCTCAAACCATTTAGCTTACTATTCACCAACCAAATTGATCAACAGATTCTATCCCAAATACATAAAAAAACATATACCAGTTTTAAAGAGCGGTGGAAGAGAAGAAGTATTAGCTATATAATACTACTAGAATTTGGAAATGGAGCTTGTTTGGTCGGATTACAGTGTAAGAAGATCAAACGGCCCCAAAACCATGTCAAAGTGGTCAGCATGACAAACTGTCACTCTAAAAGTAAGAAGCTCAATGAATTTGTGCAATAACACTTCCAAAACTAAAAACGTCACCAGACCCAAAAAGAATCCCTCAATGCAATGCAACTGCAAATTTCTCCATTATGAGATGTATCCTTCCTGCTCCTGAAGAAGTCTAGCTGAAGCCCTCGCATCTAGATAAAGAGTGCTCACTTCTTCAAGGTCCGCCTGTCCAATAAATGAAAATAAATCATTTTCCACCTTCCATGCTGAACTACGACAAAGCTATAGACAAATTCAAATTGATGCACATCCAACTTTCAGGTAGTTGCATCGAAAAAAAACAAACACTTTACCTTGCATATGTTGTCTCGTCCATTCATCTTAGCCACAATACTGGCTGGTGATAATAACTGAACCGCGTGCCTGAGTGAACAAGCAAATTTGGAAGTGTCAAGTGCTTGAAAATTAAGATACCAGATCAAATTTCCAAATAGCTATTATCAGACCTTAAAGATGCTTGACGTCCAACCTCACCAAGGTATGCCAAACTTTCTTCATCTATGACCAGTTCCTCCACCTGAGCACGGATAGCTAATATCTGCAATATGGGATAGCAATTAAGAACAGATAAAAAACGATGCCCAGACAGACAGACAGACAGACAGAGGTGCTACAGAACAGGGCTAATACCTGTATCATCTCAGCTGGACCATAAGTCACAGTTCGTACAATCACCAAGCGGTCTAGCAGATCGAGTGGTATGCCATGAGGACTATGCATATCGGTTCCTCTGCACCACATTATTTCAGGTTAGGATGGTTAGCAATGTCAGGATAAGCAAACACATAAGTTTACACAAACACAATATGATGTCTAATCACAGTAGAAGTTCTATGCCCAAACCACATTTCCAAGTATAGTGGTCAGCATTTATGTCATTAACTCCGCAGGAAATGTAAATAAAGAGTCCTCCAGTATGAACAGGACAAGAATTACCCATAATAACATCAAATGCTAATAGGACGGAGACTCATACCGAATGAACATTTTCCCAACCAATGTTCACTCCAAAAACCCACCTAAACAAATACTACCGATGCTTGATTGTGAACAATCCCAACCAGATGAGAGTAGCAAAAAGTAAAAGAGATTGTTGTAAGCAAGTATCCCAACAGAGAGACTCATACACACACATCATACTTCACTTTATCTATGATGGCAAGGTGATCAAACATGCAGGGACAAACAGGCAGACACAAGCTTAAATTGCATTAAAAGAAGAGTGAACCGGTTCAACTGAAATATCGGTATTCCAGCAGGACAAGATAGAATTAGTTTAATGAAAGAAATGCAAGGACCCATTATCCAAAGCATGAAGCATCCTGATACCTGACATTACATATCCCCCTGTTTGTTGCAAAAATAACTATTGGTGACAGAGAACTTTCCAGAGCTCGATTCAGATATGAAAAGCACTCCATATCCAGCATATGGACCTATAAAGGAAAAATAAAAATTCATACTTTTACGCTAGTAATTCAATCAACTCAGGTAACCTAAAAAGAATATCAACTACACTTTTTAGCCAAGAGGACAACCTCATCAATAAATAAAACCCCAGGAACAAGCTCCGCCACTCCTTCATCAATATACCGGTTAACAACCTGCAATCAACTTTGTGTAAGATGTAGAATAATACATAAAATGTAAGCACAGAATTACATGCCCAAGGACTTAAAAGATATAAATTAGCTGGTAATAGATTAAGAACAATATGCAAAAGTTTGAGAAACTTCTTGCACTGCTCTCTGTGTTTAAAGGATACACCCGTATATGAAAGTGAAGTGCCTCATTTTAATCAAGAAACCAGACCCATTTCTAGAAGCAACAATCAGAAAAATCTCAACCCCGTTGACATGAATTACCTTATTTACTTCCATCCGTAACTTGTCAGTGATTTCTGTTTTCCTTGGTTTCATCATCTGACTCATCAGAGACATTATGTCTTGTCCTCCCTGAGGCCTTGCATTTGCAGCATCAAGATCATGCAGCGTGACATCCTGAAAAATTGTATTTCAAACATGCAACCGTCAAATTAAATAGTGACATTCTGATTATTAGAAGACTGCAGGTGAGTTCATTAATTTCAGTGTTAAAGTATCACCAGGAGAATTCGCAATCACACTGTGCTCAACACGAAGGTGCTACTAAGAGAATGTAGCTGATATCAATGACCAAAGAACATAATGCAAGACGCACTTGTATGAAAATTCTGCACAATGCAATAGAGACTCGAAGCAATTCTGCATAACCCATTAGAGACTCAAAGCATAAGAATGTAAATTGGCCATGATTTTAGACAGACTAGACTCTACATCAATAGAGGGGAAACTAAATTCTCTGGCATTTAATTGACAAACTGTATGAAAATACACTAAGATTCTCTACAAAGCGGACAAGCTGGTGTTCACTAACAAATCAAAATGGTCAACTCTGATTGTCTCAAGATCATTAAGAAAGAAGACTTATAGTTGACAAACCTGAACTATCTCCTTCTTTTTATGAACCTCCCCTTTAGGCAGTGGAACATATTCTTCAGCCTCAAGATCAAATTCAGTGGCAAAGGCATCACTCCTGCCCACCCTTTTAACTGCTCCACTGTTGGCTTCAATGTATATAACATCGCCAACAGCCACCTATAACAGGAGTTACTAGTCTCAGTACCAAAATATGAGATTGTAATAAAAAGTTCCATTAAAAGTGACAATCGGCCTGTAAAATTTCCACCAAACTGCTTGACTTTCACCTTTTCTTTGATGAGTGCATCATATATTGTGGGATCCAGCCTCAATTGCTTAGTTCCTTTGACGGTTTTCAGCCCAATAACAACATGGCTAATACTTCTACCATATCCACCAGTCTCGCTTCCTGTCTCTTCAGGTGTCAATTCTGTGACCTGCAATAATAGAAGCATTTTAATGGCTAAGAACAGAATGATCTTCCAGAACAAACGAATCAATAATATAAACAAATGAACAAAGTAAAAAAGTGAAGTATTATTTAATAGACAGGTAAACTTGCCTCTCCTTCATAAACTTCCTTATTTTCCTTTACTCGCAGACCAATAGCACGACGGAAATTCTCCATCAAAACTTCAGTCTTCTTTACTTCAGATGAATATACCTCTGATCCCACCATTGGGCAGAAAGGAACCTACAGTTTCCAAATTTCAAGATCCAAAATAAATAAATGTATGATTTAAACCTACAAGCACCCAAATTCACAGCATGTATTTGCATAGTGAGGTAGGTTTTAACATAACTTTTGGCGGATGCACTAAAATCAACTTTCATGGAAAACCTTTTCCCATACATTACAGTGTTCTAACAAGTAACTAGTGAGTATCTTATATGCCATCCAACTTTGAACAGTAAACTAAGATTCACGACAAGTAGATGGATAAAAGTTTGCATACCTTGCTCCCAAGCTCTTGGGAAATGCCGAGGGCGAGAGCCGTTTTACCAGTGCCTGGAGGTCCAGCAAGCAGAAGCGCCCTCCCTGCCATTTTTTTCTGGCGAATCATATCAACGACAAGGCCACAAGCTTCTCTGGCTGAAGCCTGACCCACAAACCCTGAGGCCAAGGGCATTGCTGTTCCATTGAGCTGGAAAATTGCCAACAACATCAGCAACCCACAGCAAGACAAAACTCATATAAGATGACAACTTCAAGATACTTCGGCTTATTAACATTAGACTCTAACAATACAGCTACAAGTGAATAGAAAACCAAACTTTTAATTACTAAAAACCCTAAGGACTGTTTTAGGCATATAAGCAGTAAAACCCTTAACCTTAAACCCCAATGCCCAAAAAGTGAAACTAGCAAAATCAAACTTCGAGAAGGTTAGACGTATGAAACCTCAAACCGATGAAACACACTTAAGATCAACTTTTCCATTATATTCGCCGACCCAACCCCAGCACAAAAAACAGGAACCCGTTTTGCAATTTCCTTTTTTTTATATGCACACTAAAACCCTAAACATCAAACCGGCGCCCAGTACTGAAACAGCAAGAATTTCATACAACCTTAAACATGAACCAACGGTGATAAATTTTCAGAAAAAAAGTAGGAAAGAAGCTCTTTTTATAAAATATCAGAGTTCAATATTATTTACCTCTAGGCCAAGGCCTTTAATGTGGGTATGAGTTGCAATTCTCTGCTTCTTCGTAGTAGATTGAACCTCTTCGATCTTCATGTTCACCCTGTTTGTCCTTCGCCTTTTTTGCTGCCCTGTTTTTCCCTCTCTTTTTGTGTTTTCTTGCTGTTCTTTCTGCAATAGACTGAAACTGGAGGCGAAGTGAGCTTCTAATGAGGAGCACAAGTTAATTGTTTATAATAAGCTCCTTCAAATTTCAGAAATTTGTCTCTTAGCTCCCAGATATTTCTAATTAGTTGCAACTTTCCCCCTATTACGCATCTATTATTTTCTTTTATTTTTTTGTACTTTTTATTTTCCTTTTTGAAAAAACTCACAGCGTGGATTTTATTCTCAACAATTCCGAAAAAGTATGATATAATACTTAAGCTTGCACATGAGAGACAATATAAAAACCGTTGAAAACCCTCATAATTAAAAATATGATAGGGAATTGTGGGCGATTCAGTAATTTCGCTCGCTGCTATCCGTCTTAGAAATTATGTCGTTTGAATGTGGCATCATGTATAGTATTGTAAGAGCATGTGAATGTAGAACAATATATTATCGATGTTAAATTTTTACGGTGAATTGTAATATAATTTTAAAGCCGTTTGTCTCATTCACTATTTTTTCAAAAAAAATAAAAATAAAAAGGAGAAATAAAATAGATGCTTGAGTATTCGCCACAATATTCCATTCTTGGAACATGTTAGGATTGGAGTGAACTTTGTAGCGGGACTATATTGCTGAGCTTGTAACTAAGAACCGGGGAAGATTTGAATTTCGATCGGGAAAACGTTGGTCAGTGGTTATAACATAATATTGTTGGAGTTTTTTCTCCAGGTGATGTTGTAATTTTCAAAAATTAAGTTATGGCCTCACATCTTATATTACTATATATTAAGGGAATTTTTTTCACAAAACACATGTCAGTCAATTAGATCATCGATAATTTTCAATTACACGTGTCATCTTCTCATTCGTAGAGAATTTTATGTAATCCACATGTCATCTTCTAATTCGCGATTTTTTTTACTGAGTATTTTATCAAGTAATATGGTTAATTTAAACATAGTCAAATGGTTAAATTCTAAAAAATAATAACTTTCTTCAAATTAGACTTTTGACGACCATCTCCGAATCATCAATTTGACCGGAAAAAATACTCTAGCCACAAAAATCTCTAGACCCGCCGCTTATAAATTTTACTTCATCGCCGGATCATCTCCTGCTAAATACCGTCGAGTGTAATTCGAAGATCCCATGCCAGCGGCTGTGATGAATGAAAAGAGCGTGATGGTGACTCTTTTGGCGTGAATGGCACAGAGATTGGTGTCTTCATACAACCCAACCAATTAAGCCTCTGTTGCTTCTTAAAGCGCTGCCATGCCAGAGCTCTAATGGTGGGGAGAAGGAATTGGGATGGTGACCGGCAACAAAAGGTCCGGTGCGGTGTGTTGTTTGGCATGAAAAAGAATCCATGGAGAAAGAAGGTGCGAAGGAAATTCATTAAGGAATTTTTTATTTTTTTTTGGTTATATATGTAGGATAAAAAATAGAGTGATCTTTATCTTATCATTAATGATATTTTTTGTTTCAAAAGATAATTGAAACATATTTGAATTTTAAAACAATAGTAAAATATGGCAAAGATAAGTATACAATATGTGTATTTTATAACAATATTAACTGTGATTTATTGTTGAAAATAATATTTCAAACATAGAGTGATTCTTTTCTGCTTTTCTCATATTAATCTCTCTTACTCTCTCTTTATATATTTGGTCACCAAAATCACTCATTCTTTGAAATTGGAATCCGCCAATTTCTAACGTGGACATTATCACATTAATCTATTGTAATCATATGTTAATACAAGATTGCATGGGAGACATCTGGTAAGATTTTTTTTCCTCTCCCAAAGTATGACAAAGCATATGTTAATAAAAGTTTTGTTTCACTTCATTGTAAACAAACCTATAAAATAGGTGCATATAAAAATCACGTTCATGAATGAAAGTAGTTTAAACTTTGAGTGTAATTCATTAACATGAAAATATTTATCATCTTTTATAATTGAAAAAAGATTAAAAAAAAATGTGTATATTCCCTAAAGTTAAGGGCAAAAATTACTCACGTCATTAAAATTTATTAAGAATTAAGATACCGCGCAACGCTCGGGAATAATACTAACATTGTAACAATTAAAAATCATGGTATAACTGATAATTAAAAAAAAAAAATCAGGATCATATATATATATATATATATATATGCCTATAATATTATTACACATAAAGAAGAAGTCCTTAACAGGCGCTGTATAAAGGACAATTCAGTCGGAACAACGTTAATCAATAGGTGTTACAGGCGAAGGGCTCAAAAACAAATCGCCGAAATCTCCTACAATTTGGATTGTCTTTATTTATTTCATTCAAATCCTTAGCATATTCGACATGAACCTGGGATACAAAGTGATGAAGGACGGCGATTCAAAGACGAAGTTGTTGCAAGAACTCATCGCTTATGCAGCCCCCGCAGCCATTAGTTGCTTAGTTCTGTTCCGGATATTTGACCCGATTCTTAAAGCTACCATGGAAGCCATTAAACAACACAATAACAGAAACAAGGAATTGGGTCGTCTCAATTCCCTATTTCAGACCAATCCGTACGATGTAGACCGGATCAGTGAACTTCCAGATGAAATCCTGTCCCGTATCTCGTCGTTTCTGACTTTCAAAGAAGCTTTCAGAACAACTGTTCTGTCCAAGAGATGGAAACATGCGTGGGCTTATGTTCCTAATCTTGATTTTGATGCTCATACTAATTTTTCATCAGGGAGGAAGATGGTAGATGTAAAGGAATATGTGGAAAAATTGATTAGGGAAAGACCCCTGTTTGTGAATTGGGTAAATAAGGTGTTACAATCACATCAGGGCTTGGTTTTGAATAGCTTCAGAATTCATTGTTATTTTGGTTATTCTTTCATGGCGGAATTGGATGGTTGGCTTCAGTATGCTTTTGACAGGAGAGTTCAATGTCTGGAAGTGAACTTGTCAAGCCATTGGTTAGATGGTTTCCCTGATGATGAATATGCTTTCAATTATACCTGTTTTGATCACAGAAATTGGGATTCTCTCAAAGAATTGGTTTTGAAAAATGTCAATATCTCTACGACCACTCTTGAATTCCTTTTGGAAAACTGCAAGAATCTCGAAAGCCTGGTTTTGCATTCCGCTAAAGATTTAATAACTTTGGAAGTTTGTGATCCGTCTCTTGCATTAAAACATTTGGAAATTGAATTCTGTCCCTTAAAATTCCTCACTATAAGCAATGTGAATCTTATCTCGCTTAAGATTTGGAAGCCAGGAGTCCTAAAGCTTAACAATGTCCCGCAACTTACCAGTGCTACCTTCATCTCTTCAAATTACGCGATTGAGGATGTTGTTCGCGGGCTTTCATGTTGCTTTTCAAAGCTCAAGGATCTTTCCTTACTTCTGGTTCCTCGTCATGCTAGACAGGTATGCATATTTTGCTCATTAGGTTATATATTGGAGTAATTTTCTTTGCCTGGTTTTGAACTATGATGACTTTCTGAGTTGTATCTTGAGCCATTTTTTTTTTGGGTTTTGTTAGTATAATTGGACACAGCTACCTCAGCTACCTGCACTGAAGCAACTGTCTCTACATCTTTGGTTACATACAGAAGAGAGCATGTTTGGAGTTACTTCGTTTTTTAGGGCATCGCCAAACTTGGAGAAGTTTGCAATAAAGGTATTACTTTATATTGTACATTCCTTTGGTTTCTGCTCTTTACTTTATGCTACAATTGAAGTGATGATTCTTTATGCTTTGCTGATTGAACATGATTTGTTTCTGCAGCTCGAATACCCGTTGAAAATAGAGACCATCAGAAAGTCAGAGGAGGATGTTGTAAACTACCCTCTCCAGCATCTTAGAGTGGTTGAAATATCTCAATATCGAGGCCGTTCAATTGAGCTGGAACTAATAAAGTACTTCCTAGAAAATGCAATTTCTCTCGAGAAGATAATTGTTGATCCGCGTTATGAAACTCCTGAATCTTATGGAGGAGTTTGGTGGTGGAGTCCTGAGGGACTCAGTCGGGAAGCTGAGGTAACAAATGAGGCCAGAAGGTGTGCTAAGCAGCAGCTTTTGGAAGGGATGACTTCACATTTTACATTAGAGATTCTTTAATTGCTAAACTGTTCAAATATGTTAACCATACTTTTTGAGTTTTCACAATGACATTTATAATTTTGATCTCAAATAACTGCAAGAATGTTACTATTATTCTATTACAAGCGAAGGAATTAGTCCTTGTTGCTTAAGGTGGACATTCTGCTATATGCAGCTAAAGCATCAACGACAAAGACCAGAGGACAGTAAACACTGTGTATGGTTGAATCCAACCATCAATTTACAACTACAATGAAGACCAGCAGATTATCAGTCAACACCGAATTATCCTTTCTCCAAATGCATAATGTTACAAAATTGTGGTTACAAAGAACATCACCCCACAGCACGTTCCCCTTCGAATATAGAGTGCCTCTCAAGGATTGCAACAGTCTCTTCCTTAGCACTACAACAAAGAAAAGACATGTCAATAATGCACCAAAAGAAAGTTCACTCGCAATGAGTAGCTTATTCAACATACAAGGTTTTCAATTTGACCTAGGACCCAAAAAATTATTTGCTTGCTCAGAGCAAGGATCTGTGTAAAAAAAAATCTGGTTTACTTCCTTTTTATCCCAGTTGGGGGCGGATTAGCAAAAGTGATTTGAAGATCTGGATCATTGATCCTAGTAATTATCTGCAACAACTTATTAATAGTTTGTCTTGAAAGGTTCGGAGTTTGCAGATTCTTTTCAGAGTCATGCTAGTGGGGAAGGCACAAGTAAAACTGTCTTACAGAGTTTTAAGAAAGCAATATGCAAGAAATGAAAATAATATATATATTTAACAACTTTACTTGACAAGAACATTCATACTTCACAACAACACCTTTAAAAGCATGAACTCTTTTGTTAAAGGATGGGTAACATTTTTACTTTATGTGGATGGATAACAGAACTGTACATAACCAAACCTAAACATTACCATAACCCCAGTGACTGAAAAACACCAATGTTTAGTTCCTTAATCAAATGAGCAACAAAGCTTACCTCCCAGGTCTGAGAATCTTGTACGTCCCAGGTGAAGTGAGATCTACAACTGTTGATCCTGCACGTCCTGATGGCAAAACACCACCATCATAGATCCATGCACAATGCTCCCATAGGTTCTCAAAGTCTTTAATGTCTACACTACTTGGCTGCCCACTTAGGTTCGCACTAGTAAGGGCCAGGGCACTTTGAGAACCGCGAGCAATGAGCCTAATAAAGTTACAGTCAGGCACCCGTACCCCAATACTCTCTAATCCAGGATTCAAAGACTTCTCAAGGATGCTATGCTCCCCTGTGAGATTAATAAAATTTTAGCTCTGTGAAGATCATTGAAAGTTCAACACGTTTGACGATAGCAGTTCAAGAAGACAAACATGAAATAAACAATCTCGAAATAACCCTCCGGGAAGGGGGGACCGGGGGATGAGAAAGCTTCGGGGTAAGCTGAATTGGTAATAACCTACTAAATGATCGCATATTACAACACAAAGCAGTAAATTACAAACCTCGCTTGAGTACCACTGTTACAGGACCTGGGAGAAGACAAGCAAGTAAACCAGGAGGCAAATGGTCTGTGACAGCAAAGCGTTTGATGTCCTCGACATCTCCTACACAAATTGCCAGTGGACTAGTGTATTTACGACCTTTAATCTCGTAGATTTTGTTAACTGCTTCAACAGAGCTGTTTGAAGCAAACATTGAAACAAATCACGAGCTTACAAATTGTAACAAAGAATGCGATTAAAAGGAAAAGGCAATAATGGGATTGGCCTTATCCTAGATATAAAGTTGACTAACAGAATTAACAAAACAGTGGCTGTGGATAACATACACAAGCACATGCCTAACTAAATCTAATCCTTTTCGCAGCTTCATAAGAACATTTTGATTTTTAGCCACTAACCAGACATGCATTACTGTCCATTACTGGATAACAGCAAGCATCTTTGTTACTTCCCAGACGAGATGCAGTTTCAGATTTCTTTCAGTAATGATATTTCAATGTATCAAGCATAACTCCGTATTTTTTGGTGAGACTCCACAAAACAAGAGTAAACATCCATGTATTCTATAAATTGAGACTTAGTTTCTGCGGTTTCTTCAAAAGGCTGAAAATAGCAAATTAATCTGAACCTAAAGATTATTGTGATTGAACTGCTCGGAAACACGATACATTCTTATCAACTAGAGAAGTCACACCAGACACCAGAAACAATACACAACTTTCTCTGATTAACACACCCTTTACGCTGGTAAACAAGAAAGGATGAATTTCTAATTTGAGTTAGTCTAAGCCAGATTAAAGATTCCAATTTTAGCAATCATCATAATTTGTTCATGAAAGACAATCAACATAAAAAATATTCATTCAATTAGCTAAAGAACTGCTGTAGGAAAAGGCAGAGTAATACCAAGCGTCACAAGCAAACCCATAAAGGGTATCAGTTGGAACAGCAATGACCTTTCCGGTTTTGATAGCTTCAACAGCCTCTTGAGCATAATCCTCTGTAGCAGGGTGCACTAATTCCACCTTGCTCCCCACAATCCCATCAAATTTCTCCGTCGTCCAAGCCATATTCCTCACTTTAACAACTGTCCCTCCAAAACCCTTCCTCCTTCGCTGCAATATCCTTAAAAATCCAATCTTTTGTCTCCCTGACAACAAAATGAGCTCCAAAATCAGAAATTTACAAACACAAATGCTTGAATTAAGGGGCATATTAGAAAGAAGTGAGAGAAGGGGTGTGGAAGAAGAGGTTAAGAGACTGACAATTAATGATGCAGTAAAGAAGCACCTAATGAAGAAGAATGGATGAGAGAGTTGACTCGGGGAAAAGCTTGAGAAGTTATCCTTGTGGAATTGACAATCATCAGAATGGCTGCTTTTTCTCCTCTGGGTTCTGTTTGGAGAAATCGGTTTTGTCCGTTAGAAGAAGTCAGAACTGAACTTCAGCGTCATTCAACTGTTCTATTGATGCAAGGGTGAAGCCCTAATGACTTGTATGACTTTCTTTTCCCATAAAGGAGGAGGAAAAGAATCAACTTCGAAGGTCAGATTTCCTTTGGACAAAAATAGTACAGTATAAGTTTAGTTTAGAACTTGTTTTACTGACAGAGTCAGTTGTAGTTTCTATTTTTAGTAATGGGAATCACATCACATTTCCCTGGAACTTCATTTTATACTAACTCGTAAAAGATTTGAGCATTAAAGAACCAATCTTTTCTGTTGGTACTAGGCATTATTAGACATAGAAGATCTGTTATCTGGGTACTTGGGAGATTGAAGTGATACAGATTTATCACCAAGCAATATTGAAATCAGAAGGGGGAAAAAAAAAAAAGAGAGAGAGAAATAAAATAGGTAAGCAGGAAAGTACCCTGGAAAAAGGAAAAAAAAAAAAAGCAGAAAGAGATTTCTTTAGCTTGTGATTGATTGACACTATGACACTATGAAAAATGCACTCTTTAATTTATACAAGATAAACGTGTATTTATACAAGAAAAGAGGCCCTTTTGGGCGTATAATTTATGCTCAACAACAAACGAACAATGTCTACAAAAATCAGGTCGCACTAAATGTTTCTGGATTTTCTGCATTTGCTTGATTAGTGTGATGAGGGCCAGGAGGCACAACACGAGAAGATGTTGCCGGTTGACTAATTTGAGGCCATAGAAACATGATCTGGGAGTTCTCATGTTGCTGGTTTGACAAGGCCTGTCGTTGCCTTCTCCATCTCAGGAACTCAACAAGAATTGAACTTCCACTCATTGCAACTCCAAATCCAGCAAATGTGGATAGCAGAATTGATAGAACTGCTTGTACATGAATCTATATATCACACAGGAGACATGAGGAAAATCAGATGCTTGAATATCGTATCGATGTATCATTTGATGATAAGAACCATGTGTCTTTCTTGTTTGTGTTATGAAAATCGTGCGGAGCATAGAAGATTGAAGCAGCAACACAGATAAGGCCAGAGTGTAATGAAAAGGCGAAAAGCGCCATGGAAAGGTAGTAAAACTGATGAATAATGAAGGAATGGTTATGATTAATTCTTACCACTGAGTAGAAAATATGAGCAAAAAGAACAACGAGAGCGAATTGCACCGAGGCATAAACCCAGACAAATCTTCTCTTCACTGTATAACAATTCAAATGTACATGTTAGACTGTCTAGAAGTTTGAACTACCAATTGAGAACTGTTTTGAGCTCTAAAAGTTTCAGTTGTCTGCTATCTAGTTATTTTTCCAAATTATCTGACAGTATTTGCGAGAATAACTCAATAACATACCCATGGTTGAAGATGTCATTGATGCCAAGAGACCAAGGACGCAAGAAAATGGAAGTGAGATGGCAATAGCTCCAGTACCCATTTTTCCGACCTAGTATGCGACAAAGAAGTCAGCATACAGTACTTGTTTAGAGAACTGAAACAGTTATATGTTAATCCTCTTACCAGAAGCTGCTCCAGGAAACAAAAGTAAGCAAGCATACTGACAATTACAAGAATGGGCACTTCCTGCCAAACCCTGCATTTGTCACATGGCATAAGGTCAAATTATTGAAATATGTATCTGGGTGAATAATTTGGTAAGACTATGTTAAGTTGGTTAGTGTATCAGATGCTAGTCGCATGGAGCAAATGTTGATAAAGAAGGTTGAGCAAAGTTGAATCCACAGGTCAACTTCAGTACTACTACTAAGCAAGGGAGGATTTCCTCTACTTTTAAAAGTGCAACAAACATGATTGGTTGCGAGACTTTCAGAATGTAGTTTAATCTTGATACCAGACATTAGCAACTCTTCTGGTTAATGCCAATATTTCAAGATTAAAAGTTGTGTAATGAATAAGCACCAAGTCCAGACATATTCATCACGGTGCAGATGGAGAAAACCATTTACTTGGTGATCTGACTTGGTTTTCCAGAACAGAAAATTGACATGAATGCATTACTTGCCTGTATCCATTTATTTCAAGATCGCGAACTCTGTTTCCTCGACTGGATCGGCATTGGACACTTTGGATCCTTAACAGTGTGACTGGAAGATTTTGAACATCTTGCTTGCAAACATCACATGTCTTGTTACCTTTGATGCTAAACCATTTTATAGCACATTCTTTGTGAGCCAAAGCAAGTTCTCCTTTGCAGCTACATTCCATCTTGAGGGTTTCTCCACCTTCGCAAAGTTCAACGAAGCAAATTCGGCAAACTGCTTCTTCCTCGGGAATGTCTTCACCATTTGCTTCATCATCTTCTGAAAACAATGGGAAAAAAAATTTATTTGTGAACGTTGATCATTGCAAGAAGCAGAATTCGAAGTGCTCATTGCAAGAAGCAGAATTCAAAGCTGGTACTATAGCATATGAAATGAAAGAAAAAACAAAACAATGTTAAAATGACGACTTAAATGCAAGCAATTTTTCTTTTAATGACTTAGCAGTTATAAATAGTAAGTACATGTTAAGTTGATTATAGCACTTAATTTGACTAGAATGGACAAGTTAAAGATGTGAATCAATATTGCAATACTTCCATCTTTCTCAATTGACTCCACATGGATAACAGATTAAACATAAGTTCAATAATTCGCTAAACTTGTGCCACTGAGTGGTAAGTGTTGGATTACCAACGAATGATTCAGCAATTTTAATATCAGCAATTTCAGAGTTAATACAGCACAGAAGAAAAGCAATTTACCGGCATCTCCTGTTGCAGGTGTTATCGGTGATATATCACCATCCTTTACCCGTGGAGTAGCAGGAATTACCCTGAAAAATGAGTCCATTCTTCTGATGCTTTGTTCTTTGTTAATGACTGGGAGAGAACGCGATCGAGACATAGGCCTTTGTGGTTCTTTTGTCTACAATCACAAAGTCAATTACATCAAACTCCTGACTCATCGATTATGGTGTGCATTTTTAGGAAACAAAATCTTGCAGTAGATACAAGGCATAAGACATTAGGCCCCTTGCTAGACATCTTATTACATGGCCTATAGCATCTTATTCGGGAGACCTTAATGTGTTGATCCTAGGATTATTACCTAATGCAAAACATGAATTGAAGTGAAACATCCAGAGCTTCAAAGACATAACTACCTTAAAAGCAAATTGTATCAGAGGGAAAAAACAAAGGAGCAAACCAACCAGCTTACATATGTAAAATGCATGCACGGAGGACTTACACCGAGTGTAAGGGAATTGGGTAAGCTTCCATCCGTAATAGAATCAGGATTATTATGTGCAAAAATCGGGGTGACTGGTAACGATGAAGTCCGCTTCATGCGAGGAGTAAATATCTTCGAAAGCGACCAAGACCTCGACATTGATGGCTTCTCTTGTGATGCAGCAGTTGACGAACCTGAATCCAGGTTGGCCTTCTCATTATCCGTCTGGATAGTCTCTATACTCAAACTTCGATGGATGAAACTAAGTTTAGGTAGGAGATTCTTAATGGATGACTTTGCTCTGGACGAGGAAGGACCAGGAGAACTAACATGCATTCTTGAATCAGAAGGACTAGGAGTCAAATTGAAATTCACTCTTTTGGGCGTAGGAGTTGGCGTTGGAGGCATTTTTATTTGAACAAACTCATCCGGGGTTGCATCCATTGTTCTCGTAGGAATCTCCAAGAAGAGGTTTGGCTTTCTCCACGGTTTGATGTTTGCAGTTTCTTCAGTTATTCCATCGGAATTTTCTACCTGAGAGTGAAAAAAAGTTCAAAAGGAGCAATTTAAACAAACTTTAAAAAAAGTACTTTAAATTGAAATTCTCCTCAGAGAATTGACATCACTTGGAATTATGAATAGCCAGGAATCCTATTTTAGAGAATGTGATAGAAACCAATGTGGAAAACAAAAAAAGAAACATTCAACACTGGAATTCGGACAAAAGCTTAGTTCTTAAAACATTCAACACTGAGAAGAAGCAAAAAGATTCAGGTTCTGGTAATAACACTAAGAAAATGGATATAGTCAACAAATACATCAAATTTTTCATTACTCCCTAAATTCTAATGGTTTTGGTTAGGAAATGAAGCAACTTATCGGGTTAAGGTCAGGAATCAATTTGGTTTAACAGTTCCACAAACTTGCACCAACTAATAAGTAATCATCATTTCAGATGGGTTTTAGTTGCAGCAAGATTCTCTTTGCTCGCTAGACAGCCATTTTTTATATCTAATGAATGAAAAAAGACTTCTTGCATGGTGGTTGACAATCCCCATGTCCTCTCTTCCATAACTTTTACTCAATAAAGAAACAAAATTTGAAAGAATCCCAGAAAACCAACAAAAAAATTCAAAATTTCTTTCTCAAACAAGCCAAGAAGTAAGCAGAGACAAAAGGGCAGAGACCAAAACAACAGCAGATTAACAAGTACCTGAGGCATTGGAATCAAAATTTCTCTTCTTCCCTCAAGCACATCATCTCTAAAGGGCCTGTCTTTTTCCTCACAATTCATCATCCCAAGTTGACAACTTTTTAGTCCCAAGAATCTTTCAAACCAGCCAGAAAGGAAGAAAAGAGTTGCAGAAACACAAAGTACAGAACACAGAAAAGAAGGGGGAAAAGAAAAAGCAAAAAATCTACAAGAGAATTTAAAGCAGAGAGTTGAATAATGAATAGGTAGATACAACAGTAGAGTATAATATTAATTCCTAGAGATGGGAGACTGTGCCCCAGAAACTAAAGAAAAAGAGTAGTGTAAAAAAGGAGAGGCCTTTATGAAGAATGAGGTTAGTTGGTTTGATCCCTCATTTTTAACATTTATGGCAGATGGCCAGTGAATGAGAAATAAATGAAAATGAAATTGAAGAAGCAAACTTAAAATGAAGGGACTGACACCAAAACTGTTTTCTTTGCAATATCCTGTGAGTCACATACTATATCAAAATCAAATTCTCATCAAATAAATCTGCTTCATCTTCATCTGGGATGGCCTACTGTCCACTTTCCAGGCTTCCATCCATCCCCCCAAAGTGCGGCCACACTTCACTCATCACTAACCTACACATAATATACAAACACTAAACTCTGTCTACTGATGATGCTCTTCTCTGTTGCAGAGCAAAAGGGCTTTTAGGATTTGCATTTTTTGGATGATGTTTGGCATCTTATATTTGTACTCCATTGATCATGAGGAGGAGGAAATTTTAGTAGTTTAATATTAATAGTAGGACAGAATTAGGAGTAGTACTATTTAGAGATGTCATTTTCAATGAAAATTACAGCCAAAATTGGGAGTGGGGGAGTGGGATTTCTGCTTTGTTGGTAAATTTGTACAGTAATGAACAACAAACTTACATACACAGTCGAGTCAACTGATCATGGACACGTAGATTTGCAATATATTCTAAGCCTAACTGTTACGTTTCAACTTCTGGGTCCCTTAAAACCTATGATGATGATGATGATGATGATATATAGCCATTTCAGTAATGATAACTCCGTGAGTTTTTTTCTTTTCTGTATAATATAGCCATTTCTGTGATTTATAGCCATTTCTGTGATTCACTTTTGTGAATGTTACGATTAACCCATCATGATAAAGAATAAATCCTAAAGAATTGAAAAAAAGAAGGTTTAAAAGTAATTCAGTTAACCTTCTTCATCTTTATCGGCCTATTAAACTTCGGATAGATGGAAAGGTGCGATTTTTATTTTCATTTTTTTTTTTTACCACTAACATAAATTCTGGATTTCTTTCTTATTCTGTTTCTAAAGTGAAGAAATAATTTGCTTTATTCGTGTCTTTATTATAAGGCGTTTTGATTTGTTTTAAATTTCACGTAATGTTTTTCCAATCGAGAAAAAAAAATTCAAAATATTTAGAAATAATTAAGAGACTGCAAGAAATGTGAAAATGTATTTTTAAAATTTTGTTTTTCAATAGAAAAAACATATTGGATGAAATTTATGATAAATTAAAATGACTTAATTGCTCGGTTTTAACTCGCGAAACGTGTTCTGTGTTCCTTAAAGATTCAGCCCTATATGTAGAAATTTGCTTGACTATCTGTGAATAATAATCCCGTGATTACAAGATTGTCCATAAATCATGGAATTCTTGTCTGAAATAAGCAAATACACCTACGAAAAGTTGCCCTCTTTACGTGTGAAGATGAATTAAAAGAACTTCCATTTCATCTTTGTTTTGTTGTAATTTTTTTTTAATTTTACCTTTTCTGATTAATGGAGGGCCAAGTCAACTTCCTTTGCAATTGGCATGGAGCATGGTGAATTCAGCATGGGGATTCTATGTCGAGTTGCATATAAATGTTTCACAACAATGTTGTGTTCATATAATATAACACATCCAAAAAAACAAAATCGATAAACAAAAATCATGTGATCCAACTTAGTACCCCAAACACTAGGAAGATTGTTCCATTGAAGCCTCAAAATAGAACGAAAATTACACTTTTTATGACTTTCTTTACCGTTTCAAAATAAAATTTTTATTTATTACGCTGGATTAGTACAAAAAATTACTTTTATTTTAAAACATAGGAAGTAATAACTATAATACTTTTGGAATTTTGTGTGAATCTTATTCTCTTAACAAAATAAGTTATTTATCTGGAACATAGAGAATACTGTTATGGTGATCATGAATCATGAGAAAATGGTGAATAGAGGAGTCACATTTGAAGTTTGTAGTACGACACATGTTCTTTCAATTATGGTGCTACCCCCATCAAAATGGGACAGACATAAAGATAGTGGTGATTATCAAAACTCAAAAGGATAGTGTTTCCAATTTAGTAGCACTATTATATTGTGGTATTGGCTCTTGAAAAAGATAACAGTGCAGTTAGTGTTATTCTTCATCCTTTCCAGTTTCCTCTCCAAAAGTCTAGCCCCAAAGTCCTCCTTATTCTTTTTATTTTTTTTTAAAGAAAAAATTGGAGGATTGAAAGACAAGTTTGCTTTCAGTTCTTCTCATGTATGTACCACCATTCCAACATATCCAATGTCAATCATTTCCTCTGATGTACGTCATTGTTTGTAGTCAACCACTACTTGAAAATGGTATGAATTCCCGGACTTCTCTTATTTTACTCAAGAAATGTAATAAAGTATTAATTGTTTGTGTTAAGTGTTAACACCGTGAAACCAAAAAGGCAAAAACATAAGACATGAACATTTATCATTATTATTAAGGTTTGGTACTCCAAACAAAATTGGGAGGATTGTGGAAATCGTGCTCGTTTAAAAACATCTCGTTAGGATTGTGTTTACTGAATTCTTGACCATTAAGAAAAATCTCCGCCTTCATATGTATACGTACGGTTGGATGATCCGCCTTCGAATGTAAAATTATGGTTATATTAAGATGTAGTTGGTATCTCATACGAACGTACTGTAATCATCTAATTTTTTCTCAGATTTTTGCATTTTTCATTGTACCAAAAAAAAAAAAGAAAAAAACTCTAAGGCATGGATCCAAGATATCATATTCATTAAAGTATCAAGTATGATACTACTTCTCTTTCAAAAAAATTAGCATATATTGAATTTTTATAAATTTATACTAAAATTAAAGCAAAACTTACAACTTAATGTGGACTATTTTTTTGAGAACAGTAGGTAAAAACCGGACGTATTGTGAATTGCAGAAGCTTGTATATCATGAATTTCAGCACTCACGAATTGTAGGAATTCGATCAGCGGAATATAAAATTATTAAAAGCTGTAATCCGTTCTAAATTTGTCAAATAAAGCTTAAAGATCTGGTTAATGATGTAAGTTGAACATAAAACTTGTTGGATGAAAGAAAGATCGGATTTAAAGGTACTTGATAATTTGATAGTTGATACCAGATGCTGTAAAGAAACATTATTTTAGGGTTTACCGGTAGAAACCATCTTTCATGCAAAATAATGGGTACGGTGTGTCATGTCATCCATTAATTTGCTGACATTAATTACTGTAAAACCTTGTAAAAAAAATATTCTTCCCATCCCAAGTTTAAAATATTAATAAACCGACATAATATATTGTGATATTTTAGTTCGACAAAGTAATCGAATAAATGAAGTTACATATTACTACTATCTCAATCATGCAAGATAATAACGTGCAAAAGCTTTCTGGTACGGAGCGGGGAAAAGAAAAATCTATACTAAACTATGGGGAAAATTTTCGGTACGACAATTCATTCACAAGTCACAACCATGCATATACACATAATTTCAGGAATAAACTTTGTAACCACGTATACTTGATATATTAATCTGACCCGCCGGATGTCACACTCAAATGAAACTATTTCTTCCACTTAATGCATATTAGTTGGGCGGTGAGTAGGATCTCATTTTTCTTGACATGATATGAGATTATATACAGTATGAACGAACTTCTAGGGAAAAAAACACATGATACGAAGAATAATGAAGCCTACTTATGCCATGGGTAATTAGCTAGGCACCATTAATATTACACAAAAAAAACACACACACACATATATATACAACCCTAGTTACTGCCTTAAGCATGGATTGGTCATTGGTGGTATAGTCTTTTTCAGATAATAGAAATACATATACTGCAAATTGCTCTAAGTATCCTTATAACTAGAATTCTGGTGTGTGTGTGTGTGTGTGTTTGGGTTTTTTCTTACGAAATTAGAAAAGGTCGATCAGCTGGCGCAAGTGGTGTGGTAGGCCTATGTTTTGGGATATATATATATATATATATATATATATATATATATATATATATATTTTGGGATGGGCAGTGTGAAGTGATAAAGATATGAGGGGGGGAGAAAAGCTTTGAAAACAATGAAAAGCAACCAATTTAGGCCAAAAGAAGTAGTCCTCATATTAGGGCAAGGTATAGTTTATCATAAATCAACATCATGCAATCCGAAACCTAATATATTATCTTTATGACTAAAAAAGATACATTGGTTGTGTATTGTGAAGTTGTCGGCCTACTGCTATTATTCAACTTGTGTCGACAACAACTTTGCATATAATCATTTCTTTGGCTACACCAATAACCTTATTATATGATCAACAAGTAAATTCATTCTCATATAATAATCTGTAAACCATTAAGAGAAGTTAATTATTTTAGATAAAATTTGTACACTAAAATTAATTTAAAAAAATACACAGAAAAATACGAATCTCAAAATTCAATGTTATCCAAGTTATTTGTAATTCACTCACACTCAATTCATGTTTGCCTTTCAGGAATCACTGATTAATATATCTATTCCGTTTATAATAATTAATTTATTTATTATATTATAATAGTACAACCAACAAAACCTGTTACATTTTGTTTGGGGAGAGCACAACATACTCAATCAGAGACAATTCCTTAATCCCGGTTGAGTTAGGCTGTCCTTTCTCATTATGAATTAATTTAAGGTTGATATCATCGACTGTTTCAAAATTAGTAATAAAACCATCAAAAGAATTGTACAATATTATTCTATGCTTATCTTATTTGGAAAGAAAGGCAGACATGATTCGAAGCATGTTTAATTCTGATGGTCCAGATTTTCTTAATTTATTTTAATCGATTGAAAAGGTAATTTGGGGACCTTTGTTGAATTGCGTTTGGGAAAAAAAAAAAAAAAAAGGTAGGAAAACATCACAGCTAAGCTACTATTATTGTGGCATTTATGCAGCCAAATAGAGCTTTGCTCTGAAATGGAAAGCATCTCTAATGATTCATCCATACACTCTGACAGGAACTAAAAGTGATTTTAGGTTTCATAAAACTTGTAAAGAATCAATAATCTTATATTCTCTCCGTCCCAATAGAAAATCATGTGTTTGGTTCAAATTTTTGCGATGGAAAATAGTTATACATTTTATTTTTGGTAAATGAGAGCAGTGAATAATGAGAAGGGACAATAATCAAAATGAGCTATTGATTACCTTAGTTTGCTTCCATTGACCAAGACCAAATGACAATGACAATCACTCCTAATAGACTCCTACTAATGACCTAGATTACCCCCCAAGTCCCCGATTGAATTAATTAGATCAAGTTGCAGGATCATAAATTCTACAAAAAGAAAAAGAAGATGAGTACTAAACATTGTTTTTTCTAAATTTTATTTACTGAGTGTTTTAATTAAAGTTAGACATCCAAATTGTTAAAAGTAACTACATGTATTTACTCATGTGGTGAAATTACAAATTTATCAACAAAAGAAAAAAGATGGATGCAAGTTAGGCCCTGGCCGGGAAAACTACTGTGCATGTTGAGATTTAAATTAAAGAGAAGAGAATCCAACAACTCCAGAGTGGTAGGGTTTTTCCATTGACACAAAGAATAGCCTTTTTAAAAAGAAGAGTAAACTCAACTGAAAATGTATCAGGAAGAGACTTAGAGAAGATAATACTATATATGAGATATATATAGTAGGGAGAAATCCAAGCCATATCCAAAAAACACTTTTTTTGTGTCAGCAATAAGAAAAGAAGAGAAAGCAAGCTTGAGTCCTACATGGAAAAGCACAATGATGAAGAAAGGAAAGGCTCAGCTTTCTTCATTATTTTTTTCTACTGTAAATAGACAACCAGAATCATTAGGCAATTGCCAAGTAGGTTATGTAAAACATGCAACAATTTCCTTAGTTTCAACTCCAAGGGCCTACAGATGTTTCATTTTCATCTTTCCTAATTCCTATTCTATGTGATCAATCCACTTTCTATTTATAATATAGCATTAAGAATCACAAGTAACCAGAATAAACCTACCGGCAACAGGCTCCCTTGATTGCTTTACTGAAAGAAAATGGGATCTCTTTGGGGGAAAGAAATGGTGTTAAAGATATTTTCTTGAAATCAAATGCATATACCTAAAGTTGGCAGGTTCAAAACTTTACAGTTCATTGCAGATACTATTTTGAATCTCAACAGTGTACCAGATAAAAAGAACTGGCAGGAAAAGCTCTAGTTAAGGGGCAAAATTGCACTCGCTACATAAAATTTTCATGGTGATGATAAGTTCATTTATATCTTGTCAGCCTTCGACTAAGAAAAGATCGAAAGGCTTTGGAAAAATTTAAAAAATGAGCAACTCATTGTCTGAACTACTGTTTTTTCTCAGAATAGAGCAAACCGTATTCACCTTTCTAGAAGCATCACCAGTTCACAATGCGGAGTGTGCGGAAAAAGATCCACTGCCATAGCTTTGACTGGTTTAAAAGGCTCAGAAGACGGCATTGACTTGGCCCGATGGCGAGCTAGACCAGCACTGCTCATGTTTCTCCAACCCCTGTTATTCTTTTGACCAACCTTCTCGGCTTTATCAGCAGACGGAGTGCAGAGTTCAATAGCATTTGCCACCAGGCTCTCGGGATTGCAGGAAATATAACTGAAAAAAAAAGAAAGTTCGACATGTTAGGGTACATTACACAATTATCCAACATATCAGTACATAACATGGCAAAGAAAAACTTACACAAGCCTCCTCAAAATTGAATGAGTCCTCAAAACTTTGGTTACCTGAGAAAAAATAATGTCAGAATAAATCAAGGTTACTGACTCAGGTTCAGCAATACAGAAGTCATCTCTTCCAACAAATGCAGTATGCAAGGGTTGTGCTTAAAGATCTCTGGGGTAACCCAAGATTTTGTAAAGCTATGAGAGAATAAACTAATATGAATGAAAGGGTAAATGTAGAAGCATCGACAGTTGCATGACACCATTGACAGGCTAATCACCAGAACAACAGGAAACTCATACATACTACTGACAACAGCTAACTTGCTTAAATGATAGGGGAGATTAAGCTTGCAATTGGAAGCACTAATTAGGATTTGAAAACAGTCATAAAGCAAGACAGACCAGTTGTGGCATTGGTGCTATACAATTTACAAAAAGTCAAAAGAGATCTTAGTTTCAGAATGTACAGACATCAACAAATATGTGGATGGATTCAAGACTTACAGTAGGATGAAGACCAACACGTGGAGGATCTACGATAGCAACAATATTTTTGAACTTCTTTAATGAAGTGGTACCATCTTCCTTTGGAATACTTTTGCTCTGAACTTCAGTTTCTGCTTTATCATTTTCCAAAGATTGCTGAAGACCTGAGCTCTTCTCAGGTTCTAGGGCATCGATAGATACTACATTTTCGGAACTTTCAATTTCATTATCACCCTTGGTCAGTTCTTCAGTTTCATCATTTGTCTCAGTGGAACCCAGGTACTCCTTCAACAGGGACCCCATTACATCCTCTGCCTGAAACCATTTGTTTTGAGCTTAAATACTCCAATCCCTTCGGGTATTAGGAAAAAAGGAGAATTTTGATATACATGGATCCTATGAAAAGATTATGTCTCTGTTTTACTTAATCCATTTACCAAGTACTTCTACTGACTGAGCTTACATCGTCTGAGAGATTATTAAATGCATAATGAAGGTAAATGATATTACTAGTACAAACATCATGGAAAAGCTTACATATAATGATGTTGTACAACAAATAGCTATAACAGAAGGAACAACCAGGAAGAAAAGGTATTTTAATGTGACACATTCCGAGACATTATCAGAACTTAGTTCAATAAATAACGCAATATTAATGTGACACATTTTATACATGGTTTAACATTTTCAAACCATAAAATAACTAAATAAATAAGACAGCTATCCCTACTCTACATGCCCAACAAAAAATACAAAAACAAAACTACATTCATCCCATTCCAATTCCACATTTCCATTCCGATAATCTGCTTTCGTCTGCTACCTAAACCACCAAGTTCATACTACGAAAGAGGATCGAAGTATAAAAAGATGAATAAACTCAAGCTGACCTTTGAACAGACAAATCTGCAGTTTTGAATTCCATTGATTTCAGCATTCCTTTGAGCATCCGACACTGCAGAAGCATTCATTTCGATACCGACAACCTAAAAAAAGTTTCATCAGTTTATGATATCTTCCAAAAGCGAACAACAAAAAAGGAAGTCCTAAAGAAAATAGGCAAGAGACACAACATTTTCCATGAAACCCAAAAATCAAAGAAGTAATTCATGGAAATTTCATCATAAACAGAAATATCATGATAATGCTTGTCACAGTTTTACTTTCCAGCAATATCCCTTTAGATACACCCCATTGTATCTCCTGCTATGAATATAACGATTTTATAATGACACTTAAAAAAATGGGACTTGGAGCATTACCATACCAACACGATGAGCTAAGGTGAGGCCTATAGTTCCTGTTCCACAGCATATATCAAAGAGCAAAGTGTCTGGACCCAAGCCAGCCCACTCCCCAGCAAGTGCATACAGCTTCTCAGCTGCAAGGGTATTAACCTGCAAAATATCCCAAATTTTTAAGAGAAACACTACTAAACAACTTGAAACAGCACTGTCCTCTCCTCTAACAGATGTATGAAGTGAGAATATTAATCGAAGTAACTACTACCCTAACCTGAAAGAATGCTGTTGGTGATATAGAAAACCGAAGATTACTTATGCAGTCATGGATTCTAGCTTCCACTCCATCACAAGGTGTATCAAGTCCTGAATCACTCTGGTCCTTTGTTATGGTAAGGGAGCGCAGAGGAGCATCAGGAGGTGCCGCGTTTGAAATTCCTGTGTGATCCTGCCCAAAGGACAACCATGTAACTTTACAAAGGAAAAAAAAAAAGATTCCTTGAAGAATAAAGACATGGTTTTTTACTTAAACAGGTCATGCATGTTTTCTCGGTCATTTATTTATGAAAGACACAAACTGGACAAGGACAGCGCCAGTTCATTGTGGCAAACAAGTAGTGTCCATCTTATTCACATTTGTCTGTAAAAAGTTTAGGGGCAAAACATTATCTGGCTTCCTTGACCAATATTATGGTTTTATCCCATGTAATGACAGCTGATTAAAATCTTAAACTTTAAGGATTTGGCAAGAAGATTCAAGCTTCAAAACTTTAAGAGATTCCATCTTATTTAATTATCACGGAGTTCTATAAAATTGGCTATTCAGAGAATTTCACGAGTAATAAACTCTTGAGACAAAGGTAAAAGCTTAACTTTCTGTAGGCAGGGAAAGCTCGGGGCAACTGAGAAAGCTTGTGATCATATTAAAGGAGAAGAGAAGATGGTAAATTTTTACCTGGACAACTACAGCTGTTAAAGGCAAACATGGAGACGCAGCAGCAGCTCCTGAATGAAATTCTCGAACCAATCTCTCAAGTTCATCATTTACTTTTTCATCATCGAAGCCCTTACTGCAAATCTAAGTTAGAAAAGAAAATAAGGAAACTGAACTTAATTTCTTCAATAGAGAACGAAGCTAATGATGAGAATGTATCATTCAATTTTAATGTGAGAAGGCACCATGACTTAAAGTCTTGTACAACGAAGCAGTCTAAATAAGTATCTATCATCAAGATACTACTGAAATAAAACCTACAGTAAAAGCAACATGAAGCACAAATTGAAATTCAATTTCTAATCAAGGACAAAACTAAAGGTTTACTTGGTAAATAACTAACAATTGCAGAGATACTACTAGAGAGCTGGTCAATAAAAGGATAACCTGAACAATCAGCATAACCTCGGAAACAGCTGCCTCAGAACTTTCAGACTCAGCACCATTGCTAGGCTTCCTCCCCTCTCGAACCTATATAGATAAAACAAAAAATTTTAAAAAAAAAGAAGGAAATCCACACAAAAGAAACATGTTATCATTCACATGTTGCGCTTGACATAGTGCCAATGGCAGCACAAATGACAATTTCCACTACTAAAAATCAACTTCACTGACAATAGTAGCTGTTTAGAACATACTGTTAGTTGACGCCAAAATCCAGTGTTATTTATTCTGTTCCATATTTGAAAGTTGGAGTGACTGAGAAATTCTTGGAATACTGCAGCATATTGGCACGCGATTCTAGAAATGTTTGGGCAGTCGACAGGTTCCTGGACAGCAGTCACACCTTCCCTAAACAGTTTGAAATGCTTTAATAAAAGTACAAGTGCTTGGGGTTATGGGATTTAAACTTTGTCTTAATGTGAATAACCTGAAATTTCCAAGCAGAAACCCCACAGTTGGTTTGCCTTCTAGAGAATATCCAACAGAGAATTCACACTTGTTGCGATACCCATTGACCAGTGGAGACTCAATTATGCCCTCTAAGCTGCAGGGGAGACCACCTGCACATCACAGATTATGAATCAGGGCCATCGGGTGACTGTAAAGCATATCAAATCTTTACCCAATAAAAAAACTAAGTTTGATGCATTCTTATTTCAAACAAATATCTCGATCAAGCATAGGGAAGCCAACCAACCACCACTTCAGTTGCAAAATGATTCAAAGAAAAAAAAATACACAACGTCTGACTAGTGGGCACAAAAAGTGGCTACCTATTTCTCGAGATTTCAGAACCCAGTCAGGAAGTTGAATGCCAACTGGACAAGCTTTGCGAGCATTTCGAGTCTATACATAGAAAAGAAACAAAAGGGAGATACTCTCTTTAGTTTGGAAGTTATTTCATAGAAGCTATCTCATAGATAAGATGTAAAGACAAAGCTAAACAATTTCAAATTAGAAAACAGTATCAGTAAACAAAGGAAATGATGAGCGGGGCGAAAGTTTGACTAACTAGTCTTTTAAGGGTCTGTGTTAGAGCTGCTTTCTTGTGCTCTAACTGATCAACATAAGGCATATGCGCAAGTGGAGTGACTGCTTCACGGACACTTCTACTCTTTATATCTGAATTGCTGGATGTTAAATCATCCCCAACTGGTTCACCGTCCTCATCTTGTGAAAGACCTTCACCCTTGGGCGTAGGCAGTTTATTATTCTTATCAAATGATCGAGGGATTACATCTGCAACCTTTAAATTTTTATTGCCGAGAGACTTCCCGTCCAACTCCTGTCACATTGAAAATTGTCAATCTTGGGTTAAGGAAGCACTATATTTGAGTCTCCAAATGACACTTTAAGCATCAGATAAAAGAAATACCTTCAATGCAATTTGTACTTGTTCTGCACTCTCAAAACTCACAAATCCTACAACCATGCCTTTCTTCTTTTTGGCTGATTTAAAAGAAACTCCCTGGAAAAACAGCAATACAGTCCAGTCAGAAAATTTGACATCTAAAGTATTCCAAACAGACTGAAGGTGACAAATGCTTCCAGAAGGATAACTTGAAATAACATTGACAAGGTACTGGTCATGATACTAATAAGAATACATATTCAAACTGAAGTTGACAAATGCTTTCAGGAGGATAACTTGACATTAGTTGACAAGGTACTGGTCATGATACTAATCTGAATACATATTAAAACTGAAGTTGACAAATGCTTTCAGAAGGATAACTTGAAATAAGGTGATACTAATCTGAATACAATCATTATGCCGATAGGGAGAGTAATCAACCCAGCCCGGGAACTCTTGATGAATGCGAAGTCAATTAGGTTCAAGTTACCACAAGATAGACCCTACAATATTATATCTTATGGAAAAAATAAAATAAAATAAAAGTTTCTTTTCAACCATATCTAGCTTAAATGCAAATAGACAAGCCTTCACCCCACTATCCAAGTCCAGCTATATATTGATCATAGCCATCACTAGCAAAATTGCACATTCTCATAGGTTCAAACTGATACAAATGTGACGAAACTCAAGTCGACACCTTCCTCCTCAACACAAACTGAAGAACAAAACTCGCATACTGTCACAGCTTAAATGCAGTTACCAATCGAAACTTTCCAAGAGAGAAACTTTCAGGTGGAGAGCTAAGTCAATGATGGGTTGCAACAAATTACACAAAAAATTTAAGCATAAATGTCAGAGCGAATAGTATGATTTTGCAAAATCATGCAACTACAAACTTGAGAGTGTAATAACTGACAACATTAACTTGGGGAGAAGAAATATGAATACATATTCAAGAGAAAGAAAACTCACATTATCATTGAGAAAACTTTTCAACTGATCAGAAGTCCACTTCATTGGGAGATGCACCAAACACTTGGCAAGACCGCCGCCACCTTCCGCCGCGGAGGGGCCACCGCCGTTCTCTTCATCGGAGAATGTCTCGGTCATCATGACGTCATTCACTGTCTTCTCTTCCTTCTTCTCAGCTCCGTCATTGCTGCCCTCCTCTACTCTGGCCATCTTCGAAACCCGCTCGGATGTCGGGTCCCAAGTGTTATCGGGTCTAATACGGAGCTCCGCCTCTCCATGGGCGTACCTGCACGAGTCTCCGTGACGGCAAGTCCCACCGGAACGACGGAAGAAAGAGCAGAGGCTCGTTTTCCACAATAATGGATGCTGCTGTCCTTCTTTGAGGTCTCCACTCGGGTTTGGAGTCGGTTCCGGGTCATCCTCGCGCTTCCGCTTTTCGGTGACTGGTGCGGCGTCGGGAGTTCGCTCGGACGGGGCTTCCGTGAATTCGGATTGGTCGGATGAATCTGGACCGTTCATTCGGGCTTCCGCCGATTCGGGTTGCTCCGTCATTGGAGGGTTTAAGGTTTCTGTTGACGGAGCAGCAGCGGACATTGTACAGCAGTTGAAGACTTACCGAAGAGAAAATGTAAATCAAGTCAAATAAAAAAAAACTTAGGCTATGTTTGGCCAACCATTTCAATAAAAAAAAAAAAATTCGATTCACCTCTTACACATAAACCCCAATATAAAACAAACAATTAGTTCATATAACTTTTCAATTTAAATTTTTAAATTTAACTTAAGCATTATGTTAGTATAGTGACCATTTATAAAATTAAAATAATTCAGTGACTAAAATCAAGACTTTTCAATAGTTTGGCAATGGTTTAGTAATGTTTTCATAGTTTAGTTGTAATGGTTTGAGGCGGTCTGGTAATTGAAAAAAATTATTATTTTGTTTGAAAAAATTCTTGTTAAGGACGTGGTAAAAATTGAAATTCTTAAAAAGGGTGTATATGTTTCATAATTCCTATTAAGGGTATAAACTTATATATAGTACTTTTATTATTATTGAAATGACTTTTTTTGTCTTTCTCATCTCCCTTCTAAACTAAAGAAAACAAAAAAAAAAAGGTTGTGCCAGAAAAACCATTAAACCCAAACAAGGATATTGCTGTTGAGCGCCTTAATTTTTTCCTTTAATCTCCTTAAAAAGATGTAAAAAGATAATTTTATCCTCAATTTTTATTTTTTAAAAAAAAGGGGGGGCGAGAGGGAATTGCGCCAGGCTGGCGCAGGAGAAACACGTCACCCTAATCTCTCTTCCCTTTACAGGAAGACGAGAAAACCTTCGCCTCTGGCGAAGGTGTGGCGCCCGTTCTGGGCGCCACCTTTGTCCATGTTGGCGAGCAAATATTCGATGGGTGGCGCCGAATCCATTTTATTTTTAATTTAATTATTTAATTATTTTTTAATATATTTAATTATTTTTATTTATTTATTTAAATTATTAGTTTAATAAATTTATTTAATTCATGTATTTATTGAATTTATTTATTTGTTTTATTTGAGTATCTGTTTGGTAGTTTAATATTTGTTTAAAAAATATATGTTAATTAGTAGTTAAATGGATAATCTATCTTAATATTTAGAGTTTATAGTATTGGTAAATAAATAATGTTTAACTTAAATATTTATAGAATGTTTTTAATTACGTATTATGTTCATAAGTTATAGTTGTTATATTAAATAGGTAAATTTTTGGTTAATTATGTGTTCAGTTTATTATATGTTTAAAATTATGTTAATTACGTAGTATGTTCGTATGAAATAGTTTTTTTTGTTAAATATGTATTTAATTTGTTGTTAGTTTAGAAAGAATTGGTTAATTAGGTAGTATATTCATAAGTTATAGTTGTTATATTAAAATGGTAAGTTTTTGTTAATAATGTATTTAGTTTGTTATTAGTATATATTATGTTAATTAATTATCTTTAAAGTATAACATCATTATATCGGATTATATATTATGTTTTTGTTTATAATGAATTATTTGTGATTTAATATTATTATAATTAATTTAAATTATGATATAATTCATTTTTAATGTGTGCAGGATAAGTTTGATAAGGGAAATGGCACTGATTATAATTCGGATTTTGCTACAAATGAGACTTTTGCCGAAAGGCCTCACGCTATTGCATATGCGAAGGGTATTGCAATCATGCGGACGAGGAATTAGTAATTAGTCGGCTATTACCTGAAGAATAAGATTCTTGGACACCTATCCGACTGGGAATCCAAGCTCATAGATGAAGTAGACATGTATGGCTTCGGTGAGCAACCCGACAGTGGTAGTGTTCCCGTTGGCCGGGACTTGATCCTTCCAAAGGACCGCTCTTTCGAGCCTTTTGGATGGAAAGGCATGGACAATGATACCACCATGAGATTTTATCTTTACGTCTTCACCAAACCAAATCCAAATGGTAATAATAATCGTTTGGTGGCTGGATGTGAAACTTGGCAGCTATGCACTAAAAAAGAGGCTGTCTATGATGGTGGGTCATCATCAACTAGAGTGATAGGTTTTAAGTGATCTTATACCTTCACATTCTTAGACGAAGTACTAGCTTTAGTGCAAAAGCCCACATGGACTATGACTGAGTACTCCATCAATCCAGCTGCCAATGATGATGGAATTGCTGGGGATTACGTTCTGTGTAGAATATATAGGAACAGTGGCACCATGCGCCCTAGCAATGGTAAATTTCACTTACCTCCGGGTCGGCGTTTCCCTTCGCCAGCTGCCACTATTGGGGATCAATGGCACATGTATTTCTATACTCGTTGTTTGGTCCATAATCAGGCGGGCTTGTTGGCTATTGATAGCAGTACTTCTGATAACTATGCCAGTGTGAGTTTTGTAGATAAATTGGGATTGCCAACCACCGAGCTTGATGAGTGTGACAAGGAGGGTCTTTCTTCTTGGTCACGTCGAGTAACCGGTAAAGTGATCAAGGTGGATAGGCAGGTGAAGTTGAACTTCTCAATCGGTGAGTACGTTGATGAAGTGATGTGTTATGTTTCGTCGAAGCTTCGAGAGGTCGATGTTTTACTTGGTAGACCATGGCAGTATGATAGACGAGTCATGATGAGTTTACCAACAAGTATCACTTTGTGTTCAACGAAGTAGCTTTTACTCTTAAACCCATGTCTTATCTTCAGATGTTAGCAGAAAAAGGAACAAGAGAGAATAAAAGGAAACCGAGGATACTGATGGAAGCGGAAGCTGAAGAGAGAAGACGTATAGATGAGAAACTGGTAGCGCTGGAGATGAGGAATAGAGAACCGAATCTCAAGTAATTCCGTGTTATCTACTGAAAGTTTTATTAGAATGTTAGTAAGAAAAAGTTGTCAGATTTCGGTAACTGATCAAGTGCATGATGAAATCAAAACTCATGTCTGGTTGAAGTTTAACCAATAATAATATTCACCTTGAAATATCATCTCGAAAATCCATCGCGAAGGAACTGGCCATCCACATTGTAAACTCCACATTAGCCTTTTGTTATATTTTGTAATTAATCGAATTAATAAAATCCTAAAAGGGTAAAAAAAAACTTCTAAAATAGAAAAGTTGCTGCAATGTTCAAAACCCCCGAACTCCTTCTCTCTCTCAAATATATCTCAAATATATCGGTCACCGTCTTCGGTCAGAGATTCTAATCATCCCCAATTCTTCAATCCTCATCAATCGTTTACTTCCAAAAATCATCGATTATTTGCAGTAGTTGATGAAATTGAAGATTGCGACTCTTTCTTTCTCATTTTTTTGGTCCTCGATTTGATTAAAAGATACTGATTATGGGATTGTCCTATATAGCAGTTGCCCTTTCTCCTACTGCATTTAGGACCTTTTCATCCCGATAGATCAGTGACAGGAGTTTTTCATTGATGTCATGTTTCAATGGTTTTTGATAAACATGCTTAATCTGCCCATGATGGTGGCAATAGGTGTGGGATGTATCTTTTCGAATAATTTTTTGGTAAGATTTGAAATTGGAGAATGACTGTGTTTTCTGTGACAAAGAACTTTCATGACATTGCCTGACTCTAATGCGTTTTAAATTTTTTTAATTTTAAAAAATGTTCAGAACCCTAGTGAAGAAGAAGAGACAATTGTCTGACTCTACTGAGTTATAAAATTAATCAGATTTACCGAATTGATGAAGATTGGAGAAGGGACTGATTACAACTTCAGACCAATGCCAATATTTGGACGGATTGATTTGACGTAGAGGAGTTGGGGGAGAAGGGTTTGACGATTGCAGGTTTTTTTTTTTTTTTGGGAATTTATTAATCCAACTAAAAAATTAAACAAAAAGCTGATGTGAACTTACAACTTGGATGGCCAACTCCTTCGCGATGGATTTTCGAGAAGCTGTTTTGAGTTGTATATCATCACTCTTTCAATAAATTTGCAAAAGACTTGCATGTATTTGAACCATTAGGCCAATTATCGTTCCTTTTTATTTCTTCTCCATTAACAAGACCCAAAAATAGTTAAAGTTATACCCAGCTTTTATATATATATAAACTGGACTTCATCCGCACGCTCCACTAAATGTGGAACAACTGACATGCTAGCTTCCATCACACTTAAGAGTCATAAGCCACACCATCCACGAAATTCAATTTAGGGCTATAAACTACAGAACCTTAACACAAGTTTTCTATGAATTTCAATTGGCTCCTCGTCCTCAGTTTCATGTCGTACGTCAATCTGAGAATGGCAAATTAATTTCGGAAGTCAGATTATTCAAATAATATTGTCGCAATCATAAATAGTGATTCGATCAAAACTATTATAGACACATGTCTTAATCCTCACCAAGCGAATTGCATCATCAAAAGCACCGAGAAATTGATGAATCACCTCGAAAACCATTTTTGTAAGCGTTAAAGCTTTTAGAAACGAAAAATAAAAACTCTTCATTTTTGTTGCTTCGTACAAGACTCATATTCGAGAGAGATAATCGATTTTTAGATTGGTAAAAGCCTTTCTTATCAGACTAGGTATTTCAGCTAAAAAGGGATATTGGGAATACCAATGTTAATTTTTTATTAAAAAAAAGAAAAGGAAAAGGAAAAAAAAAAGAAGATAAAGAACAGATTGAAGTTGTATTGAACTACAAAAGCAGACATTAGAGGGCATGACATATCCATTAGATTAAGTCATTAACTACCAACTCCATATTCAACACAGTGAATGTATTAATACTCCCTCCAAAATCTTTCCTATTATAAAAGACACAGGGCCTCAGAAATAGGATTGGGGAAGGAGGATTACATTAGAGTAAGATAACATTAAATTAGATAGCAAGCTCCTAATAACCAACAAAAAACCAACAAATATTTATATTTATTACAAACTAAATAACTTCGCATTAAGTTTTTTCATAATATTAAAATAATAACTATCCCATCCTAGCATATTTTTTTACATTTTTAATACATTTTTTTATATTTTCAATATAAAAATACCTAAATACACACACTAAAATAACGAAACAAACAAATGAAGAAATCCCAAATCGTGTGATAAGAGTCCCCATCTCAAAGTCCAAACCCGTCAGATATTTCTTCTTTTTTTTGGAAAAAAGAAAATGAAGAAAGCAATGCCTCCTTTTTAGACTACTAATATAAATAAATAATAATCAAGAAACAAGAGATAATTACCACAAGTAAATAAAGAAAATTTACCACAGATTAAAAGATAAACGTAGGTGTTTGACTGCTTTGCTTCTAACAATTTGCTCGTTTGCTCTGGCCAACGAAGACTAGGGTTCGGACATTGCTACATAAAGAGAGGGTCTGTCCTAATTAATTTCTAAAGGTTGCTTGGACCTGTGCATATTTCCTTTGCAATTGTATTGAGCCCAACCCAAAGAAACAGTCAATAATTAATTTTTGTTATTTATATACCAAAAAAAAATCCACAACATTCCAGATTGAATGTATTAAAGATATGGTCTATACTGTCCTTGTATCTGTATGTTATAGCTGTTTGGCTTAATGCAGTTCTTTTAACGCATGGAGGGACTTGCTTTGATAAATGTGGAGTGATCAAGGTGGATGGGGCAAGTGAAGATGAACTTTTCCATACGTCGATGGAGTGAGTTGTTTTGTTTCGGCGCAGCTGAGCGCGGCCGATATTTTGCTTGGTCGGCCTTGACAGTATGATAAGCGTGTCACTCATGACGGGTTTACTAACAAGTAGTATCACTTTGTGTTCCGCCGAGTACCTATTGCTCTTGGACTTATGTGGGATGAACACTCACTTGGTAACAAAAAGAGTAAAAAGAAATAACAGAAAGAAACGCAGAAATAATTCTGTGGAGGAAGAGGAGGCTGAAGCGAGGAGATTAATTGATGAAGCGAAAAGATTTATAGAATGCGAAACTGAAACATCTGGAGGTCGATCCAATGGCGTTGATAGATACTGAAATCTTCCGCAAACCGATGGAATAGATTATATATATATATATATATATATATATATATATATATATATAGATAGATACTGAAAAGTGAAAACTTTTCGTTGAATGTTAGCAGTATGAAAACTGGTCGAAATAAGTTCAGAATTGGACCATCCGGTTACTGAAGTGCCCAATGATTTCACAAAGTATTCGTGTTCGATTGAAGTTTTACCATTAATTTCAATAAATTTGCCAAAGTGTCGGATGCATTTTGAACCTAATATCAATAAAACACTTATTTTTTCCTTTCGAATTTATGCATTTTCAATAAAACACTTTTTTTTTCCCCTTTCAATCTTTCAATACAAGAACCTAATAATAAACATCCTACTCCCTCCGGTCCTTATATATAAGCCATTTTGATTTTGTCCTTAGTTTCATCTGGTACTTTTTTTTAGTTGACGTTTAAAATTATATTTTTACCATTCGTTGTATTCTCTTGATTTGTTATGAAATATATTTAAGATTTTTTTGTTAATTAAAAATATTTACTAAGTTAAACATAGAACAAATCAAAATGTCTTATATTAAGAAACAGAGAGAATATAGGGCGGAACTAAGAACCTTCTATTCTATCATGTGTTAACTATGGCTTCACTATAGATAATAGTTCTTCTAAATTCTCATCATTTCGAAATTATTGTTTAGTTTAAAATTTAAGTGAAAATCTCGAAATTATTGTCTAATTTAAAATTTAAGTGAAAATTTAAATTAGATAATAATTTTGTGAGAGAGTTTAACATTCCAGGCTGAGCAATTTAGGGACCATCTTTCTGTTTCTTTATGAATGATCATGTGGAGGTTGAGAATCGGATGTGCATGCAAAAAGACTCAAAGTGAGTCTAAGTGATCAAGATTGTTCTGTATCATATCACTTGTCACGTACACTCATCAATTATTGTATTATCTTATTTCACCTCGTACTGCAAACTAATTGACATTTCAGGAGAGTTTCAATTTGAATTTATATTGTTCATTGTGTTGATCGATATAGAAAAACTCCAAAGGAAGTTTGTAGTTATTAGACGCTGCATTATTTAAGGACCTGTGGGGTTCGATTAAATATACTGCGTTTGCATGATTGATTGATTCTCTTAATCAACCCCATCCTCCATTATTGATATGTTTGATGCGATAACCAACTACTTTGATTGGCCTGTTATTTATTTACAGAAACCCTTTCAAATCATACACTACTTGCTTATGATAATTAAGCATAAACCTTAGCTCGTAAGAGAAATGAGATTAATAGTGAAAATATCTACTGGAAAAGAGATAGTAACCTATATAAAAAAAAAAGAAAGAAGAAATTATAACTATTTTTTGTTGTTTAAAACATGTCATGTGTGCCACCCATTCATTTTGCGGATTAATTTTACTAACTTTATAATTACTTCCTTTGTAACATGTTAGTTCATTTTACCCACAACAAAAGCATATAATAATAAGAGTCCCCGTTTTTAAACTGCATGCAATTTTACTTTAATAGTCAACTCAAAAAAAATACTTCCTGTGTCCCATAATTATTGTCCACTTTCGGTTTTCACTTATAGTTCAAATTGTACTAAAAGTGAAATCTCAAACTGGACAATAATTTTGGGACGAAGAGAGTAAAATGTTGGTGTTTAATTTTATAAATACGCCATGGTCTACTTAATTAGGTTTCCTATGGTTTACACGTACTAACATGTTTAGCATTTCATTTTCGGCTACCACAATTTGGAAATTTTAATGAAACCTTTTAATTTTGCAAAAATGTCGAAATGAAGTTGATATAATCTACAGTTAAAAAAAAAAGAAAAAAAAAAGTGAATGGAAAAGTTAGTTGATGTTAGCCTACCATTAAAAAGGGGAAGAGTTGGTGGTTAGATCGTCGGGAAGGTGTCAGATTTGCAGTAGAACGCCTACATTGTCATTTGTCATTCGAGTCAATCAGTGTCATCCCATGAAATTTCTATAATTTTCATTCGAATTCCCTCTTTAAAAAAAAAAAAAAAAAAAGAGAGAAAGAATTATTGAATACTCTTCCAAAATGATTATGCAATTTAAATTTTTATTTTAATAGAAATTATACTCAAACTGTTAATCGTATTGTTGGACCTATTTTCAGTGGCTCCAACCAGTAAGGGCCAGTGAAAGTGCAAGTCGACCTGTTCAAATAGAAAAGCGACAGCTCCTATTAGCAAAAAGAAAAGAAGCCAAGAGGTGGTAGTAAGAATTCCAATCCAAGCGGACCAAGCCGAAGAAGAGCATTAGCATTTTGGAGCAACAAGTTCTATCGCATGGGACAAATGAATACGAAGGTGAAGCTCTTGGAAACACATACACAAAATTATGTGTCTTTCGAGCTTTAGTTTACACGTTCCTTTTCTTCCCGTAATTTTCAACTTTGGTTCCTTCTTTGTGTTGGAAATGAGGTTAAATTGAATGAGAGAATTTGATTTCTCAATAGTTTGAAAATTAGAGCTAAAGTTAAGAGACTTTAAACTAAAAATAAAAAAAAAATTCAAACTGAACAATTATTTCAAAATAGACGGAGTAGTAAATTAAGCCGGCGCCCCAATTTTCGGTCCGAGGCGTTACAAGCGTGACAGCAATAGTGTATTTTTAAGGGGGAAAAAAAATGTTATTACGAGTGGTGGCATCATTAACATCACAAACTTTCCTCCCCTTTTATCTCTCTACCTTAATAATCATTTCAAAGTCGTAATGGAATCCGTACATGAGATCATATCACCGACAAAGACAAGATCAAATTGCATGTGAAAAACAGTACTATAGTCTACATGAAACGCACTGGTTCACCAAGACTTTGAATGGAATTTTGCCACCCACAAATTAGGAAAAAGAAAGAAATAAATTATTTATTAAGTAGCGTACTATACTACTTTATACAGATGAACTGCGGACAATACTATGTAATTTCATTGTTAATTTATTAATCAGGAAAAAAAATTTTAAAAAGGACGTAATGAACCACTTTTTTAAGCTAATAATTGGGCATTAGCTCATCATTCCTCGTATCTCGTTCCACGCATGGCCGACACGTGTCCGCTAGTCGACAAAGACAGGAAACTTCTTTGTCGCCGCAGCCATTACTCACATTATTTACGCGTCACCTTCGCTTCGTTGCTTTCAGTGTGAACTTTTTCATTTTGGCCCCAGAATTACAAGAAAATTTCCAAGTGAGACCCCCAACAAAAGTTTGTATTAGTTGAAACTTGAAAATCATCCTAATAAGTAAATAATTCAGTTATACTTTCTTTGAAACTTAGCTCTGTTTGGTTCCTTTTTTCCATGGTTTTTTTCTAAACTTTTTATTAATAAATTCTCATACATTTTATTGTTCTACTAATATATCTTTTTATATTCTAAATAGAAAACACCTTTAAACATACACTAAAAACTGATCCACACATTGGATCTCATTAAACAGTAATACATCATTGGACATCTGCAACTACTAACACATGAGCAAAAAATTATAAAAAGAATGCGTCCAGGTAAAAAAAATCCAGAAAGATTTCATTAAACATGCTAATAAATTAGCCAAACTCAACTTAAAGAGAAAAAGAAAACATCGATGACGAAGACCAACTCCTAACAATCTTTGATTTCATATGCATGGTTATTACAAGAGTAACTTTATTTTTTCTAAGCGATATTTTTGTTATAAATTATTAAACCAAAGTTCAGATAACAGACGATAAATATTTAAAAGCATTGATATTGAATTTTTCTATTGAAGTCTAACAACAACCGAGTCTCTCACAACCGTCAGCATTCAGAAATTTGAACTCCACACAAAACTTCTCTAACATCCATGAAGTTTCTTTGAGCGCTGAAGTGATTGTTTTTGTTCTATAAAGGGCTATTCTATAGTATCAATAAAGTTTGAGGTCCAAGTAGAGAAATTTAGCTGAGTTGTTCTCCCTACAACAAGTCCGCCCACTAGCTCACTTCACTCGTCAATCTTCAGCCTCTTTCCTCACTGACGATCTCAGATCCAAATCCATAAACCCCCTTTTCATAAAATTCATTTTTTGATAGTTTTGTACATTCTTCATGTGTAGATAAATAAAAGAAATATACAGTTGAGCCAATTGTATAGGTTTGAGGATGTAGATTGGATTTGTGAAGTGAGTTTAAAGATGGTGGTGGACAAGGCGTTTAATTCAATGGCGAAAAGAGTTCCCAAAAGGGTCTGGTTTGGGTTCCAAATGTCAATGGGATTACTCGTGGGTGGAAATCACACCTCCTCCAGGTTTTGCACTCGCTAATTGATTCGCTTTTACTGATTTTTTGGCTTCAATCTCCTTTTTTTTTTTTTTCATACTGCTGATTTTGCTCTCAATATCAAAATCTCCAATTATAGTGCATTTTGGTCACTGAAATTTGATTAGATCTGATAGAATACTCTGAAAAGGCCTTATCTTGGGTATGATTCGGAAACCCAAGATGGATTTCAAGGTCTTGAAATGGCAAATGCTTCATGGGTCTTTCATGAGGCGCTTGATCCTCAGAACATTTGCATTTGGGTCGGCAATGCTTGTGTTCTCCCTCATTCAGATAGCCCATGAGGCTAGAACTTTTGAGCCACTTGAGTTGAATTTTGATGAATGCCCACTGAACTTTGGCTCAAACCCATATGATAATGGGACTGAGTTTTCGAATCCCCTGTCCTTTCTTCGATATTCTTTACTTGGGGGGTTTAGGATGCCAAGCAAAGAGAATGAAAAACTGGCTAAGAATGTGTTTGAGGAGTTAATGGGAAAGAATTTGCTGGATCCTAATTCGAAAACTTTATGTATTGGGGACAGCTCGGCCACAGCTGTTGCAGTCCTGCGAGACTTGGGATTTACTCATGCCGTAAGCGTCGGTAGTCACCCAACCTTTTCCCTCTTGAAGAGGAAATATGTTTGTGAGCTCGATTTTGAGGATGATTCTTTTGATTTCGTATACTCTAGAGCTCTTGATACAGTACCTGTACCCGCTCTTCTCGTGCTTGAGATTGAGCGCATTCTGAGGCCAGGCGGCATTGGTGCTATGCTTGTTGGTGCCCGTGACTTCCATACTGGTAGTTTGATTAGGTCAGCCACACCGGTTTCACTATTCTTGAAGAGTTCCGATATTGTCTATGTATGTGGTGTTGGCCCGAATGCTCTGGTAATTTTCAAGAAAAGATTCGAAAATGCAGGTTATTTTGAGAGATTTCAACTTCCAAATGATTGCCCTGCAATTAAAAAGAACAAGCCATTTATGAAGTTCATTGAGCCCCTTGTGGATAAAAAATCACTACATACCACAAGAGAGGTCTCTTATCTACCGAAGTACTTGGATATCTCATCAAGGAATAGAATGATTTATGTCAATGTTGGTGCTGAGGAATCTACAAAATTCAACTTGTCTCAGCTGTCCCAGCCTTATGATTCCATCCATCCTCGCGCTTTCAGCGTGTATATGATTGATCACAATATTTCTGTCCTATCATCTCATGTTAAAAATCCTGGTATCACTTTTATCTACCATCCAGGCCTTGCAGAAGAGGATGCCACTGCGGAACTTGACTCTGATGAGTACCTGGGTGCTCCACTGGATGAAGGTGGGTTCGATTTTATTGACTGGTTTAAGGACACTGTTGAAGATGATGACTTTGTTGTCCTCAGGATCAATGCCAGAACAGTGAAATTGAACATTCTTGGTGAGTTATTCCAGAGTGGAGCTATATGCCATGTTGATGAACTCTTTCTCCACTGCCCCGAGAATGATGAGTGCAAAGGAGGTGCCTTCTGTGGGGACTGCTTGAGCCTTTTCAAGGATCTCAGAAATTCAGGCGTGTTTGTTCATCAATGGTTTGGTGAATGAAGCCTATGAAACATATGCATGATATGAAGTTTCAGTTGAATGTGTACTGTCATAAATAAAGTAAGGGACAATGTAGCTTGAACTTCCAGGCTGCACTCCCTTGGTACTGTTGTTGATCTTTCCAGTGTTTTTACTATGTATTCCATCTCCTCCTATCTGTGGTATGGAGGAGCCTTTTTAGTATTTCCGTTTGTATCAAATCCAAAGAAAGTGCAGATTGAACTATTGATCTGCAACTACTTCGTTAAACTGATGTTTGTCGAGCTTTGAGGTGTATGAGTACGAACCTAATCTTGGTCATATATTGTCGTTGAATTCATTTCTGTTTGGTAAAGATTGCTTTCATGTTTGTTATTTCCTTCTCATGCGTGCCTTGTCAATAGTATATGGCGGAGTTGTTAAAGTGATCTAGTGGCATGTTTCTGAAAAGCTATTATTTGGTAGTCGTAGGCTCGTAGCAACCAGTAACTGCAATTGGATTTGCTTGGTTAGTCATGTAGAACTGTTTGGTTTGCATGAACGATTCTTAATTGATGAATACATTGTGATGCGGAGCTAAAGCCAAGGATGACATTGTTAAATCGTGTATACTATCTTTGAAACTCCACCATGCAAATGATCCTTGCATCTTTTGCACTTCAGACTTCAATCTTTAGGTAAAGGTCCATGAAGACGATGTAATGGCTTATGAGCTAGATTTGTAGGTGAACTTAATGTCGGGGGACAAAAACACAAACAATGGGCAAAATCTAGGCCCACGAGACGGACTGATTTGTACTTGTGTTTCAGTGCCTCTTCGTGATCAAATTTACTTCTCCATTTGAGATTCTTTAGCCATCTAACTTCTTCAGCATGGAGAAGCTGAGATGTCCCCATCTTTAAGTGCCTGCCAGCATCAAAAGCACAGCTTGAATGCAATATGAAGACGTAAAGGGCTAATATACACACTCCCTTATGATTAGAGTAGGCCGATTTTGCATTTGATTCGAGACATTTGGTGTGTGATAAATTGGTGGAAGTCACAAGCAAATAGCCCAAATACAATACTAGCATTTTGAAAGAAACTACGCTTGAAACTGAAGCAAATCTACGTATATGAAAGGAGTTAAGTCGGTTTTTGTGATTCTGAGCTTGTTACGGTTACTGCCTTGTAATGGTGGTAACTCCCGCTTGCGTTTGTCTCCGACCCTGTTTAAGTATGATTCCCGTAACTCAATTCTCTGCTAATGAAAATTTCAATTGACATTTTCCACCGTTTAATGTAATTTTTGAAGCATTTTTTTTTTTTTTTTGAAAAATGCAAAATGCAAACATGTCTATACAGAAATAACCTAAAATGGTAAAGGGCTTCAGCCCTCAGTGAAAACAAAAGTAGTAGTAAGCAGTAGAGGTAATTTAGCTAGACAAAAATTGACCTTCATAGCTAGTAGTAGCTTTGAATTCCAAAAAACAGTCACTGAAAACTGAAAGAAGCAGCAGCTACAACTGGGGGAACCCTGATTCAATAGGTTTTTATCCATAATAGGCAAGATGACCTGGGTAAACCCCCCTACACATTTACCATTTCTAGTAAACATGTCTATGTTGTGGCCCTGTTGGTAATAAAAGTGGGGTAAAAAAAAAATTCCAAGTCCCCACACCCCAAATCTTAAAACAAACCAACACATTTCTGAATTCCCTGCACTCCCTCCCTTGTTTCAATGAAAATGATTCTTTGGCTATAATACAAGGAAAAGAAAGATGAAATATGCAACAAACAAAAAAAAAAGTTGCATATTTTTTCTGCGTTATGTCATTTTGATAATCTGGGGTGCGATGAAATGAAATAACAAATAAGACTAGAAGACAAATGAGTAAATTTTGCAAGTGACCCTTGTCAGTTTTCTCACTGTAGAAAGAGAGGGTCAATTTTTACAGAGATTGCTAAAAACTAGTATGGTTGTCTGATCTGTGAAGGTAAGAAAGGGGGAGACTTTTGTTGGAGGTATTGATTGCTACATCCTTCATAAAGACTCCCTCATTTGCACAGTGGAAGTGGACCTCATTAAAAATCTATGTGAAGAAAAAAATTGTGGTAGGGGTTGTGTTGCAGAGTTTTCATTGCTGCTGAAAACCTGTCATAGCCTACTCCCTAGGTAAAATTTAAAGTCCATAACTCCATTATTTTGCTCTGCTTTGTGTTGTGCTGGTGACAGTGTTACTCAGAGACATAACTTCACTAGTCTTACTACACTTACAAATGTGGACAAATATGAATGGCAAGCTGGGGTGGAGATAGTGAATTGTTTTTTAAACCAAAACAAAGGATAATGAATTGATCTTGTGACCAAAAAAATAAAAAATAAAAAATAAAAAATCACACAAGAAATGAAATATCATCAACATGATAATCATGTCATCAGACCTCTAAAAGAGGAGATGGTCTGAAAAAGTATCCTGTTTCCAAGGAACAGTGGAACAACATCAATCATTTCAATGAGCTGTTTGTAATTGTATTCATCTAAGATATTTCTTCATTCATCCAGATTCAGAGACAGAAAACAAAAATGGATTAGCAGAATGTTATTACAAGAATCAAACCTGAATCTGAATTGATATTTATTGTACAAATTGAAACAATAACTCTGTTGATGAAAATCTCAAGGGGAAAAAAATCAAAGATCAAAGAACAACATATGATGAGTAACATAAGAGGACATTTGGTTACAGGATTTCATACAAAATTGTAAGCAGCTAGTCACCATCTTTCAAATACAGGGTTGGTTGATTCAGATCAATGAAATAATGTCTAAGAAAAACAACCTAAAGAACAAAGCCACATATCAGAGCTCCACAACTTCGGAAGAGAATACAATTTCAACATCCCATTACAGCACAGTTGTAAACAAAGACTCCAGCATGCTCCTTCACACCGAGGATCTTCCATTCCAAAGTGCCATTCTTGACACCTGATGTTGGGCACCAAGAATTCAAGACGATCGCTTCTCCTTCAGGTCCCCTTTGACCACCCACAACAAGAAGTTCCTCGCCGCATGCTTTAAACGCTAAACCCCAACCATTTGAGGAATCAGCCCTAACAGGAAGTCTTCCCAATACATCCCATGTGTTCTTTTCTTTGTCATATTTCTTTACCATATTGGTTAGATATTCAACTGCATAAAGCTGGTTATTAACAACAGCAACAAGAGGTGGTGCCTGTGCTGCTCTATTGATAGTGGGGTACATGCCCTCTATTTTCTTCCATTTCCTAGTTTTCAGATCAAACTCCTCCCCACAACTCAATGAATCCGTGGGACTAGTCATCCCGCCAATAACATAGAACTTATCATCCATGAAAAAACCAGAACAAAGCCTCCGTGGAGAATGCATGTTGGGCAACATTTCCCAACTGCCAGTAATAGAATTATAAAGCTCTGCAGATCTCAAAATGTTACCGTTTTTATCACTTCCCCCAGCAACGATAGCAATGGAACCAAGGCTACTAGAGCCAAATAAACAACGAGGATGGTTCATTCCTTCACACTTCACCCAAACGCGATGATCCAAACTATACTTCCAGATAGCAAACTCAAATAATTCACGGCCAAAAACCAACAATTCACTCCCCACAGATAAAGATTCTTTGTCAGCATAATTGAAACAGTCATCGCAAGGGATTTTAGGCAACTTCATCCACTTCTTTCGGCACGGATCAAATGCCTCCCATCCCCTTGGATCACATACCAAATACACCCAATGCTCCACAATTCCCAACTGCCTTCGCAGCTCATATAAGTACCCACTTCTTATTATTGAATTAAATTTTGAATTCAGGCAACTTAATGAGGGATAATCTGATCTACACGCCCAAGCTAGACATGTCAATGCGACATCATCATGTAAACCAGGGAGAAGAGAATCATTTGATCCAAAATGATCATCCGCTTCAGCTCCCTTCAACCTCACTTCCATTCCTAATCTTTTATTGCACCAGCCAAACAATCAACACTCAAGTTATTCACTTTCGGCGAAGAAGACAACGATTTTGCAGACCGTTTATTGAGTTTCTAAAACTACATATCCATTTCTGACCCCCATAAACCAACCAGTTTTAACTACAAAATAACAAAAGAACACCAAAATCAGCTAAAATTCCAAAATCTTATCTTTATCGGATTCTTCCCATCCCTCAATTTCTATCCATCAAATTCTGCAACCCATATGAAAAAAAAGCCACAACCCATCTTGAAATAAGACCTGTATGTAAACTTTAGCATGCTATAAACCAATCCCATATGAACAAAGACCCAAAAAATGAAACAGAGTCCAATCAAAATTCAATCTTTTCACAACAGGGTCACATGCAGCACTTTGCTTTTCAGCTGACCTTCCGGGAAAAGAAGTTGCAGTGACCTTCATAGGTGCTTCATATACATATAAAGACTCCAAAAATTCCACAAAAAAAAAAGAATGAATCTGATACCAAACCGGGTCAAAAACGAGCTATAGGGATCTTGCCTGAAATTTGAAGCTGTCCCGGCTGGTAAAAAGAGGTCAGAATTCCATCACCACAAAAAAAAACATATATTTGTATCAAATTTACTTCTCAGGTAATTCGCCCCCGGTGATAATCAGAAAATATTCGGCGCACATTTTACAGAATACCCTTTTCGGGTTACTGTGTGTGTGTGTGTGAGAGAGAGAAAGTTGGGGAAGCGGTTATGCTAATGCTAGAGAGAGAGAGAGAGAGAGGAGAGGAAAGAAAGAAAGAAAGAAAAAATGGTGTATAGTGGGGAAAGACTGAAAGAGAAAAGCATCTGTCTTTGCAGGAAAAGCCCCTGATTGTTTAGATATTGTATTTTGACTACCTTAAAATTTAAATCTTTTTGTTATAGAGGTTCGCCTAAAATTTGGTTGAAATTCTTCAATCATTGTGTCTCAAGTGAAAATTAATAAAAAAAAAATCAATTATTGTATTGTTATGATTATTCCAATTTTATTTATGTGTTTATATTGGCATTATTCCCTGTCTGACAATGGTCAACCATAATGTTATATTTTTTTTTATATGAGTAAATCATTCACCTGCAAAAGAACATGAGCTACTTATTTGCTTTGTTCTGTATTTAATTTTTATCATTATTTCTGGGGGTTGGAATTTGTTTGCTTTACTTATATTTTTATTGTTACATGTATAAGTTAAAGTACTTTATTCAGTTGAGAGGATGTAGTATCAAATTTCATTATTCATATTTTATGGAGAGTGTCATCACTGGCATTAAGCTAAGCACTTGATATGAAATATACCCTTTGGAATGGTGTTATTATGTTGATCAATCAAGTAAGCTAATATCAAATTGGGGGTGGGGGGAGCTAATATCACAAAATGTCAAGAAATAATATACTCTTCTGTACTAATTTGATACTTCACTTTTAGTTCAATTTATACTTAAAATAAAAATTTAAACTGAACAATAACTTCAGGAGCGAGAGAGTATTTGGTTTGGTTTGTGATTACAACCTTGGATCTTTACTTTCTCGCCTGCTTTAAACATGCGTTCTTGCGTTGTCTAAATCATCTAAATACATTCAGATTGACATATTCCGTGTTACCTTTTGCTTTGTTTTTAGGTAAGGGGGAAAAAAAAGAGAGGAATTTTTTCATTTTTTGGGTCCAGTTAACTAATAACTAGTCAACGTGTCGTGCTATTTTTATTTATTTATTTCCAAGCTAAAGAGTACAAAAACAATTAAATAGCATTATATTGCTTTTCATCGTAGAAAATATATTTTGGACATTAATTTGTTAGAAATTAAGGAAAAAAATTATTTGTCTATTTTTTAAAAAAATTTTTTATTGAACATATTGATTGATATGGTTTACCAATATTATTCAGTATCTTTGATTACCACATAATGGGCAATAATGGAACAATTTCATATTCATTTTGATTAGATCAGCAAAGAGAGCTCAATGATGTATTTTGACAAAATACTCTGGCCCCCTTAATTAGACTTTAGGCTCCAAAATTTTGTTATATCTTTAAATAAATTATCTCGCTGCTTTTCTTCTTTGTTTTTTTTTTTACAAATAATGTACTAATTGTTGTTATTTTTATTACTTTACATTTACACGAATGTATATTTGTTTGGAGTTTTCCGAAAAAATAAGAAATATTCACGATAACTTGTCCTACCAAGCTTATTGTAAAATAAATAGTCGATCTTAATATCATACTTCCTCTGTCCCATAATTATTGTCCACTTTGCCCAAAAAATTTTGTCCCAAAATTATTGTCCAATTTGACTTTTTATGGATCAAGTTACACATTTGTCCTTAGTAAAAAATATTATCCATAAAATCTTAGTGGTTAAACAATTACTTATGTAGGGGTATATCCGGTTGTTTAAGGTAAAATATAGTTAAGTTTGACCAAAAATAAAATTTTTTATTTTAGTAAAATTGGACAATAATTATGGGACGGAGGGAGTAATTTTTATTGTCTCAATAAATGGAAATTCTCAACCTCATCTTATCAGTAAGAATGACTTGTACCACTCAATCACAACTCATCCGCAAGATATATATATATATATACTAGTGATGTCTGGTCGCGCAATGCGCGACTCTGGCCCAGTCTATCTGTAAATCTTAGAAATGTTTATATTTGAAAAAAAATAAAATTTTGTATTTGGAGCGATATATTTTAGAAATGTTTTATAAGTGTGATCATAGAAATAATTGTATTTCACAAAAAAAAAAAGAAATTGTATTTCGCCATGTAAGTTATAGAAATATTTTATAAGTGTTACTTATTAAATACAAATAGCCTTAATCGAATATATGTATTGAAGTAAATGTTAGATAAAATATAAAAGTATCCTAATAAATTTAAATATTAGTAAGATGATTTATTGATATTCGGTCGTGCCAAATCAATATTTAGTTTTGGAGATTTTTAATAGCTTTGTAATGAGCTTCATCCGCAGGGTATACACTTAAAACAAAATTGACACTTTGTAACAAAAACCTAATTGATCAATTTAACTTAAAAAACCACTCTAAATGAATGAAACATAAAGAAAAATTTTTTTTTTAAAAAAACGTGTCACGTAAAGTGCAAAGGGAGATTTAGTAATTTAGTTATGGTTTAGACAAAAGGGCAATTTAGTACTTTCTATATGCCACGTGGCAATCATATGAGGTGTTTGAAAGGAAGGTTTTTGTTTCTAATATAGTAGGATATATATAATTTCTAAGTTGTAAGAAGTTAAAACTTTTTATTCAGTTTTTTTTTAAAATAAAAGAAATGTTGTGACACAATAAAGAAAATATTTGGAAATAAACACCACGACTGTGTTAATTAAATCTAATGCAAATTGAAGAGTATGATTTCATATATTTTGGCTATTTCTGTTTGTCAGCACCTGTTCATGCTCTCTCTACTATTGACATAAACAGAAGAAGATTATGAAAAAGAAAAAAAAAAGAACCTGGAAAATTTGTCATTTTGTGAATTAATAACTTGGTCTTTAGTGCAAGGGTAATATAAATTTATTTTTTTTTACTTCTGTTTATGTATTTTGAACTTGTTTGAAGGTTAAGCAAGCAACAAATTGTGAAACTTTTAAATTAATTCCTACAAAAACTATATATTAGTTATTTTTGAAAATTCAACTGAGACTCTAACTAGCACGTATATAGGAAATCATACTACCCCTAAAATGATTTTCAGATACTCTCCACGTCCCAAAATTATTGTCCAATTTGAGATTTCACTTTTAGTATAATTTGAACTAAAAATGAAAACTCAAACTGCACAATAATTATGGGACGGAGGGAGTATGTTGTACTAGAAAAGGATCATTTCAAAACGTAAACCACAAACTTTAAGAAAAACGATGAAATATTTTAGGGTGATGGACAATTTACTTACTAATTTTCATCATTGTGATGATGACTTGGCTTACTAAATATAGCATCACGTCCATTCCTCAAGTACAAATTGCAGCTGAAGAAGAGCAAGCAAAATTAGTGGGCAATTGGCAAAACTCCATCTACAATCCCCAGATTTTAAACCGCGCACTGTTTCTGCACACATGTATTTGTTTCCTCAACAAAGATGATGAAGTTTTGGTGGTTGTTGGTATTTAAGGATTGATTTGAGTCCACTTTTTAGTCATCATCTCAACACTTTCATAAAATTGGGCAAATGAAATTATTAGAATTCATGTACAACAATTACTTAAGATTCTACCTCTATATATTTTATATGACTTTCTAAAGAATTCATCAAAACGAAAAAAATATTAAATTATGTAGTTAAAATATAAAAATACCCTTATTTATTTTCTATACAATTCATCACAAATCAATTGAAATTCATTATAAATATTGTTTCATTCCCAATGCACTGGTAACATTGTCAAAAAATGGTCAAATGTGCCTCGATTTGTGAAAACGACATATATTTAAAAAAATTCACCAAACCCTAAAACGACATATATTTCAAAATGGAGGGAGTAGCTTCCTAACTAAAGCGGTGCCTAAAAATCCATCATTCAAAATCATTAATGGAGAGCTTTGTATTCCATCTGTTATATATACCGAGTGAATTAAAAAAAAATGTACTAGTATAAAATAATTTTATTACTGCATATACAAAATTTTAATTTTGAGAAGTAGCATGGACAGGACGTTGTTCTATCAAAAAGAAGAAATACCGGAACAAGACAAGTCAGTTTAAGGCGGCGGCAGAAAGATAGAAATCAAACCATCTATAGTGCTTTTGAAGTCAGCGACAAGTTACAACTTACAATCGCATTTATCCTAAAAGTAGAACTCTTTGCGTGACATTTCACGTAAGAAGCATCAGTTATCTGTCAATTTTCATACCTGTCAAATCCAGTAGTTCAATTATTTATTTATTTATGGGCAAAACTCCATTATGTTGATTACAAGAACCTACAAAACTGATGACATTTCTATGGGAAAAAAAAAAAAGAAAAAAAGAAGGCTTCACTTGCAGAGATCTAGAAAAAGTTCAAGATATGGATGAACAGAAAGGCAACTGCTGCTGCTGTTCAACAGAAATAGCAGGTCAAGAATGAAACTAGGATGAGATGCATGGATGCAATCAGTAATCCTCAAATGTTATAAAAATCTTAAAAAAACGGTTCCTGTATATCTCGACTATCTACAGTTATATGAGTCTATAAGGAGAATCTATTACCTCTCATCTCTATCTATGGCGCCTCACATACATGAAAGAAAAAAAAGAAAAAAAAATTGGTTTTTGTTCATATCCGACCAATAAAATGATGAAACAAAAACATCCTAAAGCTATACACAAAGGCGAAACACAGTTTTTAGTCAATCAGAAGATCAGTTCTACTCCCATCTGAGGTTCCTTCCTTTGGTTTGTTGCGCTTACACCAACACGGATACTGAGGAATATGACCTTCTTCGCCAATTACCCATGCATGCTCTGAAACAGTCTTCAGCGTATACCTATGATCAGGGTCTGCAGAGATGATTATATTAGCGGAGAGAGAGAGAGAGAGAGAGAGAGAGAGAACAACAACATTATATTAACCAAGATGTTAAGTTTTATACTACGTGGAGACAAACCTTTGCAGAGAAGCCCCTCAATTAAGTCCTTCAGCAAGGGATTCATCTCGTCAGGAAGGTCTAAAGAGTTGTTAACAATCTGGGAGATCAACATCATCAGTTAGACAAAAAAAACTACCATTGAAGTGCACAAGGTAGGCAAAAAATGCTGGAGCTACGTTCTATCATCTAAGGAATTCTACAGAAGAAATTGTCCAAAGCAGAAAAGCAAGCCCGTACTTTGTCATATGTGTCCTGAAGGGTGTCCCCTAGGAATGGATACTTCCCCAGAATCATACAATATAATGTAACTCCAACTGCCCATGTATCCGCAACTTTGCCATGATAAGTTAGACCTGAAAACAACAAATTTCCAACAAGTCTTAAATGGGCAAGACTTTAGGTCCATGACTATTTTTGCAGAAGATTACCAACCTAAACAGCATTCTGGTGCAGTAAAAACAGGAGTCCCAGGAGAGCGCCGAAGTTCATCATTATCATCCTACGAATAAAAGCAACCAGAAGAAAATGATTGATGACGAAAATAAGAGAAAGTATATTAAAAATAAAAAAATCCGTTGACCAAAAAAAAAACATTCAGACCCCGAGTCAATCACAAAGGAGTATATTAAAATTCTCAAACATGGGATGTTATGCACAAGGATGTAACCGGGGCACTCCAGCAAGCCATAATACAACCTCCAAGCAAACACGAAATTGAGAAATGAAAAACTAAAGGTAGTTAATTCCACCTTAACATGACTTATTTATTGCTTGAAGATTGTCATGGCTGTGAGAATAATCTCATTCAGTAAAATTTCAAAAATATCTAGATTGGGAAAGGAAGGACACTGTTTTGTTTTCATGATGAATTTAAGGTCAAGATTACTAGGAATCAAAATGTCTAAGATTCATAGAACTGCCACGCCATATATGTTGCTCGAAAAAACAGGTCAACTTTAACATAACAAAACAGATTGGAAATTCCAACAAAATTAGCGAAAGACTGAATTCTTTTCAAGAGTTTAAAAAGCCAAATTGTGCATGACCAATGAAGGGGAAAAAAACGGACAGTTCAAAATATGAGGAATATTGTAATGCATCAAAGGACGACTCACGCTAATTACCTCAAAAACCTGACTGACACTGAAATCACCAATCTTCAATGTTCCAGAAGCAGTGACCAAGAGATTATCTGGTTTAATATCACCATGAACCACATTCTGAACGGCAAACAAGATTTACAATTAGTTTAAGAAACCTCATGTTGAGCAAAAGCTAATTATTTCTCGTATTTGAGATAATAACAAGGCCCTAAAATACATTAAACATGGCTAACTAAGAAGCAAAAGAACATCAATTGGACAACATATACTTTAAGCTTACGTGAGCATGAAGATACATTAAACCACAAACAATATCTCGGAAGTGCTTCCGTGCCGTATCTTCTCCAAGACCACCAGGTAAACCAGCACCCTCACATAGTTTGCCTTCGACATACTCTAAAACTGAAACGGAAATAATATAGACATTGAAAAAAAATTGCCCATGTCATTATCATTTAGAAATTCACAAAAATATCTGGAAGTACAAGAACTCATACTATAAAATCAAATTGGACTTCTAATTGTTTATTCATTTTTTATTTTAGCTTTTCCTTATGTCAGGGGAGTAGGGTTGGAAGAAGTTTTGAAAAGTACCCATGTAAAAGTGGTCGGTTGTAGGATCATCAATCACCTCAACAAGGTTAACTATGTTCGGATGTTTCAAGGATTTCATGATCAAAACCTGCAACATTAAGGGATTGACATCGGATTCTTAAACAGCAGAACATATGGAAACAGACAAAACCAACAGATACTAGTTCAAATAAAACTAAGTAGATATGAAGCAAACACAAGCGTCAACGCGAGATCCAATGGAAGAAACGGAAAAATCTAATGGATGCAAGGTCTCCCAGACAATTACAAAATGAAACTATTGCTCTCAAGGTCTTATGGTAAATTTATTTATTGTGCAATGCCTTCAGAGAAACTGGAGCTATTTTGTCCGAAATCAACCAGGGTCAAACATCTTTTCCATGGCTCTACCCAAGTCTTGGAAAAATGAGCTGGTTGTGTCAAGTCAAAAGGTGAAAATTTATACATTTTAATGGGGGGCAAAGGTAATGTTTAAAGGAAATGCTTGTGAGATATAATCCACACAGAAAACCCCTATACCAGGATAAAGAATTAGTTGCACATATATTTAGCTAAGCAAGAAGATTTTTGCAGAATCCTCACGAGAATATTAGATGCATAATTATTAGGAAACTCTGCTTCATATTCTACCAACTAACTATGGAGAAAACATAGAGCACCTCGCGGAGGACATCTGTCATAGCAGTTTCTGAAGGTGCAACCCTTAGCTTTAGCAAATGTGACTTGTGAAAAGCCTGCATTCAAACCGTATGAAACAACTTACTACTCCATTCTGCCAACTGTTTTGGCATATGCATTAAATTCCACATTTATTGTATGATTACCTTAAAAAAACAAATGCCATTTACAGAGGAAATGATGTAATATAGAAACAAACAAATTTATGAGAATACTAATTACAGCTAAGTAATTCTTAAGTTCCGCTACACAAACTCAGACATTTTTACATGTTTCTATTGGGAAAACATTTATTTAGAGACTACATTCATCTCATCGGGAGTTAAAAAGTGCATTTCACTCTCTCTTTTTTTTTTTTTGGGGGTAGAGAAGTTAACTTGAGATAAAATTTCATATTTGAATTATTGATGGTTGTTTGGATGCAACTTTGTTTGAAAAGATATATAAACCAAATATACCCCTCAGTACGTCAAACTTGCTACGATATGAAATCAGGAATATAAAGGCCCTCAAAAATTCTTTAAAACATTCAGAACTCAACTACAGCTTTGGTGTAACAAGTCCTACTCAAAGAGAGTTCATTAGTTCTAGAAGCATACATGAACATTTCCATGATTAAGAACAAAATATTTGGTAGTTTCCACTATAGAAAAATGATTTATGGCAATACCTTTATTGCATAGTTTTTTCCATCTGTAGTACTGCGATAAAGGACCTGCAAAATTTTTGCACGGCATAAGGCAATGGAACCAGACGCAAATACCCTTAAGAAGTACTGACCAGCAAATTATCCAAAACAGAAAGCTCACCACTTTCCCATAGCTCCCAGAACCGATCTTATGCTGGCGAACGTACTCATTAATCATCTTATTACCATCTTCATCCTTCAAATATTTAACAAAAAGTTAAAATATGATCTTATGCTGGCGAACGTACTCATTAATCATCTTATTACCATCTTCATCCTTCAAATATTTAACAAAAAGTTAAAATATGATAATATTCTTGAGAAAAAAAACAATATCCTACAAACATAATCAGCGTTGCAAAATAAGACTGAAGTGAATGCAGATCTCAAAACAAGAGAGGACACCTCATTTAAGAATAGTAGCTACACACTGAAAAATAGGAATGGCCAAAACACTAAACTTTATGAATTCAAGTAAATATAGTAACTCAGAAGCTGTTAAAATGGAGGAAAATAAGAGTCAGCCCAAAAGAGCAGATGCACAAACATTTCGAAGATACACAAATAGTTCTACATATAGCACGAATATCCGAATCAACAGTCTGTTTTCTCAAAAGAGCGAGCAACAAAAAGGTTAAGCACATAGTTAGGTAACACCTCTGATGCCCAGTTATAACAATTAGCTCATGGCAATACGGATATTGAACCAGATGCACCATAAAAAGAGCAAAGTTTCTGATCCTAAACAACTGGAGAAGCTATATACACGTGAACCTTTCTATTCACATTATTCATTTGGATACACAAGCTCAATAGGAAGGATAATTAGTACAAAAAACTGGACAAATAAATTCAGTCAACAACTTACTTCAGATCGTACTAGTTTGCTAGTTTCCTTCACTGGAACTTCCCGGCAAATCAATCCATTATGAATTCTATACCTAAGAATCTCCTCAGAACGTCTGACAGGACTTTGAAACTCACTGTCATCCCGGTTTTCGGTCTCTGTTAGGTCACCATTATAAGACACATCCTCGTATTCTTCCTCCTCTTCCTCCAACAGGTATTCCCTCGAATGGTGATTTCCAAATTCTCTGGTAGGCCTTACTACGGTTTTGGGCTTTCTTGAAAATGCAAATCCAAAACAACCACAGCAACCCATTTCAGTTGCTTTGGCGATGGGATCTCTCTTCACAAACATGGCTAACTATTTTGAATCAAACAAACTACAGTCTAGAACACAAAATGAACAAGTTCGACTTCAGAACCTGGAAAACAGCATGTCATCAAAATTAGTATCTAAACCATCAGGCAAGACACTGAGTACAGTATATAAACAGAAATAGCCAGTTTCTTCTGGATGGACATCATCAAATAACAACTTGCAAGCTTAAATTACTAGAAAACTGAAGAAGCTAAGGGTAAGAGTATTTGACCTTATTTGCGCGATATGGGCGTCACAAGCCCCAACTGACTAGGCTATTCCAAAGGATGCCATTCAGAAAAATGAAAAAAGCAGTTGATCAAGTTGATACCACTCTGATTCCACCCTGACATCTCAAAAGCTACGACTCACGCCAGCAAAAAAAAAAAAAAAAGTGAAAAAAAGAGCAGGACGTTGCAGTCCAATCCAATCCCCAAGCTCCTGCAATCAACAAAAACACAATTAATGAGCTTTTAGCTCGAAAAACAAATCAAATCAGGACAGAATGCAGACTAATTACAAAACAAATCAACAAATGAACGAGTGAGAAAGCTAAAACAAAAAATAAAAACCCAAAAAGCAGCAGACTTATTTCACTTCAAATTTCACATAAACGATGACGTCCAAACAACAGCTCGAAAGGAAACCAAGATTGAAGCTTTTCCATACCGATTAATCAGACAAAAGCATCACAATGACAGAATCCCGGTCTAGAAAGACCCAAACCAAAATTTCCAGCAGAACCCTGGAATCAATTCGTCACCTTCCTCGCAATTCAACCAAATAACCCCCCAAATAAAAAACCCCAATAAATTGATGATTAATAGAAATAATATTGCTCGAAAAAAGGCAGAAGGAAGATAGAAAAACAAAGTTGTTCAAACCAAGATTGAATTTTTTGGAAAGTTTTATTCGATTTGGCCAGAGAGGAAACCCAAAAACAGAGGTCCGGCGAGAACAGGGGGGAGATTTGGGAGGGGAGAAGGAGAGATGTACGGCGGGGATTTATGTAAGAAGAAATATACTGTATTAATTAAAGAGAACGACAGCTTATCTTAAAATAACAACAACAATAAAAGTAGGGAAACAACCCCTCCAAAAAAAAAAAGTCTTTGATTCCTCCGAAATTAAAAAAAGCATGAATTACAATCCGAATTATTGCAAACTATAATTGGGAATTGATTCTGCATTATGGTGAGGATTTTTTTCCTTTTTTTTTTTTTGAGACAAAAAAATAAGATGGACAAAAGGAAGAAAATGGAAGTGGAAGTTGGAGAAGGTGGTTGAATTTTTGGGGTCTTATAAAACTGTCGATTGATGCTATAAAAATTGACATTGATGCCTTCCTTTCTTATGTTGAAAATAAACCTTGAAAAAGAAAAGTTGATATAGTAGGCATATAAAACCTAGGATTCTGCAAAACCAACATGAATTGTTTGACAAGTTGGATGCTTAACATTTATTTTGATTAAGACCAAATATTTTCAATTTCTTGTTTGGGGAAAAAAATGTCAAGAAAACTCAATGAAATTTAATTTTCAATTTTTTTTTCATCGTTTGCTATTATTTTTTGTACTCGCGTCGACTTAAAGCCGCAAAAATTATTATAAATATTATTAATTTATCAATTATTAATTTATAGATGTTCGACCATATAAAGAAATATGGATGGGGTTAAAGGTGACCAACATTACCATATATAAGATTTATTAATTTGTTTTTTGAGATGAAGATTTATTTAAAAAGTTATATATAATATCGTATACAACTTCTATATAATGAGTATACAACTTTAAATTCTTACTCCCTACATGTCAATTTGTAAGTTGTTTTAGGTTTGGAGAGATTTTTCAAAATGTAGGTCGTTTTATAAATTCTAAGCAAATTAATGACTACTTTTCTAATTTACCCTCAATAAATGATGTCAATGTATTTGTATTTAGTCTTGTTTGTAGTTTCATTGTAACTAATGGGGGTAAAACAGATATTTAACGCATAAATCAATAGTTTGATGATTGCCTCATAAGTTTACATGCCAAGTCTAAAGTGACTTATATTTTGAAATGGAGGGAGTATAAAAAAAACAAGTGATTAAATCCTTGCGAGGCCTCCAAAGATGACTAAGAGATGGAAGACACCTTCATAAAAGAGTGTAAATTAACTTTTTTTAGTGTAATAATTAGCTTAAGTAAAATGAAGAAATTAATGTATTGCGGCAACAATGATGAGCTACGATTGAAAAATAATCATGAAAGATATTTTTTTGTCTCTAAGTTTTGGCTTTGCATTCAATTCACAATATTTCTTTTTACAATTTTTTTTTATTTAAATCAACCATCAACGATTTATCCAAAACAAACTAATCAAGAGTTCATCGGTACCATAATATTCTGGTTTTCAAGTCACTATCTACTGAATTTCTTGACACTAAAAAAAAAGTAAATTTATATGACTAATTAATTCATATTTGGATCTATGTGCTCCGTTAAATCTTTTGTCCTAATGGGTTGTATTTGAGTGAAGATAAACTAATTAAATGATTCTTACATTAATCATACTGAATGATTAAAACTATATATTGTACTTTGACCCTAATGCAGATGCCTTTTATTATCATATAATAAGAAATCACATTATCATCATAGATGTTGTTCTTGTTGCTTAAGAAGATTCCAAATCCCGACTTTCATCATTAATGGGAACTTAAAATTATGATCACCTTCTAATTAATAATCGAGTTTTTTATTCCCATTAATTTTCAATGGTATAAATTTGACGACACTATAAATTTCTAGCAGTAAGAATGGATGATATAAACTATCACTAAACGGCAAGGTGGAGCTAACGAAACGCTTTCGCTCTTCATTTGACATTGAATATTTTATAATTCATTACAATCGATATAATGATTCTTTTTTAAAATTTTTTTTTCTTGTCACACAAACTAATCTCAAACTAATCTCGAGTCAACTGCTTTCTTCGTGTTATTATCAAGTTGCTACATAACAGCTTTGTGATACACATCCGTGATCCGTTTCTAATGATGTTATTATCATTCACATGCGACTATTATAAAACATAGTACTAGTAATTAACATCGAAAATCTATTATATTAAAGGAATCAAAGAATTGAAACATTACTGAGATTTACTGGATCAAGAATGAACAAATTGCATTTCTGATATTGAGAACTCAAGATCGACAGAGAGAGAAGCTGAAAACCGTTTTTCTATTATCTGGAATATTCTCTCATATATTCTGAAAAATATTTACAATGTCTTATATGCTATACTAACTAATAAACTCTCTGTTATTTACAATCGACTGACCAAACTTTCTAATATTTACAATTAAGGATAACAATCAGAAAACACAGTAAAAAGGAATTTAATTAGGTGATCCCATGATCGAATCCTGTTTGTGGAATCACCACATATGCTGATTCCTGTTGCTGCTGTTGATCACTCTTTATATATCATAACATTTTGAATTTTTTATACAATCTTCTATTTTGTTAACTGTAAAGTATTCATTTTATCCAAAAAAATAATCCACATCAAGTTTTTGTAATTTGTACTTTGTTTAATGCAAATTGCGAAATTCGATGTCCGTAATTTTTTCAGGAATATGTAGCAAAATTATAAGGGAACGAAAGTAAAAATATTGTCTACACAAAGGAAAAACATTGTATTTACTGACTTTCTATGTGATTTTCTGATTTTCTTGAAAAATAATTTTTCATTTTTTCACAAAGAGAGATTCATGGGGGTCCCAAAAGTGACAAGAATCTGGTCCAACCGGGAACCAACTTGTGGCGCCCAAAATTGCAGAACCCAAGAAGACATCAAAGCGGTTCAATCAGGTGAGATTCGAATGTGTCTGACTTGCTGCCTTTTCATCATCATCAGCCCAGCCGTTACAAGTGAAGCATAGCGGGACACGACTCTTCTTCCTTCGCTCTTTTCCTTTTTCTCCTTTTTTCCCGTTCAGAAGAAAAAAGGGGGAAAAAACTTGGTAGCAGCCCATTTCTCAGAAGACCCCTTTACTCTCTTCTATTTTCCCTGTTTTCAATTTGCCACAAAAGAAAACCAACAATGGTGGTCGGAGTTCTGGCTTTACAGGGTTCGTTTAACGAACATATCGCCGGTAATTCTTCACGTTATTACTTTGTTTCTGTCATGGATTATGTGGGTTTTTTTTTTTTTTGTATGGATGGTTGGATTGATGATGTTTATGATGTGGGCAGTTCTGAAAAGACTGGGAGTGAAGGGGGTGGAAGTAAGGAAGGCAGAACAGCTTCAGAATGTTAATTCTCTCATCATTCCTGGTGGAGAGAGTACCACCATGGCTAAGTTAGCTGAATACCACAATCTGGTATGCCTTTTCTTATCCGTTTTGTTTAGTATCATTTCCAATTGTTGATTTGATTAGAACCTTGGATGTTGCATGCAATCTGTAACTAAGTACCGTTCATAAACAACTATAAAGGTTGAGTCTTTATGCTGAATCATGGCTTTGGGTGATATTTTCTCTATACTGTCTGCATTTATTAACAGTTGGTAATAGTTTCTATGTTCTGGATTGTTGGGTTGAGGTTCATTGCAGGAGAGGTTAATGAAGGGTGATTATCTTAAACTTATTAATCTTTATTAGCTTCTCTGATTGCTACCCTTATCGCAGAATAATCACCATTTCATCAGAATTAGCATGCTATTGTTTAGTGGTTCATATGCTGTTCGGTTTTGCATATTGAAAGCCTGGAACTTATTTTCAGTTTCCTGCATTACGGGAGTTCGTTAAAATGGGGAAGCCCGTTTGGGGAACATGTGCCGGCCTTATCTTTTTGGCAGACAGAGCAACTGGTGAGAGTTTATTTACATTGTTTTAGGGTTAGTTTTGGGTTCCTCCAATGATGTTTTTTAAACGTTTCGCTGGGAATTTAACCATAACCGAGCAATCCTCCTGTATGAAAGGCTGTATCAAACAGTTCAGAAACCACAAGGTCCGGATGTGAAATTGACCATTTTTCTTAAAACAAAGTTGTTTCCTTTGCAATTTATAGTTATCCGACACAAGAATGATGACTTGTTGAATTGTATCTCAATACATGGGTTGCAGGGCAAAAAACTGGAGGCCAGGAGCTAGTCGGAGGCCTTGACTGTACAGTCCACAGGAACTTTTTTGGCAGTCAGGTAATTCCTATTAATATTTACAGTTGCTCGTTATACACAGGAGTGTAAAATATTACTCACAAAACCCCCTCTAATTGAAAGAGGTTATTTTGTAGTTCTGGTGACCAAGTTAAAATTTTCTGATGGGTGGGATGTTGTTTCAAAATACCAATCAGAGCTGCTCTTTTACTTTCTATCTATTTGCCTGCTGAGCACATTTCTTTGAGATAGTAGCGTTCAGTCACATCCGTAGTTTGGAGGCTGGATCCTCTTGGAAAGTGTTTATTCTAATATTTTCCAACTACTATGCTGGATGCTGTAGATTCAAAGCTTTGAGGCCGACCTTTCAGTTCCTGATATTGCTGCTAAAGAAGGTGGTCCTCCAATTTTTCGTGGTGTTTTCATCCGGGCTCCTGCAATTTTAGATGTGGGACCTGGAGTTGAGGTGCTGGCAAATATCCCTGTCTCGTCTGACAAATATGCTTCTTCTGATCTCAGCCTACAGGGCCAAAAGGTTTGTTCAATGAGATTATATTTGTTATAGTGGTATTGCTGCTGATTGTGTAGTATGATTGATTACTATTTCATTCTGCAAGATACTTGTTTCAGAAGATTTAATTTGCTTTGGCAGCATCCCTTGAAACTTGCATCAGTTTAACTCTTTGTACCTAAGCATGTGACTTGTTTCAATTTTCTAATGAGCACCGGGCTGGTTCCACCATCATTAAAAGTTTGTCATCCAGTATACTCAAGATTGATGCAACCCTTAGGATATATTTGTAGGCTAATTTGTTCCCATAACGATTTGTGGTACTGTTCTGAATCCATATTTCTTTCAGTTATTCCATTAGTAATGATTATTGAACAACTAGATTGCATATGAAAGTGAAGACCGGAAAGACTGGTTTGCATTTTGATGTACTTTTTCTTGGAGCTTTACTCTTGAAAACATTTCCAGAATTAAAATGGAGGGTTATCCTTTTGAGTTGGTGAAAACTTCAATGTTTTACTACCATAGTAACTTCAAAGTATAGTCTCGCTGTCTGTTGTGAAAAAGAATAAAATGGCCTGCGGGCAGGGCTTTGTATTTTGATTTGCCTTTAGGCTTTAGCTTATCATTTACAATGGCTGAATTTGAGTGGCTGTAGAAAATTATCATCTTATAACTGTAAATTTCGGGTAATCTAAGCGTATTCTCATTTGGTTGAGTTGCTAAATTTTTTTTCTTCATTTTTCAGGAGAATTCCGATTCTGGAAAGGAAGTAATCGTTGCTGTGAGACAGGGTAACTTGCTAGCAACTGCCTTTCACCCCGAATTGACAGCAGACAATAGATGGTGAGTTTTTTTTCTAGTGAACAAATATCTGGCTAATGCAGAGAGCGCATGCTTAAGAGTTCTTTTTCCAGGCATACTTACTTCTTAAAGATGACAAGTGATGTTGGAGAAGGAGCTCTGGCTAGCGTCTCAACGCCCGTTGATGATTTAACTTCCAATGAGCAAGCTAAAAATGATCTTCCAATATATCAATAATGGTAGTGAAGTAAACAAAGGTAGATTTCAAAGAAGAAAGATCAGACAGGTTCTTTTTACTCTTTATTCTCTTTTTAGTTAGCGTCTACAATTCATGTACGTCATCAACTTTCAAAGTGCCTTGCCAAAGTAGCAAATATAAGCTGTTTAGTTTTGTATGAAAACTGGTTCAGATATTATGGCTGGCTCTACGTTTTGTACATAGCCGAAGGGTTTGATTGTTAACAGATGTTTAGCTCTCTTGGCTTGTTAATTATGTTTGTTGGGCAGCCCCTCCAAACTCAACTCCTGTATTTCTGTTCAACATCTCATTCCAACTATGGCTGCATATAGGGAGAAGACATCAACTTAATTACAAAACAGTCCTTAACTATAGGAGAAATAAGTTGCCAATCAGAAATGAGAGTCCAAATTTGGTCTAGATGCGGATAATGAGGCCAAATAATGTGGTCAATTAAACGATGATTTTTTCAATGTGAAGCAAAGAAAAGTGAGTTGCACATGATGATGGTTTACTTAATCAGCGTATCATTAGAAAGATGGCAATGAAAAAGATTCCTTAAATTTTCCTCGACTAATACGATATGCCAGACTACCTGTGTTTATCAAGTCAACGTTATATAAAAGTCTAGAGAATTTGTATTCTCCTGAAGTTGACTTGTACTCTGTTTACCCCAGGTCTTTTTTATAACATGGATCTAAAAACACACTAGATTCTTGGCCCAGGCAGATGCCGGGCGCCCCCTCTACTTTAATTTTGTGTTAATAGATAAATGAATTTTTGATTTAGAAAAAATAAAATAGCTACACATTTATTTTTTCTCTTTTTTAGCCAAAAAATAAAAATAAAAATAAAAAATCATCTGCAAAAGAAGACAAAATATTAAAAAGTACACCGATGCAGAAATCATACAAAAGAATGTGGAGTAATAAAAGGGATAAGTTTATGGACAAATTTAAATCCTATCTTAATTTGATTGATAAATGATAAGTGTTATGAGTTAAAATTGTGTAGCTATTTTTGTAAATTAGCTTTTGTTTTTCCGGATAAAAAGTTTTTTTTTTTCTTTTAAAAAGGGATGACACGTGGCAGAATGGTTAAAGCAATATGGTGCATTTGGAGCCAAATTTTTTTAATAAGAAGTTGTCACATCAACATCCTGTATTCTGCTTTAATAGGGTAAAAGAGATATGTTGCATCCAAACCTGAGAATCAGAATTCACAGCTGACATTTTTAATTTTTTTTTTTTTGGTTTAAAAAATCAATGAATATATCTTGCTCCCGGTGGACTCAAAGGTCTCAATGAGGTGTCCCAATTCAGTGCTTTCTTCCATTTTTTTAAATCATCCAAAGGAATCTTTACTCTGTTGGTCAACATTCCATATTTTGAGCTTGACGAAAACCAATTCAGAAAAAGAGCTTTTTCTGAACTGTTTACTTCACTAGATGAAGCAAAAAAAAAGGGCATCTCTTGAGCTAAACTCCAGTTCTGTAGGTCATTATAAATAGCCCTCATCACCATTCAGCTTTTCCTATCAATACAAAAAACCAAAGAATTCAGTACAAGTAAAAAAAAATAAAAAAAAATAAAAATTGTTGAGATGGGTAGGAAATGGATGTGGTTCATCCTTGTGGTTTCCTGCCTTCTATTCATCTCTTTGGAAGCTGCCTCTGCTAATGGCAAAGGTGGTGATCAAGGTAGCAGTGCCAAGGGAGCCGGAGGCCCTGCGGGCGGCAAAGGAACCGATGCACCGGCTCAAACTGGTGGCAGTGATACTGGAGGTTCTATAGGCACTGGTGCCCAAGGCAAGGGGAATGGAGATCAAAATGGTTTTGGACAAGGCAATGGGAATGGCCAGGAGAAAGGCGTTGGCAATGGCAAAGGTCAGGGAGATGAGAATGGTAATGGAGGCAATGGATTTGGCCTTGGCAAGGGCAACGACAACGGAAAGGGGGATGGAAAAGGTAACCAAGGTGGGGATGGCAAAGGCAATGAAAATGGAAACCAAGGTGAAAACGGTAATGACAATGGAAACAACAAGGGGAAGGGAAATGACAATGGTAACCAAGGAGGCAAAGGTGACAATGGGAAGGAGAATGGAAATGGTAACCAAGGTGGAAATGGAAATGACAGTGGCAATGGTAACAAAGGCGAAAATGACAATGGCAACAATGGAAAGGGAAATGAAAATGGAAACCAAGGTGGAAATGACAATGGCCACGGAAATGGTCACCAAGGTGGAAATGACAATGGCAACAACGGAAATGGCAATGAAAATGGTAACCAGGGTGGAAATGACAATGGCCACGGAAATGGTCACCAAGGTGGAAATGACAATGGCAACAATGGAAAGGGGAATGAAAATGGTAACCAAGGCGGAAATGACAATGGCCACGGAAATGGTCACCAAGGTGGAAACGACAATGGCAATGGCAGTGGCAACAACAACGGTAAGGGGAATGAAAATAACAACCAAGGTGGAAATGACAATGGAAATGGAAATGATCACCAAGGCGGAAATGGCAATGACAATGGCAGTGGCAAAAACAATGGAAAGGGGAATGAAAATGGCAACCAAGGCGGAAATGACAATGGAAATGGAAATGGTCACCAAGGGGGAAATGGCAATGACAACAACAACAACAATGGGAAAGGGAATGAAAATGGTAATCAAGGCGGAAATGGCAATGGCAACGGGAATGGGAATGGAAACGGTAACCAAGGTGGAAATGGAAATGGCAACGGCAATGGCAACCAAGGCGGAAATGGAAATGGCAATGGCAAGGGAAGCGGAGGTTCTCCACCACCCCAAAGTGATGAATCTTATTACATGGTTTCACCAGTTGAAAGGACAGGGCAAGAGCAAGCTGTCTGTACAGCCGAAAACGCTTGTTTCCATAAGCAACTCACATGCCCTGCTGAGTGCCCTCACAGGAGGCCTGGCAACAACAACATGAAGGGATGCTACATTGATTGCAGCACCAAATGTGAAGCCACTTGCAAATGTAAGTTAACAAATATAACAATACTTAGATTCCTCTTACTATCATTAATTTCCTTCATGGTTTTTGTGACTGATTTCTTTCTTTCTTGTTTTTGGCAGGGAGAAAGCCAAACTGTGATAACCATGGATCTTTATGCTACGATCCTCGATTTGTCGGGGGAGATGGAAACATGTTCTACTTCCATGGATTCAAGGGAACCAATTTCGCCATTGTCACTGATGACAATCTCCAAATCAATGCTCACTTCATTGGCCATCGACCAAAAGACAAGAAGCGCGATTTAACATGGGTTCAAGCTCTCTCAATCATGTTTGACACCCACACACTTATCCTTGCAGCCAAAAAGGTATCAAAATGGGACGACAAAGTCGATTCCTTGATCGTGAAATGGGATGGACAAATCATTAACATCCCAACAGATGGCCAATCTGAATGGAGAAACAACACTGGAAACAGGGTTGTGGTGATTGAAAGAACCGATGATTTCAACACCATCAGGGCCAGAGTTTCTGGACTTCTTCAGGTGGATACAAGGGTTGTTCCCATTGGAGAGCAAGAAAACAAGGTGCATAATTATCAGATTCCGGCTAATGATGCATTTGCTCATCTGGAGACACAGTTCAAGTTCTTCAAGCTTTCGGATTCCGTTGAGGGAGTTCTTGGAAAGACTTATCAACCAGGGTTCGAATCAAAAGTGAAGATGGGAGATGCAATGCCAGTTATGGGCGGTGAGGATAAATACCACACTCCATCGTTGACTTCACCACTTTGCAAACTCTGCAAGTTCCAGAGGCCTTCTTCCTCTAACCTCATTGCAATGGTCACTGAAATCTGATTCTAAGCAAACATTTTCAGTCTTGCTGGTTTGAGGAATTATAAGCTCTTTTTTTTTTCTTTCTAATTTTTATATTTGAGATTCGAATAAACACTTTATAGTTATACAAATTCTAATGTTTCTGCTTGATTAAGCATGCTTCAAATAAGTATAACCAACGACATTGTAATGCTATTTTTCAGATTTCAAATCTTTGGACCTATTAATTATGTATGAATATATTATTGACTGCAAATTTTAGTTGAATCCTTTGATTTCGTCCCAAAATTCTTGTTTGTTTCCTCACCCTTTTCTGTATTAGTGTCAGTTATTCACATAAGTTTCATAGAGCATTTTTTCTGTATTAGATTATCAGTTAGCAATTGAGATTTTTAAAGAAGTTGCAAGTTTTATTTGCGATGTAATTAACTCTACATTTTCTATGGTGGCTGTGAACCAATTTTTCAGTACCAATGTTTCTCAATATGGCGGTTGAACATACAAAATTGTGTCGGTGGAACATTTCAAGATCAACTGCGCCTGGTCAACCAAACACAAAAAGAATAATCGGACTAACAAATATGATGAATTTATCGTTTATTAGTATGAATATCCCCATACGAATCAAAGTGTATGCATTCTGAACCGTTTGCGTATAAGAACATTTCAAACATATATATGGTGAGTCTTTAAGGAGCCATTTTTGCTGCATTAAGAAGCTAGCAATTAACTTCAACTAAAAGAAGCATTATGAAGCCGGCGATTCATTCTAAAGATGCATGCATGGCTACATTATAAAAGAAGCATTGCGTTTATAAAGCATGTTCATGGAAAAACTAACCTTGTACTGGCCTTTTCTTTAGCTGGTTTAGCACCTTTGGATTATGTTAAATTTCAACAACCCCACTAGGATTAGTTTTGTATTATTTTTTTTTATAAAAAAAAAAAGAAAAGAAAAAGAATTATGGAACAAGGCAAACTACAAATTACTAGGGGCTTGTTTGATAACGTCACTTAATGCTTAAAATTATTAGATTAAGCACAATTGATAACAAAAAATGAACCTATTAATGAAATAAGTGGTGTTGAAACTGTAGTATAAAATATAAACAATAAAAGTTAGTTTATTATTTATTCTGTAACTGTTTAATGAATTCAGCATATCTAATTCAATATTAATTAAACATTCAGAATAAGTGGTTCTCCCTCTTTAATCAGTAGGTCCCTTGCAGAATACGATTTACCGATGCAGAAAGTAGCAGTCAATTACAGGTTCCTCTTCGAGGAATACTATGTAGAACGATATCCCATGTTGAAATAATATACAGCAAGTGATAATTTTTAATTAACCAAGTAGGCCGAAAAGGATATTCCTGAAGAAATATTACGAAGGGTAGTTTGATTCCTAGTAGTTGATATAGTTTGATCCTAGTTGATACAAATTTCGTTCAAATGTCAATGATCTTGCTCCTCATGGACTCATAGCTACGGTTTCATTCGACCTGCCCTGGTTTAGCCTTTTCTCTATGTTTTTTTTATAATATATATATATATATATATATATTTCTTTTACAAAAAATAAATTACTGTACAATGCGCGCGGCAATAAGAATCCATTATTATGGCTATGCTTTTGGTACATTCAAGAAGGTTTAAAACGTAAAGATTACAAAAGGCATTTGAACAGTACGGTAGGATACTGATCACATTATGTATACCTTCACCAAGGAAGTGATTTAATTTATTTCATTTCTACAACAAAAAATCCCTATGGAATAACCTTCAGTACCCTCTTTAGTGTTTGTTCAAATTAGCAAATGGTTCTGGGCTATGTAGTTCAATGAAGGAAGCAAAACGGGCATATATTACGCAAAACGCCAACTCCTTAGGTTAGTACAAATAGCCCTTCATCCATTTCAATTTCATGCACTACAAACACTTTGGAAAATATCATAATTACCACAAAAATAACGGGTACAGTGCCGTAAGAGAAGAAGAAGGTAGCTAGTTTTGATTTCAAATGTTGTTTTTTAGATCAAATAAACACTTTAATTAGTACTTTACACTTAAAATTCTACGGTTGTGTCGTCTGCATGATTAAGCAGACTTCAATAAATGATGATTTTCGTATTAGGAGGAATTTGTGTTTACAGAATTAACCAAAAATTAGATGATTGGCCGGGGTGGATGTCTGGGCGCCCCTTGTAAAAAAAAAACATTCGACCATATACTTATTATATTTCACACATCAGTCACTAAAATTTTGGTATATAATTATATAAAAAGGAGCATACTATTCTTGTCATTTTTTGCGTAGGCGGGTTTTCGGGCACTATTTAACATAGCGTTTGTAATTTAAAAAAAATTATGATGAACAAATAACAATTGCTATGTCAAAAGCGAAAAAACGAAATTGTATTGGTTAAATAAGAATATGAATGTAATAGAAGATTAGTAATTTATACGTGCAATAAAAGAGAAGAAAACACTTCATTGCTATGTTGCTCAATGAACTTTTGATAGGTTGTGAATATAATTTATTCACATTCACTACACTATTATAGATTTGCACTATTTGTACAAATCAGTTTGTCTCGAAGGCCTAGATTTAACATAGTATTTCTCTTGCAAGACTAAGTTCACTGAACCAGGAACTACCATAGCCTTGTAATTAGAATTCTCCCAATTACTCTGCAAATAACTATTTGATGACTTATATTTAACTACAATAGCTTTGCAAATAGCTTTATACAATTGTACGTAGTCTTTCACCGAAACCAACAAAATATATATGATTTGGCGATTAACAAGTGCTCCCAATCATGCATCTCTTTTCTGAAAAAAGACTTCTTTCGTAAACTTTCATACCTGCACTAAGAGCAAATCTAAGAATCATATATGAAAAAACATGAAGAACAACTCATAATTTAACCTAAAAACTCGTTTGAAGCAGAATAACCAAATCTCAATTCTCCCAAATAAATCAAAAGCATCAACAAAGTGGTGATTTATATGTATCAATTATTGGATACATATATTTCATCTCCACCCGTTACTTATTTTCATTTTCTTGTACTGGAAAGCCAGAAACAATATCGAATGTAATCAATAACCAATTTAAAGAAATGAAAAATAGATCCTAACATAACTAAAAAATAATTCTCCAAAAAAAAAAAAAAAGAAAACCAACAAAATAATTAGATGTAAGGAATGCTGGTAGGAGCATCCATGGTGCAGCAAGCAAGCTGTCAGCAGACTTGAAGGAAAGAGTACGTTCATCATTCAGTCGTCTAGAGGCAAACATTGCTGCTTTCGGGTTGATGAACTCATCAGGAGGGAATGGAGAAAATTATAGAGGACTTGGTGGTGTGACAGAGTTTTGTTGTTTGAAAGAATGTGAAGTTTTTTAGACTGGGAAACATCGCCACTTAGATAATCTATCATTGATGTTTCTGTAGTAGTAGATTTGCCGATAGAGGAGCAAAATGAAGGATAGGTCTAATTCGAACTGGTTAAACAGCAGAGCTTGCTGTCTTCCATCCTTGTCATTGTGAAATATCCATTGATCTGTTATATTGAAATTTAGTGATATGATCCATACTTTAAACGGGAATGGAGACGATGCAAGATAATTACAATGGTGCCAACCAAATGAAGCACATAGCTACATCGACGAGTAAACAAAGAAGAAACAACAAAGAGCTACACAACTTGAAATGGATAAAAAGTATAAATAATTCCGTTTAACCAAAAATCAAAGAAGAGGAGTGGACAGTAATCGTTCAAAACAAAACAAAGTACAACAATAAGAAATTTCATTCAAATCTGATTATTTAAAATACATGTAGATGATTCATGCAAATTTTGTTGGTATATAGAAAAAAAAAAAAGCAGTTGTCCAATCTAGTGCTATAGATTCCTGATTTGAAAAACTGCTCCGTATGAAACTGTTAGATTTAAACTATCGATTCTCTTCGAGGTATTGGCTGGAATTCAAAAACCTGTAATTTTTAATTTGTTTTATTCAATTCCCTGAGAGGATGATCACCACCAACACAGTGGCACTCCACAATCCTCTGTATCAGGGCAGCTAATCACAATTGATTTGTTTCAATTAAAAGCCGAAAGCACTAAAATAGCAACCTTGTTGAACTTTATATCTGTAACTTTCATAATCGAACAATCCCTTAACCTTGTCTTTGAACATATCTACCTTCTCAGAAGCAACATGCAACAAATGATTATGACAAATCCTTTGAACAATCAATCACCCTATTAATGTCCTGTTATATATTCTCAGAAACAATTATAAGTCTTATGGCTAGGGGACTATAGTCGGGTGCTATCATTAAGATTACCAATAGTCATACTACGGAAAGCAATGGTCATCATTAATCAGTGATGCTTGTTTCCCAAATCAAGTATATGACATATGCAGAACCAATGCCGAAATTTTAACAATCAACCAAATTCTATAAGAATACTCAGGATTCACCCTCATATCCCAAATACAGTTCAACTGACTGGATTTATTACATCAATAAATTGACATGCCTGTGTCTCCACAAATTTTCCATCAATATAGTTAGTAACTTTTAGCTAAACAGCGAAGAAAAATACATATAATAACCATACGTTCCAAATTTGACATCAAATCAATTATGACTTCTACAGACAAAAAAATAAATACAACTTTTTAATGATTCGATAGCTCACCATGTGCAAATTATTCAATAGTATAAAGAGCGAGAATCATATAGAAATCATTCCAAATGCAAGAATCAATATCTTCCACTGAAATTATGGCATTAGATATCTCAAATACATAGCAAAAATAGTTTTTAGGAATGAAGTCGGAACTGACCAGTCTTCGTCATATTCCTACGAAGATTCCACATCCTCCTACGCACCGTTGTCCTCTTCCAATAATTCATCGTCCTCCTCCATGTTATTCTCATCCGATGATTGCTCGTTGTCTCTTCTAATCTTCCTCCGCCTCCAGTTAATAATTCTTTTTTTTTCCTTTTTAGTTAAAGGTGAATCACTTGTCCATGGAACAATGAATAACTTACAAATGAAATTAATGGATCAGCTAATGGAATAAATAAAGAAGGATAGTTGATTACCAATCCCAAGTGCAAAGTATGAATTTCTTCCACAGAGGCCGAGCCAATAGAAACCCCAATCTGAATTCGCGAAGAGATTCGCTCAGCCGTCAGCATCATTATCGAATCTCCAGTCGATGCTTCTCGTGACCAGGATTCACCGAATTCAGACCAGATGTGGGAGTCCCCCTTCTTCCTTCACCAACCCGTAATCCAATTCTTAATCAACATCCCGCATCCATGAGTCAAAATCAATGCCCTGACCAAATCAATTTATCGAACATTTTTTATTCAACCCAACCAAATTAACGAACATTCTTTATTCGTCATCAAATTTATGATACAGAGCCAACTCAAGAAAGATCCAGAAAAAGATGTAAAAATCATATCTTGAAAAAACTGAGATTTCCCTTTATTTTGCCAGCAGTTTCTTTTCTCTGTAGTAAATTGGATCTGAATGAAATTCTAGTCGCTTGCTTCCTCTACAATCGGAGCTTCTTCCTCGGATTCGGCACGAGGGTCGGACTTTTCTGAAGCGTCAGAGGAGAAAAATCATCGGAAACCTTTAGGAGCGAATCTTTCTTTGGCTACTCCCTCTGTAATTGTAGGTTCTTCCCCAGCCTTGATTATTGATTTTTTATTTTTGCTTCGGTTCGCAGTATAATCCATGCACATAGACAGAAAATCGCGGAATAGATTTGATTTTATGTATTTGAAATTAAAAATTAGGGGATTGTGATTGATTGAGTATAGGATTAGCACGTTTTAACTCTGTTTTATCCTTTTCAGTTTGCTGAATTACAGGTGGACGTATAGACTTACTTTCTTCCTTAAAATGAGGGATTTTTAATTTTAAAAATTTCAGTGAGATTTTTCTTATAAAAATATGAAGCCACGTGTCTCATTTTCCTTACTTCGGATTTGTACTGTAAATGTCTGTAAACGTTTGGAGGGAAAATTTGCATTTTGATTCTGACATGTGTCCTTAGTGTTTGTTACTTTAAGTACTATAGATATAAGATCAATTGGAATAAACTTATATAAGAAAAAAGATTTGATAGAAACTCATTTAAAATAGTTAATTGACTCCATCGAGCTCGAGCCCATGAAAATTGAATTCAATTGAGTTTGAGCTAAAAACAAAACCCACCTCGCTTGTTTAATACTCCCTCAGCCTCATCAGGTCCTTATTATAAGACATTTTGATTAACTTAGGTTTTATTTATCGTGTTTTTTCAATTGAAAATGAAATTTTAAAAATCATTTATAATAATTGTGAGAACACAATAAAAATGAAAATATATTTTTAAAATTTTAATTTCAATTGAAAGAACACAACAAATGAAATTTAGACGAAATCAAAATATCTTATAAAAGGATTGGAGGTTGTATAAGTTAGTCAATACTATTATAACGACGAGAGAAATTTTTTCATTTTTATGTAATGGTACGTTTTAAATAAGTGAATTTCAAATAAAGCGTAATCACCTTAGTATGGTGACAAATTGGGTGATTAACCAATATCATTTGATCTTAGTCAATTTGTCTGATCACTTCTAACAAAAAAAAAATATCTATTTTTTGTACCTAGTAGCTAGCTTACATGCCAACACAAGATGAGGACTAACTAGATTTCCTGAAATAATTTAAGCCAGTTTTGTCATCTAGTATACCAAATGCATCAAACTGCATCTAAATTCTGCACCATTTGAAGCAAAAGACAACTAATTTTGCGTTGAAGCACCAGTGAAGTACATGTTCTGTTCGAGAAATACTATGTACTCTCTCCATCCCAAAATTATTGTTTAGTTTTTTAGGGTTTAGAGTTTAGGGTTTAGGATTTAGGGTTTAGGATTCAGAGTTTAAATTGGACAATAATTTTGGGACGGAGAAAGTATTTTTATCCCATGTTGAAACACAAAAACTAGCAAACAAGCGAGAATGTCCCAGGTATAAACACGTCCGGATTATAATGCTTATAATAATGGGTATTTCTGAAGTCAGGTATATTAATTCCAAGTTGAGACAAATTTTTTCAAAGTCAAATGATTAATCTTGCTCCTGATGGACTCAAAGGGCTCAACTAAACTATATCTGGTTCAGTGTTATCTTACGTTTTTACAATAATCCAAAAGAGTCTTCACTCTGTTTGGTCAAAATACCAATGTTTGAGCCTTAAGGAAAACCGATTGACTTGGAGTTTGGAGGGGTTTCAAATTTCAACTTCTGGGCTGTTTAGTTCATTTGATAAAGCAAAAACCGCATATCTTGAGCAAAACTCTAGGTCCTTTGGTTAGGCATAAATAGCCACTAATGTCTTAATCCATTCAACTTTATGCACTACCACAAACAATTAGAACAAGATCATAGAGATGAGTAAGAAATGGATGTGTTTGATCCTTCTGGTTTCCCTTCTTCTGTTCATCTCTTTGGAATCTGCTAATTCCGCTGATGAGGGAGACTCGTTTCCAACACCTCCGGTGGATCCACCACCACCTCCACAATACCTCCCCCCTCCTCCTTATTACTATCAATTTGACGATGACCAAAACTATGATCCTCCCTATGTCTATCGTCCTTTAAACCCGCCTCCATCTCGCCCGCCTCCTGTATACCCGCCTCCCTCTCTCGCACCTCCAGTATTTCCTCTAGCTGATACAGATTATTACATGGCTATACCGGTTAACGAGACGGGGCAAGAGCGAGCTTGGTGTTATAGAGATTGCGGCATGACCCTTACTTGCCCTGCTGAGTGCCCTCTCAGGGTGCCTAGTAACACTTCTATGCAAGGATGTTTTATTGACTGCAGCAATTGTGAAGCCACTTGCAAATGTAAGTTGGTTTTAAGGTTGATCCTACACATAATATAGTAAAACAATCAAATGTACTGGCTCCGTCTCAGAAAAAGAGTCTGGTTTGTTATGCTTCGATTGTTAAACAAACAATACTCTTTTTTTTTGGGAAGCAGAATTATAAACTTCGATTGTTTCTTTTTGACAGGGAGGATGCCTAATTGTGATAACTATGGTCCTCTATGCTACAATGACAATCCACATCCACCACCATCAGATTCACCTCCAACACCTCCAGTAGATCCACCACCATCTCCGCAATCAGACCCGCCTCCAACAACACCGCCAGTGGATCCACCACCATCAAATTCGCCTCCAACGCCTCCTTCTGATGATCAATTCAATGGTGGGGAAGACAATGATCCTGGTCCATTCGCCGTTCCAAATCATCAACCTGTATACCCGCCTCCATCTCTAGCACCTCCTGTATATCCCCTGGCTGATACAGATTATTACATGGCCATACCGGTTAACGAGACAGGACAGGAGCGGGCGTGGTGTTTCAGAGATTGCGGTATGACCCTTACTTGCCCTGCCGACTGCCCTTTTAGGGTGCCTGGTAACAGTTCTATGAAGGGATGCTTTATTGACTGCAGCAAATGTGAAGCCACTTGCAAATGTAAGTTCTAGTTTAAAATAGTGCTCTTAAAATAGTAGCAAAAGTACTCGCTCCATCTCATAAAAAAAAGTCTTGCTTGCTGTACTTATCCAGTACAACAAGCAACAGTCTTTTTCTGTTTTTTCGGAAGCCAAATTATACATGTAATACTATTCTCTGCTGCTCCAAAACAATAGTCCACATTAAGTTTTTATAAATTTGTACTAAAAAAAAGTGAAAACTCAGCGTGAACTATTTTTCTGAGACGAAGGGAGTACAAGATATGTTATAATATATAGAAACATAAATTTTGATTTTTTTTCCCCACAGGGAGGGATCCTAATTGTGATAACTATGGTCCTTTATGCTATAATGACAATCCATATCAACTACCATCTCCAAATGAGCCTCCGCCAACAGACTCGCCCCCAACACCTCCAGTAGATTCACCACCATCTCCAGTTGATCCTCCGCCATCAGAACCGCCTCCAACGCCTCCGGTGGATCCACCACCAACTCCAAATGACCCTCCGCCATCGGACCCGCCTCCTACACCTAATCAACCAGTATACCCACCTCCATCTCTTGCACCTCCTGTATATCCTCTGGCTGAAACTGATTACTACATGGCCATACCGGTTAACGAGACAGGGCAAGAGCGAGCTTGGTGTTACAGAGATTGCGGCATGACCCTTACTTGCCCTGCTGAGTGCCCTCTTAGGGTGCCTGATGACAGTTCTATAAAGGGATGCTTCATTGACTGCAGCAACTGTGAAGCCACTTGTAAATGTAAGTTCGTTTTAAGATTGATCATGCACAAAATACATGAAAAAGATCAACACTAGTTAGATTTTCAGCTAGCTTTTCTGATTTCGATTGCTTCTGTTTTGGCAGGGAGGAATCCTAGTTGTGACAACTATGGACCTTCATGCTATGATGATGTTCAACCTCCACCTGTATCTCCATCATCAGAACCGCCTCCTGCACTAAACCCTCCATCACACTCCCCTCCAACTTCTGATTTCTCTGATTATTACATGCTCTCATCAGTTGAAAGAACAGGACAAGAACAAGCTTTCTGTTCTGCTAAAGGAGGATGCCAAAATAAGACCCTCACTTGTCCGGCTGAGTGCCCTTATAGGAAGCCAAGTAACAGAACCATGAAGGAATGCATTATTGACTGCAGCATCAAGTGTGAAGCCACTTGTAAATGTAAGTTATATCATATTGAAGAGCAATTAGCAGAATTAGAGAGATGGATTTCTTGGATCATCATTGCTTCCTGTTTTCCTGATTTTTTTCCCCCTTTCATTCTGGCAGCGAGAAAGCCTCTTTGTGATAACCTAGGATCTTTATGCTATGATCCTCGATTTGTCGGGGGAGATGGAAACATGTTCTACTTCCATGGATTCAAGGGAGGCAACTTCGCCATTGTCACTGATGACAATTTCCAGATCAATGCTCACTTCATTGGGCATCGACCGAAAGGAAAAAAGCGCGATTTAACATGGGTTCAAGCTCTCTCAATCATGTTTGATACCCACACACTTATCATTGCAGCAAAAAAGGTCTCAAAATGGGATGACAAAGTCGAAGCTCTGCTAGTGAAGTGGGATAATCAGTTGATTAACATCCCAACAGATGAAGAATCTGAATGGAGAATCAACATTGATAAAAGGGTTGTGGTGATTGAAAGAACCGATGATTTCAACACGATCAGGGCCACAGTTTTTGGACTTGTTCAAGTGGATACAAAGGTCGTTCCAATTGGAGAGCAAGAAAACCAGGTGCATCATTACCAGATTCCGGCTGATGATGCATATGCTCATTTGGAGACACAATTCAAGTTCTTCGAGCTTTCGGATACCGTGGAAGGTGTTCTTGGAAAGACTTACCAGCCGGGCTACGAATCAAAAGTGAAGATGGGAGATGCAATGCCGGTTATGGGTGGTGAGGATAAATACCAGACTCCATCGTTGACTTCACCACTTTGCAAACTCTGCAAGTTCCGGAGGAATAAGCTTTCCAAAAACTCCATTGCTATGGTTACTGCAATCTGATTAACTATAAGATATATTTCAATCTTTACTGCGGTTTTTAAGATCAAATAATAAGCATTTATAAGTTGCCTAATGTACAATTTACATGTGCTCACAATTTACATGTGATCAAATAAAAAAAAAAAAAAAAGGATGTTAGAATCTAAGAGTCCTGAGATTCGTGGTTAAATCCTTGGATTATGTCCCACATTTCTGTCTGCTGTTGGCATCTTTTGCTGATTTGTATAAAAACACCTCATCCCACATAAAATGTATACGGAAGATCCAAAACTGAGCAAACTAATTTAACCAAAGGCTTTTACAAAAAAAAATTTAACCAAAGGAAGGAAGAGAACAAACTAAAGCATATAGAACCCTGATTCACCATTACAATGTCAATGTGCTTGCTAAAACATAGAACTAAAGGTAAACATTGAAAATTATAGAGCAGAGTGGCAAAATAAAAAAAAAAAAAAAGGGAGAGAGAGAAGAACATATCGGTTGTTTCATCTACCCCTCAGTCCTGAAATTATTAACTCCTTTTGGATTATCAAAATTAATGCAAATTATACTAAGAAATAAAAATCTAAACAAAACAATAATTTTAGGACAGAAAGAGTATAATTTATTGGCAACGAAAGGACTCTTTCAACGGAAGTTGAAGGATGTCTGACGTGAGTAATCCAAATTCATAGCAAAGAATTATCGACAATAAAATTGCTATCTTTGTCTTCAAAAAATATTATACTGAATTATAACAAGAAAGAAAAAACAATATTGATACCTTCAAATTAGTAGAAATCAAACCACAATATGAATTTTTTTTTCTTTTTTTTTTAATACGACAGATGGAGTATTATTTTAGAATTTGTGCTGATTAGGGACGACGAGGGGAAAATCGAATAGATTATTGATCCATTGGGGACAAAATTGACAACTTGTTTAAATGTTTGGGGAAAATCGTGCGCGAAACTTTAGGCGAAGTCGGTCATCTTTCTCCCTATATAACTAACACAAATCAGGTATCGTATCAGTCTTTTCTTATCAATTGCCAACTTCCTCTTCTGATTGTCCCTGAAAAGCCCTAGCAAAACAGAAAAGCTTTGATTTCTTTCTGACTGTGAAAAAAAGATGTTGAGTTTCGAAGTCGGAGCAGTTCCATTCAATTCCGACGGCTGGGGCCCCATCGAAGCCTCCGGGACGCTTAATCCCGCCGTCCCGAACCACCCATCCAGCGTTCCTTTCTCTCCGTTTTCCCGGTCCGAGAAGCTGGGTAAGATCGCCGACTGGACCCGTAATCTCTCCAATCATACCCGACCCGGATCCAATCACGCACACAAAAATCCGGCGGATTTCCCCGACGACGGTTCCTTCATCCCATACGCCGCCGACGAGGACAAAGAATTCGAACTCGTGGAGACTTACCCCAAACCGCACCCCAATCCCAACCGCCCTAAGTTCAATCCCCGGTGGCGATTCAACCCTAATAACCACCGGAATTCGCAGCTTCCCCAGCGCCGCGACGAAGATCCCGAAACAAAGAAACGCGAACCCGGAAAGCCACGCGCCGCCCGCCAATTCCACAGCCTCAATCGGAATTCAGGGCCTCGCCGGGAATCCTCTGTTTTCAAATCATCCGTCGATATCCAACCCGAATGGAACATGCTCGACCAGATCCCCTTCTCCACTTTATCCAAGCTCTCCTTTTCCGTCCCGGAGCCGGAAGACCTCCTAACCTGCGGCGGCGTTGAGTTTTACGACCGGACTTATGACAGAGTCACTCCGGGAAGCCACAAGCGATTGGAGCGGTTCAAGAACCGGAATTTCTTCAAAGTAACAACCACCGATGACCCGGTTATCCGGCGGCTCGCCAATGAGGATAAAGCTACCGTCTTTGCCACGGACACAATTCTGTCGACTCTGATGTGTGCCCCCAGGTCAGTTTACTCTTGGGATATTGTTGTTCAACGTGTTGGTAACAAGCTGTTTTTCGATAAGCGTGATGGGTCACAATTGGATTTGTTGTCTGTTCATGAAACCTGTCAAGAACCATTGCCTGATGCAAAGGATGATATAAACTCTGCTTACTCATTGAGTGTTGAGGCTGCTTATATAAACCAGAATTTCTCGCAGCAGGTTCTAGTTAGGGATGGTAATAATAAGGTGAATTTCGAGGAGCCGAATCCGTTTGCCAATGAAGGGGAAGAAGTGGCCTCTGTAGGATATAGGTACAGGAGGTGGAAATTGGATGATGAGATGTATTTGGTGGCTAGGTGTGAGGTGCAGAGTGTGGTGGAGGTGAATAATCAGAGGTTATTTTTAACTTTAAACGCGTCGAACGAGTTTGATCCTAAGTACTCTGGTGTTGATTGGAGGCAGAAGTTGGAGTCTCAGAGGGGTAATGTATTGGCTAATGAGTTGAGGAACAATGCCAATAAGTTGGCTAAATGGACAGCTCAGTCACTTTTGGCTGGTGCTGATATGATGAAATTGGGGTATGTTTCGAGAGTGCATCCCAGGGATCATTTTAACCATGTCATATTGGGTGTTGTTGGGTATAATCCCAAGGATTTTGCAGGGCAGATTAATTTAAACACTGCAAATTTGTGGGGTATTGTGAAGAGTGTTGTGGACTTGTGTATGAAGTTGAAGGAAGGCAAGTATGTGCTTGTTAAGGACCCAATTAAGCCCCAAGTGAGAATCTATGAGGTTCCTGCTGATGCGTTTGAGAATGATTATGTTGAGGAGCCTTTGCCGGAAAATGAACAGGTTCAGCCACCTACAGAGGAGGAGGCCGAAGCCGCCGCCATGGATGATAACCCAGTGGCAAACGATGGGGTTGGTGCAACTTAAAAAACAGCCATAGCAAGGCAGCCTTGCTGTGGTTGCATTCAGTTTTAGCGTTTCTTTAAGTCTAGCAACAGTTTTTTTTTTTGGTTTCCCTTCTGATAGTTAAAAGGTGTTGTACTAACTGATCTTCGGTTCCATGCATGAGCATGATATGCATACTAAGCATCAATGTCTCAACATTGTTTGACTTCAGTTTTATTGACATTTTTGTATGACACAAACAAGCAAGCATGTTACCCCAAAACTCAGGCACTTTATACAGTGTTTATTATAGATTTTCATTTAGAAAATCAATCTCTCTATTTTGTTTCCCAGACGATGGAAAACGTAGCTAGACATATGTATATCGATCATAAATTGCCTATGACTTGTGATCGGCATCGGTTTTGTCTTTTCTAACCCTTTTTTTTTTTTGAAGGAATGATCAACAGCGATTAATCTTTAAAGTATCAGACCGCTTTACCTGGACTGAAAGAGAAACGAAACTTTTCTTCTTTTTTTTTTTTTGGAAGAAAACCCCCTAACTTTCGTCTATTTCGAACGTAAAATTTTCCCTTCCATCGTTGAAAGAAAATCAGAAAAAATAATTGAAAATTCTTATGAAGTGTAATTAATACCACCTTCTAATGCAAGCATGGAATATGCTTGAGCAGATTCCATTAGTTTTCAAGGTTCTCGAAATTCTCCCCAAAAACTATTCCCTCTTATCTTTTTATAAGTCATTTTAATTTGATTTAAATTTCAATTAATAATTTTTTTTGATTGAAAAAAATACTTTAAAAATATATTTTCACATTTCTTGTGTTCTACTAATTATTAAGAAATATTTTTACGTTTTTTTTTCCAATTGATAAAACATACTAAGTGAAATTTAGGACAAATAAAAAAGTATAATAATAAAGATTTGGAGGAAGTAGTAAAGACAAATCAAAACTCAACAGATTGAGGAAATCCTATAGTAAAGAGTAAAAGGCCTAAGATATATGAATATTCATTTCAATTTAGGTAGAGTATATATTTACAAAAAGACGTTTAAGAACTTTCACACAATGCTAATTGTTGTCATCGTCATCAATTAGCTTTTGTCCCCATATACATTGCAATAATTAGGTTTAGAAATATCCTATCAAGCTCGCACAAACAAATTCCGCGGCCAAAGTTTCTGTTCTTGATGGACAAGGGTCACCCCAAAGGTATCGGCTGAGACATCAATGTGATCAGATACTCATTTGTGATTGATTTGCGTCACTGTTGCTCTGATCAGCTAATCCTTGGTTTCCATTTTATCACAATGCTGCACTAGCGTTGAGATATCTACACCGACGAAGAGATCGACGAAATTGGAAATTTGGCGCTATCATTTGGAAACATCTCAAGTCGTGGTTACAACAAACACACTTTGTATTGAAGCCTCAAGTTTCCGATTTTGTCGACCTATATGTTGGTTTAGATATCTTGACGCTAAAGTCGACGCTATATCCAAGCTTTTTTTTTGGGACCAAGTTTCTTATTCTCAAAATAATTAACAGCCTCCCTTTGGAGTTCCAAAGACAAGAAAACTTAATTAATTGCAGAAATAACATGGTTGGGAGAAGGGCAATGTACCTTGTTCATAACAAAGGCCATCCAAACATATTTCCACTGGAGTAAGCAAAAATTAAAAAGCTACATAGTTTCTTTACTGTTTTCCACCAAAGAATGCAAAACTGAACAAACTGATTCCCCACCAGTTTATTTGGTAAAGGCAAAGAGAGTGAAAGGCCTTATATAGTTGTTTCATTTATTTCTGTTACTTTGTTAGTATATTTACAAAAACTTGTTACTTTCTTTTTCCTCCAATATTTATGGTTGACCAAAGCATAGAGCTTCGTTGCTGCAGCAATTGCCCTGGCTGAAACTTCCACAGTAACCCTTTGGAGTTCCAAAACCGGCAAACTTGATTGCACAAATGACCTGATTTTGGGTTAAAATGATCCCAATATCTGTGCTGCTGTTATATATATGTTGGCACTTGCACCATCAAAATGGATCTTCTGCTTCACCATCAAAATGGCGCAACCCGATGTTTTTTCAGTGATCAAGACCATAACAACACCTTTACAGACGCATACATACTCAAGAGCAATGTAACCTCGGTGATGGCAATTTAAAAAGATGTCGCATTTGCTAAACACGACTTCTGTTCTAGTATTTAACTTGGCTTAACCTAAGCTTGATACAATGCTCCGAAATCCAAACAGAATATAGTATATGTTTTGAGCTCCTTTTTGTTTAATCTATCATGGATCAGCGAATTTTTCAATCTGCATCATATCACTCAGCCAAAAAAACAGGAAGAAATTAGATGTAGAGTGGACCTGATGTTTAGATCAATTATGTGAAACTTATATAGAACTTATATAAGGATAAAACATTAATTCATTTAATATATTTTAGATTGGTAGAATCCATAGCCAACGATACAAAATCACAAATATTTGGCTAAAATTTAAGTACATTGAAAGAACGAACCAAGTAGACCCAAACATGAGCAACAGCCCCGGCTTCGCTTTTTCACCTCCTCAAGCTTCCTCTGAACTCGTCCTAAGTTAGCGTCTGCCGTTTCCAATTCTTCGTGGAATTCATCCAGCAGTTTTTCGTGTAGGTCAAGTTCTTCATTGATAGCCAAAGCTATGTGTTTTAGGCTCCCAACCGTTTCCTCCAATTTACCAAGGCTCTCATCTTGTTCATTCATGATTTGTTGCTGGATTTCGACAACGCCCTGATTGTCGAGACCTTGGGTTAAACTAAGGGCATCGTCAGTGGGATTGGTTTCCGGACCGAGCAAGCTGTACTTGTTGACAAAAGATGTCATGTTTAATGCGTTTGCCATCTCGTTTACGTTTGACCTAAGATCAGCAATCATGTCTTTTCGCCGATTCATTTCTTTTTCTAACAGCGGCTTTTTGGAATTCATTGAAGACTGTAGGGTGTCGAGTTTAGTACCCAGGATTGTGATTTTTCTTCGTAGAGAAGCTGTGTGCCGCCCTGCCTCGAACCCGATTTCCGATGGCTTTTTTGGCATCTGTATGCTTATCCCATTGGCCTCTTTGACACATTCATCGCACTCCTTTGTCCACGAATCATCACGAGAGAAGTGCATGTTTCCGATCTTTCGAACCACAACTCTAAGCCCGAAAACCTAAACCGCCAACTTGAAAGACTGGTGTTGGAAGAAAAGAAGTGATTGAAGTTTATAACGTGTAAACTTTCTTTTGAAAAAGATGAAGCTTTAGAATTAACAACTATTTTTATGAACCTCAATCCTCTTAAAGCCGAGGAAATATTTTCTTCAACCGTGCTCACTTTTCCAATCCTCTCGTGGCAATTGTTTTGTGTTTGTATGTTTTTTTTTTTTTTTTTTTTTTGTTTGGTTTTTCAGGTTTCTCTTCTGCTTCTCAGAAAACAAAAAAAATGTACTCCTTGTCCCAAAATTATTGTCCACTTTGAATTTTTCTTTTTAGTTCAATTTTTACTAAAATTGAAACTCTAAACTGGATAATAATTATAGAACGGAGGGAGCATGTTATTTATAAAGGTTTATTTGTCCTTTTCTAACTCGTGATCGAAAACTAAAATCCTAATGTACAGCTAATATCTTTATGAACCAATTGATACTAGAAAGTTTACCAAATCATATATGGTACTGGAATTTTCTCTTCTACAGCACAAACATTACCGACAACAGCATAAAGTCCAGCAGCATTTCACCAATTTGAGGAAGTGAACAATGTCTTTTCTTCCCCTGAAATCATACTAAAGCAAAAGCAATTTTCTTCTCAATTCAGAATTTTTCATGATTTCTTAACCTCTTCACATTTATCATATATATCATGTGGTGTTCTTATTGCTTTTTTAAACTCTAACAAACTACAAATTCAACAATTGGATGTACCTGGCCACATAACTGGTTCTCTTATATCCCAAAAAACACAAGTCTCCATTACAACGATTTTCTTGCTAAAGCCTAGAATGGTAAAGAATGAAAGGCCTTATAGATATATTGATCGTAGTATATTTACGAAAACATGTTACTTGTTTCATCCAAAATTTTTCCAAGGGGCAGATTTCTCATGCTGCTTTTGTCTTGATAGACAATCCAACAGTTAGGTTAATTTTCATATCCTATATATCAAGCACAAACAAATTCGACAGCCAAAGTCTTTGTTCTCGATGGACAAGGGTCACCAAACATTTTGGTTGAGACATCAATGTTGCATTGTTTCGACTTCAGGCAAGCCTGAAATGAAAGCATTGCGGAAAGGAAAGAAAAAAAAAAGGAAAAAACAAATCAGTGCAAAATGAGGAGGCTTTTAACTTGTTGCAAGTTTAGAGAAGAATGGTTAACCTTCTGTACAATGGATAGAGCCTGGTTGCTGTTACAATCGCCCTGGCTAAAACTTCCACAGGTTCCTTTTGGATTCCCAAAGCCAGCAAATTTGATTGCAGAAATGACCTGATTGGGAGAAGGGCACTCCAATTCCACCCTTGCTGCGCGTGATCCGTTCGAGTTGAATGCGCTTATTGGTGGTGGATGCTCCTCTGAAACTACAGCACATAAGCTGGAAATCTGTCTTGTTGCGAATGAAATCTGTGTCGGATCGCCACCTTCTTCCTCGAACAGGACCAGAACGTTTCCTTTTGGTTTTAGCCATTCACGCGGAACATGGTAACTGCCAATTTCATGCATTGCATACATCAGCATAAAATTAATGTGTAAAAGCAAACTTGGGAATGAACTAAACTACTCACTATAGCTGAGAAGGTTGGCCGCAATTCGTGAGGCATTTGTTTGAATCAAAGTTTCCTCTGTAGTCACAATATTTGCAACCGTCTTTTGGAGCAATATTGCTAGGCCAAAAACGCCCGATGCTTTGTCCATTCACCCAGGCCTCACCTTTGCCAAGTCCTGTAGTTTTTAATGCAACAGGGTCTGATCCAGCAGGGGCGTCGAAGTTTGCCTGGATCGATATCAGGATTTTGTGGTTAGAAAAGATGTCATTTTAAATGTAAAAGTTAGTTTTGCTCAAACATCATATCAAAATTTTTCATCCTTGTGAAATGAAACATACCTTATACCAGATCAGTGGCTGATTTTTAGGCACTTTTGATCCTGATGTCCAACCTCCATCACCTTGTCCTGTTCCTTTCAGACCAATCTGCGCAAACAGTGTCCACAATGAGAATCAAGCATTCAAGAGAAGTTAGGCAAACTTACATGCAGGAAGGTTACAATCTAATGCATTAAGCATCTGATGTGAGTTAACCCGTTGTAAACTGTCATTCTTCTTTACACCCTATGCCTGCAGGCCCTCACATTTTCATATCTTTGTCGCCGTGTACAATAAGTACTGGATTATTATTAGTTTTAGGCAAAATATCCAGCAGAAAATCACCTTCATGAATTGTTCAACACAAAATTAAGTAAACCTTGCAGTACTGAATTTGGAATTCAAGTAGACTTTTTATCAATTAGCATACATCACCTGGTATTTCCATTGCTGAGAGGACAGATCAAGTATAGAACCGTGTCCTGAGCCTTTGAATTGCACTGGCCCAGTGATTCCAGCTCCTACTGTGTCAAAGAATGCCCCGTAGTTCTGAAATTCAGTAGGAATTTTGCATCAGAGGAACTACTCAAATGGCTGAAGTTGGCTAACTTTGATCAGTTGGTGTTATTGAGTTTTAACCACTGAAAGAAGCTACTATTCTCGGATTGCTCGTGTAGATAAGAGAATAAGATCACCTGAAGCCCCACAGTAAGACTTAAAAGATCAATTGTATTTTGTCCTTTGTTAAGGGGGATGGGAATATCCAATGTGACTTTATGGTTGTCTGAGCTGCCTTTCACACTTCCTACAGCATAATTCGGCTAGGTTTTAGCTTACCATATTACCGTAAAACATAGCTAGTTGCATTAAAATGTCCAACATCATAACAAATCATTGAGTGACTTTGATTATCTTGAAAATTAATGACATGATTTGGCATAAGTAGGGGATAAAAACGCCAGTAAAAGTATAGTGTTGAAAAGACAAAAAAATTATGTGTACCAGCTTTTTTTCCATTGACAAAAACATGGAGAGCATGTCCAAGAGAGTTGACTTGCAGAACCGTCTGAGATTTGCTTTGAAGGAACCGCTCATTTCCATTGACATTAATGCTGCAAGAAGTAACCAGATATATAAATTTAATCTGTCTCTTTTCAAGTAATGGAAGAGATGATTTGATACTGTATTTTCAAGTTACCTTGTCGAATACCACAAGTAGTCACTTCGATCTCCAGTAGTATTTACTTGCTCTACTAACTCTTGTTTACTGAATGCATTCTTTTGTGAGATACCCACAGGTTCATTCACCCAACTCCAGCCAGAGAGGGGTACATTTGAGTTCACAAAAGTTGGAATAGATGTCATAGCATTGATCTGTCATCAAAAAGCAGGAAGATGAACCTATACTTGTGGAGTCTATAACAAAATTTACACGAGATACTCGGGACGCTTTAGGCTTACCTTTGCAGAGTTAAACACCACATTCTTACAGTCAGGCAAGATGCTAACAGACCATGCAGGCAGGCTATAGTTATTTCCATTGAAGTTAGCAGTGGCATCAGTGTTGAAAAAATTAGCAAGAAATGCAGCACACAATCCGGAGGCTGTTTTATAAACAGCAGCCTAAAACAGCAAAGTGATTTTGGAAAATACTCAGTAGCACTCCAAAAGTCCGTTGAAAATACTATTCTTGATGATCCGAACTTTTTACCTCCAAATTTTTCCCAAGTGAACTGATGGTTGGATCAGTAGCCACCATTGCTGGTTCACAAAGCTTTATGGCTGCATGCAAATCTTTCAAGTGTCCCCATTTGGGGCGATTTGGAAGACCTGCAATAACCAGGTATTAGTCAGATGTAAAGAACATGATTCCGTAGAGAAGAATATCTCCTTCAGCAACTAGAAAGCTAAAGAGAATACCATATTCGTCAAGTGGAGCATCATAATCATAGCTTGTTGAAATGAATGGTCCACCACTGGTCCGGCCAAAGTTAGTTCCACCATGATACTGTTGTAGATGTTCGGAAGATGATAAGTTGGGAGGATAAAGACTAAACTGGATGAATAAACAAAATCAGAAGCATGGTTATTATTATCTACCATGTAATAGTTCTGGAAAGATCCGCTCAGCTGAAAAAATCTTGCAACAGCAAAAGCGACATCCTCAGCGGGCCTCAAAGGCACAGCGCCCCCAAATGCAAGAAACCTGAAGGATTAAACAAGAGTGAGTTTTCCACAGAAAGATGACATAGTGATAGGGTAACTGAAAAAAAAGCTGCATTTTCAGCATACCATCCGGTCCAATTCTCAGTCCACATTTTAGGTTTTTTATCCGAATTTGGGGTGAATTGGTCGCAGTAGAAGCCGTTGCACGTGTTAATCTGGAATGCATATGTTTCAAATATTTTAGTACTTCTCCTCCCTCAATAGCAAAACATCAAAGAAAAGGTCCATTTGCAGAAATTCTTTGCTTTTAAACATACCAAAGGATCAGGAGCATCTTTTTGCTGGCACATAATCCATGGAACACCTGTATTAAGACCAACAGCCATTCCTGCTGCCCAGTCAACATAAGGTTTGGCTCGAGCACCGTACATTGGTCCAATATCACTATTACCATATTCATTTTCAATCTGCAATAATCATAATGAATCAGCAAATTTTCAATCTGCATTATATTAATCACCCCCCCCCCCCCCCCCAAAAAAAAGGAAGAAAGTAGATGTAGATTAGACCTGAGATAATATAATGGGACCTCCTTGGGATCTGAACAAGTTCTGTTGCTTCAACATGTTCACGATGTAGGTTGTAAATCGCTGCATCTCAGCCTGAACAAGAAATTCTGCTCAATCAATATTCTTCTATTTGTATTAAGCGCACCAGCAATACCACACAAGGGAAGATTAAGAACCTTAAATGGTTGATTGTCTGTTCGAAACTCGATTCCAGGTATAAAATGCAACCAAAGAGGAAAACCCCTGCTCAAATTCCCAGACAAAAGAGCAAAGAATATCAAAGAAAGCAAACAAAACACTGAGAAAACAGAGAAAAAACAGAGGAGATTTTGGCTAAATATACCCATAATTCCACTCAGCACAAACATAAGGGCCGATGCGGACAACAGCATAAAGTCCAGCAGCATTCACCAATTTCAGGAACTGAACGAGATCTTTTCTACCTGTGAAATCATACTGAAGCAACAGTAGTTTGAATTTCTTCTCAAGTCAGAAACTTTTTTTCTTAGGATTTCTTAATTTTGTTCAGTCATGTTATTACCTGGCCACGAACAGGTTCACTAATATCCCAGAAAACATAAGTCTCGATCACATCCAAACCTCCATCTTTTGCCTTCTGAATCAGTGCAGGCCACATCTGCATTTTGTGTAGCCAAATTTCACCATTAGTTTATATTATTATGCTTCTTCTTTTTCCAGTTCATAAACTAAATATCAATGGATTACGAACTTGAGGAGTGCTTCGAGGATAATGAATGGAACCCGAGATCAGAATCCTCCGCTTGCCGTCTACGGAGATGGCACGGTGATCATACGTAACAGTGCCAGCATGCAACAGCGTTGACACCGAAAGAAAGACAAGGGAAAACAACAATGTGGCTCCTTTCATTTTCGATTTTCACTTGGAGAAACACAAATTAGTACTAATCCTATATGTTTAGATGATTAAAGTCTATGTCCAAAAGGTAAAAAGATACCAAAAACAAAATAGCAATAAGAAGGGTAGGTAGAAAGATAGATATGTGCCCTATTTTCTGCAAGTGATAGTACTAAAGGAGAACTCTTTCATGAAGGGGGGAATTTCCTTCCTTTCCCTTTTTCCCTTAAAATGGTGCAATGTGATAATTGTATACTAATAATCTTCCAATAGATGTGGATTTACCTAAGATTGGCAAACGATAATTGTGGGTGATCACAGAAAGAAAGCCAAGAAGAAGAGCGAAATCAGCTGTACATAACATTTTGACATTAATTGTAGTGACCGTGTGTGTGACGTGAAATCAGATTAACTTTTCTTTTCTTTGACTGTGTGTGTTTATCCTTAATTATGATTTATTTTCATAACTTGATGACAGAGTCCAAATTAATATGGCCCGCGACTAGGTCGGTCCAAGTTTGGTGAGCGGTCCAACCGGCTCAGGAAGTATCTAAGGTGATTGCCAATTACTTTCCTACCAAGAAAGGATTTCACGAACAGCTAACTCTAGCTTTATAAATAGCGATCAATCCCTCATATCAAAGGTACGCTCTAAGCACCACGATTCATAGCTTTATTACAATTACTCTTACTGACTTGAGTATCAGAGTATCTATCATCGAGAGACCCCGAAGCCCTCTCTTAGTGACTTAAGTATTGAAATGTCTACCCTCGGGAGACCTTGAGGCCCTCTCTTGCAGGTTTTAGAATTTTGATACTGCCATGTCCGCCGGTTCAATCAACTGGAGAGACGTAGGCACGATTCCATGCTTCGTCACTTGAAAACATCTGATTTTATTCGCTGATAATCAGCTTCTTAATATTAGTTGCTTCTAACATGATTTTTTGTTCACGAATCATGAGATCTGTAATAAGTCATCACAAGTTTCAGCAGACAAAGGTCTTCCGCATCTTTCGATGCACAATCCCGAGTCTCATTCGAAACTTTAGACAAAAGGTCCAATCGAGATATGAAGTGTTCTTAGTGGCACATATTATAAATATACGCTAATCTTCATTCGATTTGAGTAAGTCCATTTCAACAAAATTTTCCCAACAATTTACCAGTCAATGCAATTTGGCGAGTTTTGCATGTGTGCGCTCATGAGAGTGCTACGCAACTAAGAGTTTGATGGTTTGATGGAGTGTTGAGGTTTGACCATCGGGACGATATGTCACACCGACTGAAGAAAAATGGTTAATTCATTGGTTTAGTAAGTGATATGGTCTCATTTTATGCATTTGCTACCCAACCCATTGATCAAGAACGACGCAATCCTTGCTTCGTTTGAAAATGACTGTTATGTTTGTTATATAAGAAAGAGAGTAATTGGGCAGGAGTTTGAACCTCATTTTAATTCTTCATTTTTGTTCCACTCTTTCCTCATTTGGACTCCCCTTTATAAGTTATAATTCCTTTTCATTAGATGAACATTGATTTCAGAATGATGTAATTCTTATTCATTCATATTCTTTATTACCAAGGGACTTGGCTTTTCCTTTTGTCCCAGTGGTATACCTGACAATTGAGTAAGGACTATCATGTACAAGAAGCTTCTACAGCCAAAGTCTTTGTAATTCCAGCACAAGGGTCCCCAAATGTTTCTGATGACACACCAATGCTGCATCTTCTTGACCCAATGCAAGCCTGCAATACACTCGCCAAATTTTGCATTGTGATTAGTGAAAATTAAAGCACATCTTGATCAGTTGAGATTATCAGTTACTGAGTTTGGAGCAAAGATTAACCTTCTGTATAAGAGATAGAGCCTTCTTGCTGCTGCATTTTCCGTGGCTAAAGCTACCGCATGTGCCTTCTGGAGTTCCGAAACTTGCAAATTTGATCGAAGAAATGACCTCATTTGGATGAGGGCACTCCAATGACAATGTCGGTCCGGCTTTCTCTGATGATGAATCTTGATCTAAAGTATTCCACATATCTACCGGCATTGGATGAGATTCCGAAACTGTTGAGCAGAGGCTTCCGCTTTGTTTTGTGGCGAAAGATATCTGTGTTGGATCGCCACCAATTTGCTCAAACAGAACCAGAACATTTCCAGACGGTTTCAGCCAGTCACGTGGTACATGGTATCTGCAAGTTTGTTGAATCAGAAAATCAGGTAAACCAAGAAAACTTTGGTATAAGGACGCCGAGTTACTTACAGGAGTTGGGATGCCTTTCCACAGTTTGACTGGCACTTGGTTGAACTATAGGATCCTCTATAGTTGCAAGAGTCCGTACAGCCACTACTTGGAGCAGCATAGGTTGGCCAGTAACGCCCAATGCTTTGTCCATTTACCCATGCCTCACCCTTTCCCATTGAGGACAAGTCTAAAGCAAGCGGATCAGTGCTAGCCGGGGCATCAATGGTTGTCTGCACCAGAAATGGATTTGTAACTGGGAAGGAAAAAACTTATCCCAAGATAGAATGTTGATCGTATGTATTTGGGAATATATGGGCTATACCTTATACCATATCAATGGTTGCTGCTTTGGCAAAGATGACTGTGATGTCCAAAGCGAAGAGTCTCCACCAGATAACCCTAGTTCTTCACCTTTCAAACCAACCTGCGCAGGTGTGGTCCAAATAAGCTGACTCCCTTGAAGAAAGATTGAACGATATAGCAGACTTAACTGCTTGCCGTACCTTCATGTTGGTCATGCAGAGCATTTAGATGATTACCTGATAAGTCCACTGTTGCGAGGAGAGATCAACCCCAGAGCCATTATTTAAACCTTTTAACTGTACTGGACCAGTGACTCCAGCTCCACTTAGGTCAAAGAAGGCACCATAGTTCTGAAACCCAACAAACATCCGTATCAGAAAATTGGAAGTTAATATGTGGAAATTTCAAGCAATGGCAATGTCTCATAACATGAAATTTCAGATCATGGTTTTCAGTTAGGAGCTTACATTCTGTAACTGTTTGTGTACCAATGATGAAAATAGCATACCTGAAGGCCCACTGTCACACTTAAGAGATCGACTGTATTTTTGCCTACTATCAAGGAGACAGGTATGTCCAACACAACCTTAGCATTGCCGCTGTTACCTTTCCCACTGCCTAAAAAGACAGAAAACCATCCAACAGTTAATATTCAAAGTGCAGTTGGACAATCTCAAGGTGATTGTATCATGAAAGATACCATGATTCTAAAAAAAGGCGCATCAAACTACAAACTGTTGACTGGTAGAATGATTCCCATAATTATTTATTCTATACGTTTGCAAATTTGAAATTTATTGTCCAAAGTTTAATTGGCATATTTTCAGTTTCGGAGAACTTCAATTGCATGCAACATGATAGAGGCCCAGACTTCAGCTGTCATCTTAGGTTTCAACAGAGCTCTTTCACTGGTGAACTAAATATGCTTACAAATAGGTATGCACTATGACCTTTCTCGATAAGTCCACAAAGCGGGAACCAGAATTATTGACATAAGGCAGAGAATGAAAGAGAGGAGGCAGTGAAGCACAAAGCAAAGATAACATAAAACCAAATCAGCAGGAAGGGAAAACAGAACAAGATTTTTTTCCATACCTACAAGCTTTTTGTTAACAAAAGCATACAGAGCATGTCCAAGAGATTGAACATGTAAAGTTGTCTGCGATCCAGTTTGACGGTAAAGTTCATTTCCTCTGATCTCAAAGCTGCGGTAGATGATCAAAATTATTGCTTCATAAGAAAAGTTGTGAAGAAGAAATACTACTCTTTTAATTTCTAAGATGTAACTTGATATAATTTTCTACCTTGCAGAATACCACATGAAGTCACTTTTATCAGCAGTCGTATTAATTTGCTCTGCTAAACCAAGTTTCATAATAGCATTGTCACTTGAAATACCCACAGGTTCATTAACCCAAGCCCAATCGGAAAATGATGAAGTAGAAGCTCGGGTGAATCTTGAAAGAGTTTTCATGGAATTTATCTGCCACCAGAAGTTGAAAGAACGAGCTTATGAAAACCGAAGTAATCCAGTTACTGAATGGATGCGAAAAATAAAGAATAAGTATACAAAACTTTTTTATTTTGACATGATTACAGTAGGGAAACGACATTACAAAAACAGCAAAATACTATTGCTGCTATCATAATTAGAAGACTGCTAGTAGTATAATTGCGAACCAAACCTTTGCAGTGTTGAAGGCCACATTCTTGCAGTCAGGCAAGATGCTGACAGACCATGCCGGTAAGTTATAAGAATTCCCACCAAAGCTGACAGTTGCATCAGATTCGGTACCCGTATTGGCAAGAAAAGCAGAACACAGGCCTGATTCTGTTTTATAAACACCGGCCTAAAGTGAAAGAGATTGGAATGTCAATCATTAGAAAGCACGAGGCAGACCTTTAACAAGCAACACACTTTATATAAACTAGTGCTTATGTTTAGACAACTTCATTCACTGTTATCAATCAGTTGTTACCTCCAAATTTTGACCAAGGGAAGAAATTGTTGGATCAGTAGCCACCATTGCTGGTTCACAAAGCTTGATGGCTTTGTGCAAATCTTTCAAATGACCCCACTTTGGCTGTCTCACAAGCCCTGAAATGAGCAGGACTAGGAAATTGATATGTAGAACATAAAATATAGATTAACAACATTATTATCAAATTTTATTGTTCAGTTCCTGGGTATCATATTTAGATTAAATAGCATTATATGTAACTCAAAATCTTTTCTTGTTGTCAGTTGTCAGTTATGTCAACGAAAAGGGCCTTCATGACTGCCAATACATAACATAGAATCCACTCAACAGTTACAAGTTCCTTTCTAGTGCACAAAAAATGTGCCACAAGTAATAACAAGCTGAACTTAGAAGCCTTCAGTTAATGAAGAATCCTACCATATTCGTCCAAAGGTGCGTCATAATCATAACTTGTCGAAATGAATGGTCCACCACTAGTCCGGCCAAAGTTAGTTCCACCATGATACTGTCAAAATGTCAGCAGAATCATTCAATCCATAACTTTGATGCTGCTGCTGGTTTAAAATTAAAAGGATTCCATATCAGACACTCCATCACAATGAGAGTTAAGATGATAAATTACCATATAATAATTCTGGAAAGTTCCACCCCGCTGGAAAAATCGTGCCACTGCAAAAGCTATGTCCTCCACTGGTCTGTGGGGCACAGCACCTCCGAATGAAAGAAACCTATCGTATCAAACACAACGGAGTTTCCAATGGTGAATTCGTAGGCAACAACTTATAAATTGATCGCAGCTTGCAATTCAATTGTTAAGCTGCCAAAAAAAATGTTACACAGCGAGCTGACTCACCATCCAGTCCAATTCTCAGTCCACATTTTTGGCTTCTTGTCTGAATTTGGGGTAAATTGATCACAGTAGAACCCATTGCATGTATTGATCTGCAGTTATTCCAAAGAGCAAACTTTCAAGTATATAACTTTCACTGTCGTGAAAAGCTCCACAGTTTAGAAGGTAGATCCAGAATCATTTATCAGTTTATGTGGTTTCACATGAACAACGCATGAAGAGATCAAAAGGAGACAACTCACAATGGGATCAGGAGCATCCGGTTGCTGACACATATTCCAGGGCACCCCTGTATTCAAAGCTGTTGCCATCCCTGCTGCCCAAGTGACGTACGATTTGCCACTAGGACCATAAGCTGATTCAATACCACCATTGCCATACTCATTTTCAATCTGGAAATTCAATAATCAAACTCGGGTTTTTATCTCCAAGCAAGGAAAAAACAATGAGGTAAACAAACTAAAAAAAAAAGAAAAAAAACAGAAAAAAACCTGAGAGAAGATTATGGGTCCTCCTTGAGATGCAAACAGAGAATTTGATTTCATGAGTTCAACAATTTTGGTAGTGAATCTTTGCATTTCAACCTGAAACCAAAAAAAAAAAAAAAAAAGGTAATGAAAAAATAAAATAAAATAAAACATGCTCAACTTTATTTGAGAAATCAAAATCTTTTAAGCCAAAAGAAACGAGTAGAAAGAGAAGGATGTTAACCTTAAAAGGCATATTATCTGTTCGGAACTTAATCCCAGGTAAAAAGTGTAACCAAAGGGGAAATCCCCTGTTTCAACATTCCAAAAAGGGGACAAAACAAAACAAGCTAAGAATCAGACATTATGGTACCCCCAGAATCTACATAATCCAAGTGAATATTCATGGAAGACATCTATTGTAGGCTTGTAGCAGAATTTTTTTTTTTTTTTTTTAAAAAAAAGAAGAATATCATCTTACCCATAATTCCACTCAGCACAAACGTAAGGACCGATCCTCAAGACAACGTAAAGACCAGCTTCATTCACAAGCTTAAGAAAAGTAACCAAATCTTTCCTTCCTGAGAAATCATACTGCAAGAGTTTTTCTTCCAAAAGTCAGCATATTTCCCCCACACAAAGGAATATTTTAACATAATAATTCCACTTTTCTTAATCACGAAAAAGAATATTTAAAAATTTAATTCCCATCAATGGTGGTTGCTTTCTGAACAGAATAATTCATCAATGTTTTCTAACTTTTCAGTTCCCTTTCTAATTCCTTGTTTAGTATTATCTTTCTGACTTCTTAATTTAATTATTGAACGAAAGAGAAGAATCTTTAGTACTACAAGTAAACCCAAAGAAAAATAAATTCAAAAGAAATAAAACACGCACACACACAGTAAGCGCAGAGTCGGACTCACCTGGCCTTGAACCGGTTCGTGCAAATTCCAAAACACGTAGGTCTCAATCGCATCCAAACCTCCATCTTTGGCCTTCTGAATAAGGTCCGGCCACATCTGCAACACGAACACAAAAAAAAATAAAAATAAAATAAAAATTCCATTTTAGCTTTAAGCTTAAAAAACAAATCAGAAAGCGGAAGAGTTGGTAGAATGTACGGACTTGGGGAGTACTCCGGGGATAATGAATGGCGCCGGAGATCAAAACTCTGCGTTTGCCGTCGATGACGATGGCGCGGTGATCGTAGGTGACGTTGGAGGCAAACGACGCCGTGACAACCGAAAGCAACACCACAATCCACAATGCCAATGCCACCGCCGCCGCCGCTCCTCTCATTCTTCCTTTTACTTTACTTTTCGTTTCCATTAAAGAAAAATTAACCAACTCCAATCCTAAATGACAATTTCTCCTCCCCTTTATGTAAAGAGAAACCATGCTTTAACGGAAACAAGACAAACGTGATGCTCGCTTGCTTTCCTTAACCGTTTCTGTAAGAAAAGCAAATGGAGATGGAAGAAAAGGGAAGGAACACAGCGGAGTGAAGCTATAGCTATTTTGTGCGGCCGGGGGTAACACGTCACGCCACCTCTCTGGACGGCGTCGTATTCTCTTTCTCTTTCTCCTCCGCCTCCTTCCTCCCTTGTTGATTACTACTTCAACTGTATTTCAGTACAGATTAAGAGTGAATTGGGTTTGTTCAATTTTACCGCGTAAATTACTGCGTAACTGTGAGCTGAATTCTGGTTGTGAATTTATACTACTCAACAAATTCCTACACTATTACGTATCCTCATCATCATCATCATCCTCGAGGTGGGGCTGCAGGGAAGGAGACAATGACAGGTGTGACTGTAATTGGGGGCAACAAAAATGATTTGAGAAAAAAAAAAAAAAAAGATGATGATTAATTGATTATGAATGTTGTTGTTTTTGGTTGGAAGCCATTAAATTCCCCATAGTCATAAATTGAAGTGTGAACTGTGGACTAGTACTACTGAGTAGTGACTGTTTTCCAGTCCCCACCGGGGATAAGATTGCATTTGATGATGGAATTCTAATAGCATTCTTTTTCTAATGCTTATTCACCATTTGTTTTCTTTCTCCTCCTCCTTCCGAGTTCTTCTGCAACGAAGGAGGTGATGATTTTTTTAATCTTTGGAGCTTCAGTTTTATCAGTTTCTTTTTGTTTTGTGCTTTTAAGCCGATTCATACTGTTTAAATGACAGAATGAATTTTTTGACTGTTTGATTGTCAAAAACGTTTTGGCTGTTTATGTGCCATGAATTCGTGACATTTAACGGCCACATTCCGAGTCATTTTGATTTTGTCTTATGTTTCATCTAGAATGCGTTTTTAATTTGAGAAAAAAGCTTTAAAATATATTTAAGCTTATTATAAATATAAATGTGTTCTCATTATTATTAACAAATGTGTTTTAAGGTTTTTATTTCAATTCAAAAGATATCTTAAGTGAATCTTAGGATAAACTTAAGACAAATCAAAATGTCTTATAATAAGGACCGGAGGAGGAAGTACTACGTAGTACTGTTTCATTCTGTTAAATTATTTATAACGAGTAAAAATGATTTCGGACATCGAATGCAGTTTATATCTTAAAAAAAAAAATTGCACAAATAATTTTTTTGTTAAAGGCATGTGTCAAACCTACCGTACAATTACAATATCTGTAATGTGACTTTGTGAAATTAAACCAAAAAAATGTTTGTTTTATTGCAAATTGTATATGTAAATGTGTCGCGTTTTTAATGAAATTCGTGTGACATTACATAATGGCATTCTTGCCGTATAAAAAAAAAAAAACAAAATCTTTCAAGAGCATATCTTGAGAGATTATCTACCTTAAATCTCTTGTATCGCTTAATATATTGTCAACATGCAGTTTAATCAATTCGGTGACGTGAACAGTTTATCATTTTGCCAATAAATTGATTTGTTATAACCAAATTGACCAGGATGTAACGAATCGGGATGGGAATACTGTGCTGGGCAGGAATTGCAGCAAATCGAGGATCTTAAATGAAATGATGAACCCCCTTCAACAAGTTTCTGCTTTCCATATATAGCAACTTTCCTGGATTTGGTCAATTATTACGAAACCCAATATGACGCTCTGACCTCAAATAGGCTAATTTTACTATTATTGAGAAAACAGATTGCATTCAATGCATTTCTTTTGTAGTACTACTCTAGCTAGTACTATTACTATAATCTTACAATATTGCATTTGCAGGTAAAACTTGTAGAATGGCATTAAATTCCGTTAACGAAGTTTGTTAGCAGTTGTTGGTATATCACTGGATTAAGATTGAACTGAAAATGCTAAAAAACAAAGTACTAGCTAGCTTGAAATCCTAAGATACACATTTTCTTCGTATTTATGGCTTGCTAGTCATTATTTCATTTCAGTTTCTTTTATAATGTTAACGAGCCTAAGAAATAAAATTTATTATTACTGTTAGTGTCTCTTTTTAATATCCATATTTTGGCGACTGGATTTTAGATATCATAATGTTTAATTCTAGAAGGTGAACAACTCGCATTCCAATTCACGTGCTCATTCATCAAGATTATGGCAGACATGCTTAGTATTTTTTCAGTTCCAGAAAAATAGTTCCTTTTGTATTATATTAATTTAATTTAATAAAATGAATTTTTTATTTTTATTTTTTTTTTACAAAGGAAGTATCAAATGATTAGTATAAGTTTGGAGAAATTTTATTTTCCCACAAACAATATCATAGACCTCTCCTTACAATGTCTCAACTTCAAGTGAAGAAGCCTCACAAATTCTTCATTCTCCTATAAGAAAAACTAATTAAAAGCGATAGGACCAAAAGATCGTGCATGGCCGCAAGAACTTAACATCTAGATTCTAGATGTCGACAAGAGAAGAAAGTGGTTCCCTGTCTGAAAGTAAATTTGGAAGGCCTAAAAGAATCTATACACACCCTTCTTCACAAATGGAAACGACAAATTAAATTTTGGGGATTATTTTTCAAGTGATTCTCTTCTATGTTCTTTCATGTCTACCTAATCTCGAAGAATTTAGGAGCACTAGTCTAGAAGAAACCTATAGACTACGTTGTTAGCAAAATCAATGATTTCCCTCTTAAATTTGTCAAAAACATGCGTTTGATTTGTTGCCGTAGAAGGAGTAGCATATACAATCTCTCAAATTCCTTAAAAAAATAAAAATAAAAAATCTCTCAAATTATTAAGAGTGAACCACAAAACAGGTCATCAAACCATGAGATAATTCCATCATAGGTCATCAATCAAATTTATTTACAAAATAGGATACTTTACTAAGCAAAAAATTCGTCCTAGGTGATTCTGTTACTTTTGGCCGTTAAGTCATAACTGAAAACTATTTTTCACATACAAAATATGTGCATTGGGTCTAGGGGCAATTTGTCATTTTTTATTTTTTAATTTTTTTTTAAAATTCTCTTATATTTCGTAGCTTGTATTTGTTGATACTAATATAATAATTAAAATTCAAAAATTACTTTAACCTTTCGTATTTCAACTTCTAAATTGTTAAAAATCTTTTAAAAAAAATTTAAAAAATGAAAAACAAAAATTCAAGTTGAAGTAAACATGAAAATGAATAGCTTTCCATATTAAATAAATAAAAAAAATCTTAAAGAATCAGTTAAGACAAGTCATTTCTCCTTGACTCCTTGTAATAAATAGGTTAGTTGCGAAATACAAATTTACTCATTTTATCTTAAAATGATTATTTTGTTCACTGTTATTATTATTGTGAATTTTTTGATGCCTAAAAAATAAGAGAAATTATTGCATTTTGATGACAAAAATAAATGTTTGCACTCTCTAACATAGTAATGTTTTATATTTTTTATGACTTAGAAGTTGAAGTACGAAAGGGTAAAAGTAATTTTTGAATTTTAGTAATTATATTAATATCAACATATGCAAGCTAGGAAGTATAAGAAGAATTGTAAAAACTAAAAAACAAAAGTAAAATTTTTTATAAAAAAAATTGAAAAAATGACAAAATTACGCCTAGACCCAAAGCACGTGTTTTGGATGTGAAAAGTACTTTTCCGTTATGACTTAACGGTTAAAAGTAAGAATAACTTCGGATGGATTTTTGCCTTAGTAAAGAGTCCTATTTTATAAATAAATTTGATTGATGATCTATGATGGAATTACTCAATAGTTCGGTAAATTGTTTTGTGGTTCACTCAATTATTAAAATACAATTCTAAGTAATATTCATAATATCGTAATCTAATTACAGTATATATAAATCTTGACGAAAGACTAATGTTAATGTTTGTAAGTCATCAGTACCCTTTGCTACCAATAATAATATTAAATAATATGCGATAAAATTTGACTTTAAAAAGTTATGTTTTACTATTTCTGTTACTTTTAATTCAATTGTATTAAAAAATAAAAGCCTAAACTGAACAATAATTTCGAGACGGAGAGAATGTATGATTAAATGTCTAATTTTATTTTTTTAATTTCTTTTTGTTGAAAAGCACTCATACACCACGAACTAAACCATCATGGATCTTAAAACAGTCTTCTTGTCAAAAGCATGCGTTGATAAGTCTTGAATGTACCAAATCTTGCCAAAGTAAAAGCATTGGTTGGGTACAATATGGTTTCATAACTCCACATTTCCAACAACTATTATTGCTCCTAAATGCCTTTTTTGGTGCATGATTGACCATTGTGTGTGCACTACATGTGTGGGCAAGACCTCTAAAAAATTTCTAAAAACTGTAGGTGTGGGATTGTGGACACACCACCGATCGAGCCTTAGCCACCTGCCTAAACTCCCTCCCTCCACTGAGACCCTATATTTTGAGCCCACTTAACTCCAACACTATGCAATTGCCCATTACAATAAAATGAGAGATTTTGATATATGAAGTGATTGAACTCGTTGTCCCATTTTATCATCTATCATCTTGTGCCTCAGGGTGACAATTTGTGATAGATACAGAGAGAATTAATACCAACAATTAATACATTCCGTGAGTAACATAAATTAATACTCCTCTACCTGAGTTTATGATACATTGCACCTAAAAGATAGAACCCAAGGAAACATACAACACGTATTATGCGTTTTAGATTTATTCATCTTGTTAATCAACATGATTGGCGTGATGGTTCAGCACCTCATCCCTTAAGCATGAAGTTAAGGGTTCGAACCCCGTCCATGTAAATGAAGCAAACTATCTGACCATTCCCTACCATTTAGTGCGCTGACCGCAGGGACAACGGCTTAATTCTCTCGCTATTGGCTGGAAGGATATATACTCCGGAAAACAAAAAAAAAATAATAATAAATTTATTATTGTCATTTCAAGGTATAAAGTCTTAATGATATCTGATATATTGACATGAAACACGACTTAATCGCTATGCTGCGAATGTTGAAATAGATAAACTTAGTGGAACAGAGGATAGAATCATGGAGAAGATGTTTGCAAACTCGAAGTATACTTTTTAAAGATCATTTGATGCGGCCTAAATGCTAACTAATATTTAATTCAACTTTTTTTTTTCGCTTTTCGTTGTCAAGGTAAGAATGCCAACTCAAACCAATTCTCAAGTTCTTCAACCAAATGTAATGAATCACTAATTTGTAAGAGTACCATGTTTTTGAACCTCCTTAATTTTTTTTTTCTCTTTATTTTTAAATTAAAAAATTACCCCTTATTGTTGTTGGGTTGCAACGAACAAATTCGTAACAAGCTAACTCTAAAATTGGTTGATCATAATTCATTATGGATTGATATGAATTGACGGTGCCATGCATTTCAACATCTATAGAGTCATAGTCAAAGTGTCGTGCAGCATCATATGATTGCAACATACTAAGTTTATTACAAGTTGTGTGTGGTCGACTGGTCGTCCTTGTCTTATGTATTTCTATTCATTCCAAAATAAATATCATTTAATAAATCTAGCAAATTTTTTGAAAATCTTAATTACTAAATAAATAAAGGCGTACTAGATCTTGTTGATCAATTCTCAACGATCATCCTTGTTGCGTATGAATGATTGAGAATATAGTATGATGACAATCGAGAAACTCCACAATCTAAAACACAAAGGTCAGGCTAGAAACGAAAAATAT